CTGTCCTTCCTGTCTTGGGAAATGCGACGATATCAGCGTATCTCGTAGAGCCCTCACTATCGATGCAATATACCTCGTCAAAGCAGGTGAATTTTTTTTCCCTAAGGAGCCTCATCAATTCGAACTTGACCCGGTGGTGACGACGTGTTATGAGGAGGGAGTTGTTGGGGCATTTTCCCAGCACATGTGCTGGTGTTTCAGACTCTCTGCCGCATTTACGGCAGAGGGACCCAACTTCTCTGACCTGTCCGCTGACTCCTGGGACTCCACGCAGGGGTGCATAATTAATGTTTAGTTTTAGGGCATTCGACCATTCAGACCCAGAAAGTACTTGCTTTTCGTAGATGTATCTATTCGCTTTCGGGGTCTCTTTAAAATGGCGAACACCAATACCCTGCCACCTGCAGTTGGCCCATTCCTCAAATGCATTTTCTCGTAGCGACTGCCGTAGAGCTTTCACATTTCGATGACCCTGATCAACCCCCAATCTCTCGGCACATTCAGCAATTTCAGCCGAATAATCGAAGGTAGACTGAAAAAGGGCATCTGGTACATTGGACAGTCGCTGAGCAATGGACCAATGTTGAAGAGGAGCCTCCCATTGGCAGCGGATTAATCCCAATCCTCGGTATCTCCTGGGGGCATACAACATCGCTGTGGAAGTATTCGCAGGCAGTCCAATAATGGCCTTTACGCTCCTGCGAATCATAGTGTCGATGCCCTCCAGTATAGCAGGACGTAGCTTTGTTAGGGGCGCAGTTTGGAGAGGGTAAGTAAGACCCGGGAACAGATATTGATTGACAATGTTGAGTTTCTGCTCAGGTTTAAGTAAGCAAGAGGTTACCAGCTTGTTTAGATTATCATTCAATTTAGTCACCGAATCTTCGTTGAATTGCAGCTCTCCCGAGAATGTACATCCTAAATACTTAATCGTATCTCCATTCTTCAATGTTTGGATGTACTCACCATTCTCAAGGGAGAGCACCGTAGTTTCCAGCTCTCCTTTATTTATAACGATGCCCATACTTTTTAGAGGATTTATAGCCAGACCAATTTCTTTAAATGTCCTTTGTATGCTGTCAATCACTCTTTCTGCAGCCCCCTTGTCACGCGCCGACACTGCCTGGTCATCCGCGAAACCTGTGAGGACCACACAATCTTGCTCATTCCTTAATTTGTATCCAAATTTCTTGGAAAAGTCCTCGTCTAAATAAATAAATAAGATAAAACAATTATCTTGCCTACAGTTCTTTATGGATGCGAAACTTGGCCGCTTACATTAAGGGATGATCAGCGTCTTAAGGTTTTTGAAAATAAAGTATTGCGTAGAATATTCGGACCGAAGAAGGATGAGTTAACCGGACAGTTCAGACGGTTACACAACGCCGAATTGCGTGAGCTGTATCCGGGTAATATAATTGAGGTAATTTCATCGCGGCGAATCAAATGGGCTTGTAAAGTTGTTGGGCTTAGTAACGAGAGAATTCCTAAGAGGTTAATATTTGCTGTGCCGAATGGTAAGCATCCGAGGGGTAGACCGAAGCGAAGGTGGGAAAATTGCATTAAAGCCGATCTGAAGGGACTGGGTTTGGACGGCGAACGGTGGAGGGAGGTGTGTAACAAGCGATTGGTGGTGTCGGCATCGAACCTTCGGGTTCGCTAAGCCTTATTATTTATTATTTATTATAAAACGAAGTGAGTTGGGAAGCGTGAAATTTCAAAGGTGTTCTTTGAAATGCTTTATGTATATTGCTCATTTCCGTCAAGCTCGATAAATATTTATAAGTGGTTTATAAAGCTTTGCATATGAGTACGTGATTATACTTTAAATGGCACAAATTATTTGTGATGTGGGTTTTATTTCAAGGTCATCTCAGGAAAATGCTGAGGGCAGCACAAAAAAATTGATTTTTTCCGGATCAATTGTTTCAATTCCATGAGTCAATTTAAATCGCCGCAGATATTTGCGTTGTCAAGGTTTGTAGAAAATAAAGAATGTTTATGATATATCCTAGCAAACTTATCAATGCAAGTATAAAGACAGACTCGTGAAGTTCAAACATTATATGTTTATTAAAATGACCTTGTTTAAACCAGTTGAATAAATCAGTAAACAAATTAGTTCAATTGCATTTTCTTTTTTAATTAGTAGCTAACATCAATAGTAATTATATTTTTTTTCTTGCATCTTAAGACATTCTTATAATATAATATGATATGATTATTAGACTTAGTTCCCAATCGACTTAAATTATGTATACTTCACAGGTTCATTTTAACTCAATAATATAATATATAGCCCTCCAGCAATGGCTGATTGTATTATTATTCAATAAATAGATTTTAAAAAAAATATATATATATATATATATATATATAATATATAATGACTTGTGCGAGTCATTAGGTATATTATACAAATATATTATACCAATATATACCAATGCTTGTTTTTTTATTATCCTATCTTTTTCGTGTTACCTTTGTTTGTGGACTCATTAGTTAATGTGATTTCAATGTGACTAAACCATTAGCTGATAACTTGCAATTCGAGGTAACTAGAGAGGGTTCTTCCCAATTTCATGTTAAAATGTTCGAATGAGAAAAAAATGGTTTCTTATGAAAAAAAAAAAAATGAATGAGCTGATGGTATTAGTTCGTGAAGGAATGAAAGAAAGTTATGAAATCCCAATCTGTAATATAATGATTAATATATTTTGTTAAGTTAAATGTTTCAATGGTAATAATATGCTCAAAAATAATTTTGTATAGGTATTTTTTTTTAACTAAGACTGGTAGGAGGTGAAAATAAAAGTTTTAATAAATTAAAATAAACAAATTTCCTTAATAAAAGTTATATTGTTATACTTTTTAGTTGTTTTCTTTTTCTATCTTTATGATTAATATTAATATTTGGAAATGAATATTTAATTATTAGTATTTATTGTGAAATGTCGCTAATCCTGAGAATAATGGGGAAATCGCTCAAGAATTGGATATGAGCGACCTCAGAATGTTTACCTCTATCTCGACCTCAGTTGCACTACTTTATATAAATAATAATGATTTCATAAAACTTAGAACCTTGATTTTAGACTAGATATTGAAATAATAAGAATTAAAATGTTAAATAAAGTATAATAAATCATATTAATTATCAATTCTCTTTTTCGAATATGTACTATTCGTTACCAATGTTAATGGTAACCATTAGCTCTATTAATGGTGGCAGTCAAGTTTAGGGGTATGAAATTAGATTAATCCATATTTTACTTCCATGTTTGTTTTTGTTATTTTTTATGAGGTAAGGAGCAACAAGTGAACAAGATTATTCATAATAAAACCATTAAAATCTTGCTTTAACTCTTTACCAAAAGTCCTCCATGCACCTCATCAATCACAGGATATCAGTATAATTGAATATCTTGTGACATTACCTTGGGTTGCAGATAAGAAATCATGACGTAAATGTGGTTGCAGAATCGAATAACAATATTAATCTGGAACAGCTTAACTAGTAGTCATTGATAGTTAATGGAAGGAACCTGATGAATGAACGGAACAAGATTGACTAAACAATATTGAATGCCAATTTGTTCATGAACAGTATTGATGGTTAGTTCAGTTATGTGCGGTCACAAATTTATTAGTTTCTCTTTTTGATAGTGGAAATGAACTTATTTACAGTTGGTAATATTCCTCAACTTATACATCACTACTTAATATCTGATTTCCCAATTATAATTGATTATATAAAATCAAACAAATACTTTGAATGTGCTCCGTTATAATATTAATGACAAATTTGGATCCGTACAAAAATCATAACAAGTAAATTAATAACAGTTAATACAAAAAAAAAAATATATATATATATACCCCTCTTTGGAATTCGTTGATCCTGAAATAATCTATTTTAAAATTTTGTACTATTTTTTTTTTATATTTAGATACATAACGTTTGAAAGTCATAATTTAAAGTCGGTGCATAATTTCCTCAAATTAATATTTATGTGCCCTCAACTTTTGTCCCACAGTTAGTGAGGATTTGAATAATTATGCAAATAAAATACTTTTCAATTCTAAAAAGTAAATATTGAATAGCTTTCGCATAATGTCATGGAAACTGAGAAATTTATTCAACATCTCTATAGTAAAATACTTACACTAATTCATAATTAAATTTAAACAAGTCATTTTTAAACAATTAATTGTTCCTTGCTTAATATTAATATAATCAGTCGTTTCTAAATTGCGATGAAGGGACTTACCTATGACAGAACCTTGTACTGACAGAATTCTACTGAAGAGCGCTCTTGAAGGAATTGCTTGGCATCTCTTATCAGTAAGTTATCAGCTGCTCGGTATTAACATTCGCTTGCCGGTTCAACTGCATTCTCTTGATAGTTTAATATGTATAGGTTATTTTATTTGCCGTCTATCTTCGAAAAGATGGAATATTACGAATAATGAACTGATCCTATGTTATGGAAATGCCTTGTCTACCGTTTTTTAAAACTAAAACATAATTTAAATGTTCATTGTGTTTAAATAATAGTGTTATAATGTGGATTACTTAAAATGAAGCAATGATAATGTTGTGATAATTTAATTTTGCTTTATCATTTTCGAATTATACCTGAGTGATTAATGACCTACTGACCTCATCACCTACATTCTTCAAGTAGGTATGGTTTGTTTCTTTCCAAGTTTAAGGACCACACCATTCTAATGGCTCATGTGTCTTGTAGTCTACAAGTAAGTGTAGTGTTCCCAAAACTAAGAGAATGGATATTGATAACTTTGTATTGTATATGTTTTGTATGATCATAATAATATGTTTACCTAATTTTTAATTTAAAAAAATAATTGTTCCAATTCTTCTAGGATTAATCTGTTTGTACTAGCATTACCAAGTTTTTGAATAAAAAAGAAATTCATCCTTGTACTGTCGACCAGATTAACCTTGAAATCTTGCTCAGTATCAGTTTTGATTTGAAATGGAAGGCTCAACTCGTGGTGAATACTTCACCAATCGTTCAAGCCAAAATTTTAAAAAGTAAGTTTACCTTCACTTATATTCTATTTTATTTGTCTATAATGTCGGGAAAAAATCTACATTTACTATAAGTCAAGATTTACTTGTATTTACTATTCTTTTTTTTTTCTATTTAAAAAATAATGTTGAAATAAATTACTTATTATGTCTTGACATTGTCATATCTTTTATTTAATTTTAATTTTTAATTCATTGAGATAAAACCAATATAGATATCTAAACGTAATTAAGAACATCTATAGTTTTTACTTTCTCTTTTTTCTGTTGAACATTGTGGTATTTTCTCTTCCAGTAAGTGGAACAGAGTGAAAGTTTCTCTCTTTTTATTAATGTACATAGTTGGTTCTAACTTTAATTTATTTTATATCCGTGTTTTGAATACATTCTTTTTACTTAGATCTTTGTTTTGAGCTTGTTAAAGTTTATATTTATATATGAACTATATAAATATATGTATTATTATATTGGCAACATCTATAATTCAGTTATAATCCATTTAAATTCTTGTACTACATTTTCTAATTGTTATTCTTGAGTTACTTTTTTTACTTTATAGATGTCCTCTAAAAGCTTATCGAGTTGGAAACACATAACTTAGCATGTTGTATTATCTTTCAGATAGTTTGACTGCGTCACATTGGCTATTCAGTAAATTTTTTTTTTTTAGAAAACTCATTAATGCAAATGTAAAATATCCTTACAAAGCCATGCAGATAAAATCTTCTCCAGTTTACAAATTATTTTTAAACTAATTATCCTTTCTAAATATTATTATAATGTGGCATTTGTGTTTCCTAAAATAATTCACTCTTATACAGACCACTTATGTTTATAGACGTTATCCATCTATAAGGATTAAATTATCAAAATTCTTTATCTATATTACTGTTAAATTGTGATATATGTAAGTATTCAGTTTGCATGTTGATTTTCCTTGAATTTACCAATTATTGTATTAGTAAAACACACAAAATATAACTAATTAATTATTGGTTAGTTAAAAACATTTAATACATTAGTATTATTCAAACTTTTAGTACATGTACTTTTGAAATCGTTTAATATAGGATTTAGATAGATCCTATGAGGTGTATTATGTATTTAAACCTATTCAGTGTGCACAATTGTTTTTAGGATAACAGAAAAATTAAATTTAGCACTGCTTTTACCTATAAAATATGCACATGAATATTTAATAAAGTCATATACCAATAATCTGATACTAATAATTCGAATCCGGCTGATGCCAGGTCATTATTTATTCTGCCTAATCCACCCTGGAGTTGGGATTTTATTCTATCAAATCACATCCTTGCACAACCGTTGATCAAGAAACAATACTTCCTTACATAGTACTGAACCCAAGATCCTTCATGGATTCTAGTGGTACAGATTCTATATATATATGAAGTAAATTTTTACTATATAAATATATTAAGTAGGTTAATTAATAAAGTATTTATTACTCTTGTGGACGTCGATTGGTAGGATCGACATCGAACCTTTAGATTCGCTAAGCATTATTATTATTATTTATTACTTTATCAATTCAGGTCTTGTGAGGTCTGAGGCTCAAAGGGCTGAAATGCCGCACACATGATCAAAATTATTCTAGCTTACATGTAGATCTTTATCGCCTTAGGAATAGAATTGTTTCAAAAATGTTTAACACATTGAGCTATCCAAAAAATAGTTTTCTTTTACATATATACTAGTAGGCTCCTATGAAAATTCGCACAGTTTATTGTTCAGTGATCAAATGATAAATTAATAAGAAAATAAAACAATTAACATATCATAAAAGAAATTAGTTGTCACTTCCTAGACAAAGGAAACAAAAATTAATTTAAAACTTCATTAATGTTTTGAATCAACATGTTTACAAATTTCAATAAGCTGTATCTTTCCTAAAAAATAAAGTTTCTTTTCTTTCATAACTTTTTTGCCTGAATTTTCAAGGTGATTGAACTATTCTGCCCGCCGTCGACGAAATGAAACATATATTCCATGACAGTACTACAATTAACATAAGATTGTATGGATGTGAACCCTTTGCCTTGCATTATCTCGAAAATAGTACGTTTTTGGGCTTAAGAACGCAGGACCCGATAATTCCGAAGGAACTATCCGTCAAAATGCTTGCTGTACGCATCAAAATGTTCAAAGCCCAATTTGTCCCGTATCGATCTACAAACTTACCACCGTTCCATTATTGAAGCCTAGCAAAATGTTTCGATCGATAGAATTCTATCGAAAAAAAATCCTCGTTTCATACAGAACAAAATCCTGAAAATTATTACTATATATTTTTATAGTAATTGAACAATAAACATTTTTTTGGAATGCCACACAAACTGTGATAATCCACACAAAAATTGTCTATGATTTAGGGTCCCTTAGACTACACGAATTGGCACAAACCCTAATTTCATTAAGAAATTAGAACCTAAGATATAAAATAAAAACTTTTGAGAAGTTTTATTGTTTTCTTCCTTATAAGAGAATAAAATTTGGAAATTATTAATGTGGGTTGGAGTAACAATAATTCATCTTTCCATCAGCTGTATTAACAATAAATTTGGAGAAAATCCGGCAGAGTTTTGAATGCTTCAGTTGACGACCAAAAAAATAACTTCCAAGAAAATCAAGTGCTGTAGCTTATATTTTTTAAAAACTCATATTTTAGTTTTAAAGGACCCTTAAAAGGAATGTAACTTTTGATTCTTGTAATTAATGATACATCCTAACTCATTAGAAAAATTTGAATGCTAGTTTTCAACGGAAATAAATGTTTTGAAGTCCCCTATTTCCTAATACCCTAGTCTCACAAAATGGTTTAATCTATGTGTATGCACTGCATTATGCAGTGCCGGCCTTAGGGTGGCCTACTCGGAGGGATGCAACTATTAGGGAAATGTAGAACGCAATACAATTAAAATATTATATAATATTCAACAGCTTAAGAAATAAATTTAATATTTTTAGGGGGAGGGAAGATGGCGTCATTGCCCTGGGGTGCTGACTGTCTAAGGTCGACACTGTGTTTATGTGAACAATCTATTTCTAAAACAAGATGTCGTATGAGACTGAAATTGCTTATTTAAGATTTGTATATGCCTGGGATGTTACATCAACTTTTTCGTCAAATTCAGCTAAACCGAAGTGCTTATTTTTTATAATTTCCTCAAAAACAGCTCTGACGATTTTGATTAAGCTCATTACATCAATGTATTTTTAAGTGGTTTTCAATTAAAGGTAAGTTTTATTCTCATCGATGAACCTGACAAGACTTAAATGACGAAATTTTAAAATTTTCTTTCTCTGAAGTAACTCTGATTTTAGAGATGGGAAAATAGTTGACTGATCAATTATGAGGATGAAACAAAATTTTCAAGAATTTCATTCACGATAATACTTATAGGGCTAACCGGCATTCGTAATTTTTAGTCCTGATGATCCACGTGTTTGAATTGAAACGTCGGCTAATTCAATAATTAATATTATGACTGAAATTCCTGACAATTTTGTTTCATGACTTTTTTTATTTGAAATAATCAACCTTTTCATATTATAACTAATAATAAAACTGTATTGTTTGAAACTTTGAAATAATGTTGTAATAAACTAAAGTATAGCTGAGGTGGGTCCAACAACAGACGAAAATACCCGATTGCAGGAGGGGTAGGATAGAATGGCCCCAAACTCTTCCCAGCTGTAACTTTCCTCGTAAGTTCCATCATTAAGGTCTATCCCTAACCATGTGCTGAGATAGATGGGATTGCTGAGGCTTCAATAATACTACATTAAGTAAAATATGCGATTTTCTAAAATGTTATTAATTAATAGTTAATTAGGTACCTCAATTTTCATATATAGAGGTACATTTAGTTTGTTTTAAATTAATATATTGAACCGTTTACAATTTTTATTTTCCATATTTCTATACAAAATAGGATGACAAGTGAAAGTTGTATGATACACGCATATTTTTGTAAACATTATGGTTTAATGCCTCTAATCCGTTTTACCATGTTCATTTATGTTTTCTTAAACTTTACAAATACTGTTACATACTTTATACTATTTTTAATAAATGGTTTAAGGTCTTTACATCCGGGCCTTAGTCGTATTATAAACTTTATTTGTTCCTTTTATAGTTAAACATATTCAGATGCAACATTTTCTTTTAGCAACAATTGGTTGCATTTTGAACTGTTGGTCAAGTTAAATGTTTCCCTTGATATGTTTAACTATAAAAAGTTACAAATAGAGTTTATATAATGTCAAGAACAAATCAAAAAAAAAAAAAAAAAGATTTTTACAATAGTGAATTTGATTCTCATGATGAGAAAACTACAATGCATATAAATTTAAATATATACAATTCACAAGAAAGCTATGATTGCCAACCTCACCTGTATAAAAAAAAAACTTCCCTCCAAAAAGAATAAATAAGGAAGAATTAGAATGTTTTTATTTAATAACACAATAACTGATATACAATATGAAACCTAACATTTTAACTGATATTAATGGTAATAGTATGGATGAGTTGGCTAGTTTATAACTTGTTGGATGAGTCAGTGTTACATTGTAATAAAATATTACTAACAATTTTCATATCAAATCAAATTAGCTATTAATAATTTTAACAATAAACTACGGTTAAAATGATATTTTCTTTTTTATTAACTGAATATTGCTGTTTTTAAACAGGATGGGTATGTGGCCTGAAGATGTAGGAATCCTAGAATTACAATTAGTGGTGCCAGGGACATATGTGGATCAAACTGAATTGGAAAAATTCCATGGTGTGTCTGCTGGAAAGTATACCATCGGTCTTGGTCAAGATAAAATGGGATTTTGTAGTGACAGAGAAGATATAAATTCATTATGTTTAACTGCATTAAGCCAGTTAGTAGAAAAATCGGGTATATCATACTCAGATATTGGCCGTCTTGAAGTTGGAACTGAAACTATTCTTGACAAAAGTAAATCTGTTAAAAGTGTCCTCATGCAGTTATTTGAAGAATCGGGAAACCATGATGTAGAAGGTAAAATTTCAATTTATTTATACAAATGTATTTGTGAAATAAATATACATCTGAGGAGCTCCAGGTTAAAATACATTTTATCTATTTCCATTATTATTCATAAAATTAATTTTGATTTGGACAGAACGGGGAAATTCGTTTTGCTGTGAACAAATAATTTCGAAGCTGTTATAAAAATTTTAATATGATCCAAAACATTTCAGACAGCTTTATTACCAAAAATAAATTACAATGTGTATGCAATATGAATTTTGTTCAGAAATGAACAAAGTGTATTTTGATCTAGAGTTCCTCATACTTATTCTTTCAACTTGACCTTTTATATCTTGACGAGGGCAAAGTTTTTGGAATGTTACATAATGGTGACTCCTTCTCTCTCTCCCTTCTTTCGATCCATTCATTTTATTGACTCATATGATTTATTGTTTTAGGTTTAGATACTACAAATGCTTGCTATGGTGGGACCAGTGCTCTGATGAATGCTCTGTCCTGGGTTGAATCAAGTGCCTGGGATGGAAGGCTAGCAGTGGTTATAGCAGGTGACATTGCCATTTATGCTGAGGGTGCCGCTCGCCCAACAGGTGGTGCTGGTGCTGTAGCGATGCTGATCGGCCCTAATGCTCCTTTGGTTATTGAGAGAGGGCTCCGATCTACATATATGGCCCATGCCTATGATTTTTATAAACCTAATCTGGATTCTGAATATCCAGTAGTTGATGGGAAACTATCTATAGAATGCTACCTCAAAGCTCTTGACAAATGCTATCAAAGCTATTGCCAAAAGGCACGAAAGCTTTCCGGCTTAACAGGAGAATCAAACGATGCTGTTGGTATTAATAGTTTTGATGGAATAGTTTTTCATTCCCCTTTTTGTAAGCTAGTAGAAAAATCTTTTGCCAGGCTTGTGCTTAATGATTTTCTAAGTACACCACAGGAACTTATTCCACAGTTATATCCAGGACTCGATTTATTTAAGGGTGTTAAACTTGAGGATACATATTTCAACAGAGAAGTTGAAAAAGGTTTTATGGCTTTCAGTAAAGAGTTATTTAATAGAAAAACTAAACCATCATTACTTCTTTCGAATCAGGTCGGTAATATGTATACAGCTTCCCTTTATGGTGGTTTAGTTTCCTATTTGTGTAGTAAACCAATCCAAGAGCTCGTTGGACAGCGTGTAGGTCTTTTTTCTTATGGTTCCGGATTAGCTTCATCGATGTATTCTATCAAAATAATTGAAGGTCCAAAGTTGACCAAACTACTCTCAAATCTCAAATCTGTGATCCCTCTTTTAAATAGCAGAAAAAAAATTGATCCCACTGAATTTTCTAAGACTATGGAAATTAGGGAGGTAAATCATAGCAAAGCTCCTTATAAGCCTGTCGGTTCTTTATCCTGGCTTTTCCCTGGTACATGGTACTTGAATCAAGTAGACGAGAACCACAGGCGGACATACCAAAAAATTTGATCCATTTCAGTTTCCTTTATTCCACAGATATAAAGAAAAATGTTTATAACTGCACTAATATTTAAGCTCAATCATCAAGTGGCCTTGTCAAGTTTCAATTAGAAAACATAACTGACAGATTTTCTTATTGAATGTGCAAGAAAATTTCATTCTGTATCTTACGCTAAAATAGCTGAATCCTCACCTCTCCTACCAAAATTTCAATATTGAATTCTTTATCTTTGATGCAATGTCAAAATAAATTATCTTACTGACAAATTTTAACCTATTTGGCTTTGAGCAAGCTACTGTTAGGTTTGTAATATATCTACTATAAATTCTTATACTAAATCTTTTATTTTATTTATTTTTGGTTTGTGGTCTTATGACATTAAATTTTTATATTCGCTGATTAGCCAAAGAAAGTTCAATACTGAATGAACGATTGCAACGATCATGGATTACTTTTGACCTACATATATTTATTTAAGTTTCAGGAGATTCAATGAATTTTCTGTTAACATAGTTTTAAAATCCTGGTCTCTCTACTTTACTATCTGATAACAGAAATGGGTTCAGGTACTGAACATTAGGCTGGTTTATATTCTACCTCCCTTTTATAATTATAGTTACCACATTCTTAAGAATATTGGCTACTTTGTCACATTATCAGTTACAAGATCTGCTTAATGTTAAATAACTATTTATTGTAATATTAGTATTTAGAATTAGTGCTACATATTACTACTCTCTTAATTGCATTACTTCATTGTGTAATGTTTGATTAAAACTTAATTAATCAAAAAATGTTGGTCATTCCAAAACCTCAAAATGTTCAAAAGATCCTACAAAAAGTCTGTACAAGGTTATGGTGCTCTTTTGAAACTATAGTTTAATAAATTTCTTTATTTTCATAACTGTAGAATTTTAAGAAATACATTGTAGCTTTTTATTTAGTATTTATTTATTTTCCCTGAACCGATTGTTTTTTAGCTAAATATGAACAGAAAAAGTTAGATCCATACATGGTGGTGACCCTAGGAAATTGCAGAGGATCGATTGGTATAACAAGATGGTTTATAGAGGAGTTATTAATTACATAATGAATTAATGACAGTTAATTAATTCTTGTTCGATGGTATACTGCCAGGCCAGTTCAACCTTTGAATAATATAGTGGGTGTTCCAGAAATTACCTCTCCTAGCAGCTGGGTATAGTATGCAGAGTGTCTACCAAATCATTTTGTGGAATTCCTTAACTTCTCCATACCATCGAAATAATAAGTTTTCGTGAACTGAATAATAATTTTACATTTTAAATACAGTAATTCGGAATAGTGGAGACCTTATAATGAAATAATTAGTTTTTATGATGATAAATCTCATAAAAATTTAGCAACCCTCTCATTTCTCTAACATTAAAACATCGAAACAGCCTCTTTGACAATAGAAACATCATCTGCAAAACTGACTTAAAAATTGTTTTGTTTTAAGAACCAATAAAGAATATCTTTATTATTAATACAGAAGCATGTCCTTAATAATTAATTTTATATTTATAATTAGCAGAGAGAAAATGTATATTATATATATATATATATATAATTAGCTGAGAGAAAATGCCATGATTTGTTTGACAGACGATAAGAATATTTATACTTATATCACTATTATGTTGTGAATCCATAACAGAAAATTTTTTTATGTCTTCTAGTTTCAACAATTCTCTGACTTTCAGCATTTTTTAATGGTATTCTCTGACTCTGAGAGTGTAGTGGCCAGTATGTAAAGGCATCACCTTAGCTGTCAGAGGTCCAGTGATCAGAAAAAAATATAGCTATATTAATGGTTGGTTTCTCAGTGTATTCCAAGTCTGATCAATTTATTATGGTCATGATAATGATTGTGACACGTGTTCATAAATTGAGGAACTTGGTTGTAAAACATGATAACTAACAAAATGAAAAAAATTTAAAATGCTTTATCTTCAACCAACTGTCACTTGCTAGATATCAATAAAAACAGAAAACTTTAAAGAAATTAATCTCTTACAGATAATATTGAGAACCTAAGAAATTAGCCATGATAAATCTTGTGTTGCCAAAAACTTCAATTCACTAAATTATGTTAGTCTGGCAAAATATCATTATTAAAATAAGAAAATAGTAAAAAGAAAAGGTTAAAATAAAAGTATGTTGGGAAGACAGTATATATTACACCATTAAATAGACAGCACAACAAGGAAATTTAAATAACAAATGTCTAATGTTATTATCAGTTTACATTATGAATTATTTACAATATATGAAATAAAATCATATATGTGATGATCATTCTTTTTTTAAAAACAAATGCACAACCACGAAACTTGAACAAACAATTAATACTTCTACAGCAGATCTATACAAATGTAACAATATTAAAGAGCTAGATCACACAAAACACTTTTTTCTTTAACAATTGTAATTGTTTGAAAAGTTATTTTTACTGAAAAATAAGTTACAGCTCGTCGTGAGTTGTACCAAATGACTGTAAAATATTTAATCTTTCTTGCATTTCAGTCTGTTTCTCTTTGTTGATTTTGCCTTTTAGAAGATTCTCAACTCTAGAAGACTCGTTCAGTACAAAGGCATTACCTTTTTCAATGACTTTCCTCATTATCTAAAAACAAGACAAGAATGATTTAAGATTGTATAACTCACTCAATATATATTAATAAAAATTAATTATATTTATTAAAAAAATATAATCTTCCAATAATATAAATATACTTTTTGTTCCATAGTTGCCTTGCTGAAATTAAATGATACAAATAATCTGAGTCAGGGCTCCCACGTGTAGATAAGGTTGTTAAAAATTTAAATATAAAATATCATTAGTTACATCATATCAGATATCTGCCATTATAGTATTTTTAAACAGAAACATACACAACACATTGGAGAGAGCCTGATCTTTTAGCTAACTCCGAGGATCAACATAGGGAATGTGTTAAGCCTGTCCTGTATATTAGAGTAAATATGCATAACTAGTTACTAACAGATATTTAAACAATTCAGTTACCATGTAAAGTGTGTAAGAAGTGCATGCAGCTAAAAATATAAATAGTGTTTACAGGTTAGAAAAACATTTGTTAATAACTTTTAATCCTATACTTGATTTAAATACTAAACAGCCCTATATGAGCAGAAATTAAATTATTCAAGTAAGAAGGTACTGGTAATAGTAACCCTTGAGGTTTTTTTTTGTACGACAGTTACTTAAAGGTTGCTGTCTCGTGCTAACAACATTTATTTCTTGGAGCCACTAAGAAATAAATATTAATATAACTAATCAAGACGGGAATTGAACTCACAAATGTTTTGAACCTGATACTCTAAAATCCTAATCCCAAGGGTGTTGAATAAATGTAGATATTTTTACAAAAAATAATTAAATTATTTCGATTAAATCTACTACAAATATAAAAGTTTCTAGTTTATATGACTATACTTCCCTTGAATCTAAACTCTCTTCTCTTTTTTAGAGATGCTGTAAAAAGATCAGAATAACATTATTTTTTTAGATAGCTTTAATTTGAAGTATCATAATATTGATGTGATCATCGAAAATAGTTATTTAACAAAAAAAATTAAACAAAAATGTAATAAAAAAATAACTACAAGGTAGCTGCTTCATTGGTATTCTACAAAATGACATTTTAAAAACAATACCTGAGAAAAGTTTGTATAATTATTTTTTTGGAATAATAGTAATAATTTTTCATTTTTTAAAGTCATTATTAATTTACTTTTGAAACTCTTCCGTCATTTTTTTTATCTTAAGCAATTTAATTTTTTTCTTTAGCAATTTAAGCCTTTTCAATAAATAAATATCGCTACTCTTAGGGCAAAAGGTCATATGTAAAAATTGTGTATTTTTATAGGACAGTATTTTATAAAAATAGATTATTTCTTAATGATTTATTAGTTAATCATTTTTATTAGATCATATTTTATATTCCTATCTAAAAGAGTAGTTATAGCAGTTGCAGACTATGAAATTTCATCATTAGCACTAAGAGAATAAACATGTTCAGTGCTACCTTTTGCACTAACAATAGCGGTATTATGAAACACTTTGAAAGGTTTTTATTCATTTACCCAATATTGGTTTTCTTCCATGTTTATTGACTTTTTTTGTGCAGCAACTCATACTGATTTTTTTTATAGACAAATGTTAGTAAATTGATACCTTTTTATTCTCAATTAGCAATATATTAAAATATTTGATTGTTGTTATTTAAGCTAAAACAAATCTAACACTCCATTGTTTGATCCTCTACCTCTTCTTTTAAACTTTAAAAGATCGAAACTATATATATATACACATCCCTACCACAAGTTGATCGGCCATCAAGTTCTTTAAGTATAAGTGATTTTTTTGTGATTTGTAAGATATTAAAAATAAAAGAGTATAGTTAAAATATTATTAACATTAATGTAAGTTGATTTGTTAGATATTAAAATGAAAATATCATAGTTAAAATATGTTTAATACAACATTATAAAGCATACAATTTTAATTAACAAAGTAAAAAAAAAGTGTATATAACATCTCTAATAAGTATTAAAAATGAATTTATGAATTATCAGCAGTGATCAAAGAAGAGTAATTGCTATAAGATTACATGAAGAAATTAGAAAGAAGAAAAGAACAATATCTCATTTTATTCACCTTAACATATGTTTCAGCAGACTTATTTTCTCGGTTTCCTTTGGCTGCGTTCCACAATGTTTCAGCTTCAGACAAGAGCTGCTTTTTATCCTCTGCACTATTAGCTCGTACAAATTTTGCAACAATTTTATCGAATTCTTGCAAACATCCAGGTAACCCAATGTAGACCTGAGATTTAGATCTGAAAATAAAACAAATTTAACACCCTGAAATTTTTAATCTAAATTACATATAACCATAAAAACAAGATCCTTAATCCTGTAGTACTTTTGAGAAGGAGACAATTTGGTCATGACTAATCTCTCACTACCTAATTTATCCCCTAACTATAATCAGGAATTAATTTTTAGGAATGTTCCAGAAAATCTCTACCAAACTGAAAAATACATAATAGTATATTGGCCCGAATACTATTTTTTTTTAATTTAATATTTTACAAGAGGGATCAGCGAATATTTGTCGAGCATTCAATCAAAACTTAATAAATCTACTATTTATGAAAAAAGAATTTTCTGGTTACTTACCTGAAAAGTATTCAATCCATTTCACAACTTTAATTTTCTCCTGTCAAATATATTTCACAAATATAAATTTTCAATAAAAATGAACTTATTTGCACAATATGTCTCCATAAAGATTTTCCCAAGCCAGCAACTGGCAATATGTCAGCACTTCATACTAGTCACTGGAGAGGTCAGCGAAGCAGTGGAGCATAGTGCAACAAAGCAGAAAACCAAATGGTCAAAACCCCATGTATATTGTAATAAGCTGATGAAACTTTACTACTAGGAACTATATGTCAGTTGAAGGCAAGTTGTCCCAAAATTTTGAAACAATATATACTTCATGAAAGCCAATATTCGTAAAAAAGGCTTAAAAAATTGTGGAAATTTATATTATTAAATTACACTAAAATTAGTCTTAATTATAAAATTCTAATAGTTAAACAATATGTATTCACACAAATGCAATGGTTTTTGATATTGGTTAAAGAAGATAAATTATTGTTTCTTATTTGAAGTGCCAAATTGAAATCAGAAAAGGTAAAAAATCATTTTAATTATGAGTTTGTCGACCTATAGTCTGTTAGCCACACCTAGCATGTTTTAAATTAACAAAAATAAGGAAGTGGATGTGCAATCAATTCGATCTCGGATCATTTTCATGGACCTCTCTGATTACTGATTCTTTTTGTTGATTCACGATCGAGTCCAGATTTTTTTTTTTTTTTTGTCTGAAGCTCTTCACTTAATTCACAAGAAATTGAACTTGTAACATGTAAACGGTCAAGCACAAGTCAACTGAAAGGCCAGTCACTATCCGCCAGTGATGTTCCAGTCAAAGTTTCTTGATACTGAGTAAGTTTAAGTCTATGGATAGTCTGGTAGTCTTCCATTGCTTATCTGTTAAATTGAAGTAATATTTTCCAGTGGGGTAAGATAATTACATATAAAATAAACTGTTACATTAACATAGTCACTATAAAGTATTTAACTTCAACAATAGTGTGCGTTGAATAGACATTCTTGATACAAATAACAATGTCTCCCTCATATAATTTATAATTCAAATGTAATAGATAGAAGGATAGACATCTTTCTTCAAACCTAATAATTTCTCAGACAGAGAAGCCAGAAAAAAATTCATTTAATATCTAAAACTTGTTAATAATAATTTTATTAATATAAGAATTGGCATATTATTTTCCTGAATAAATAAAATCTACACTAATATTAATTAATATATATTATAGACATGCAGAACTGATAACACACGGAAACATTCTTAATATCTATCTCAATAATAGCCACTAACTAAATTATATTATGTTCTTCCACAGCATTGACGGGAACTAAATCATGTCGACTTGTTATAGCTGAATCCATGAATCAACAAGTTATTTACACAATGCCCTTTTACAATTACAGACTTATATAACTAACTAATTCATAATTAATAAAGGAGGATAGCTATCATGTGATTACATTTACAATTTGTAAGTAACATTAAATATTATATTAGGGATGCTGGTACATGGGCCTCCAGAAAATTGAACAAAAAACTCTTTTAAAAAAAATAAGGCGTGTGCTTTAGACCACATGAAAGAAGTGAAAACACCAACAAGGCGATATTAATAATATGAAATATAAATGTTAATAATAGCTCATTTATAGAGAATGAAATGCTGAACATTTCCCTCGCTTACAATACGCAGGGCCGATTTTTAGTTTCTGAGATATTTTAATCTATATCTTCCATAAAACAAGTTATCATTTAGTTTTCGACACTATTTTTTCTCTGTGTTAAGAAACATTTTTGATTAATAGTTCATTGCAATGAGGATGAAATGATGAACATTTCCATCGCTAACACTATGCAGACCCAATTTTTAGTTTCTGAGACATTTTAATCCATATTTTCTATAAGACTTCTTATCATTTGGTTTTTGACACTAGTTTTTCCTATTCGCCTCCCTAATACGGCGTCGCATTAAGATATAATTTTGAACAATAGCCCATTACAGAGAGGATGAAATGCTGAACAATTCTCTCGCTTACAGTACACAGGTCCGATTTTTAGTTTCTGAGATATTTTAATCCATATATAAAATATTTCAATTAGTCGACTTTACCCGAGCGTTACACATCTCAGATCTGATGGCTCAATCTAATTCACTCTCCACAAAAAAATTGCAAAACGCACCTAAAGAAGTTTTCACTTCAATAAATAAAAACTCTTAAAGGGTCTTAAGTGATGAGGTCTGCACAAACAGGTAACTTCTATCCTCAACCAATTGAAGAATCAGGATCACTCCCTTTGTAGAGGCTGGGTATGCGCCACAGAAGAACTACAGACCATAGATATCTATATCAGTTAATCACTATGAAAATTCTCCTTAAAATTATATTAACAAAATGGTTAATTTACATCCATGAACCCAAAGTTAGTCTTACAAAGCTGTAAATATTTAATAATGACTTAAAATGTTTCCTAAAGCTCATGCAATACCTACATGAGAAAGCGGTGCAAACCTACACTAGGTGAACAAGTTTTAGAGGAAGTTAACACATTATTCTGATGATAATTCAAAACTGAAATGAAAACATGTTGTATTTCATTATAAAGAAAAGGAAAAAAAGGCTCCACATAATTACATTATAATAACCCCATACCTGAATAATTGGTTCATAACACAAATAATGTACTTCACAAATAAGTAAATATTAATAACTTAAAATTTATTCCAGTGATAATAAGTGTACTATTGCCACCACCTATAATTAATTAATGTGAAAAGTCATATTTTCGGAATTATATTCATTAATTTTTCAGAAGTATTGTTGAAAAAAAAAATTTAATGAACACAAATCTATGATTCAGAAAGGTTAAAAGGTAAGGAAATTAAAAAAAATTATCAGCAAAAGAGAAGTTAATAAGACGTAAATGTTAGATCATTTTTAAGTCTATTAAAGAGTAGCTAACAATATCATATTTATTTACAAAATGTGGTGGCGACGACACAAAAATATGTAATCATCTTAAATTTTTACAATCAAAATTTTTGAACCAGGACAAAAAATAATGCTCACCTAATGAATTTTTTCATGTTATCAGCAGTAAACTCCTTATCATCTTTGACAACAAATGGCAATGGTTCTTTATTGTTTCTTGTGAATAATTTAACCGATGGAAAGTCATCTTTTGTCACACCATATCTTTTAGCTAGATCTTCATTATCTTTTTCTCCATAATCCTTTACTTGAACCTAAGGTAAAAAAACAAAGTCCACCAGATGTCAAAATCAATTCCAATCAAAATTTAGTACAACAGTTGTTAATAAATATAATACCTCGCCAACTAATAGATCAGGAGAAGAATAAGCAGCTTCACAAACTGCCTCGAAAGCATCATGCTTAGCACCATAAGGATATGCTGAATCAAATTTAATCAAAGATGCCTCAAATTTTGATGTTATCTAGATTGAATGAAACAGGTAAATAAGCAATTTTTAAGTACCATTACATATATGTTTAGATAAAAAATGAAGAAAGAAAGTAAAATTAAAGATCAGCTTAACAAATATATAAATTTAAAATGAAATGAATTGTTTGGTTATTTATGACATACCTTATCAAATGAGTAAGTATCTAACTGAACACAACCTTTACAAAGAATACCAGGAACTAAAAGTGATAGAATAACAAACAGTTTCATTTTATTTCTTTTCCTATCCACTTTCCGTCTTATAATAACTTCTAACTATAACACACTTGATTAGTTTGCCGGTGTTTACACTTGCTCAAATCCCATTGGCTCCAACGCTATCACCAATTCCGATCCACCACTCGCGACAGAACCCTTTATCACAATCACTCCATTTGTTACTTTCCCCTACCACCTTTTAAATACCTTAAGTATTTTTTACTTTTAAAAAATCTTGGACCACCATTTAACAGATGGACTATTTCTAAATTTTCGGCATTGACATGCGATAACAATTTGCTAACAAAAATATTGAAATAATGTAAATGTACGTATAAAAAACTGTACAATAAAGATTCCTACTCTTAAAACATACTTTTTACAAATGGCAATAATATTTTTAACTTGGACGTTCAATAATTAATGAAGTCATAATTATTTTTTCAAGAATGAAAATCATCATTTTTAAGCTGATATTACATTTAGAAAACTTTTATAAACAAATAAAGATACTTGTTTTAAATTAATATCCTTTCTTTCTTATTATTTATCATAATGAGGTCTTTGAATAATTAGTATATGAACTTTGAACAGCCTACCAGATTCTGAAAATCTAAATAATTGCCAATTTTTTCCGAAATATCATAATTTTAGTGTGTATTAAAAAGGTATCATTATATAATCAATGAACTACAAACGAAATACATACTTAAGTCATGTTAAATTGTTTTGGAAAATATTATTCTCTATACAAAATAAATAAATAAAAATAAAAAGTCTGCACAGATGCCCTTATCTACAGAAAAATAACTCTATATTTCATAAGATTTTTCTCAAATCAAAGAAATAAGACGATAAATTAAAAATAGCTTCAAAGTTTGCTGTCTTGTCACTTTTTGCAAGTGATTGTCTATCGTTTTTTTTTTTTTTTTTTTTTTTTTTTTTTTTTTTTTTTTTTTTTTTTTTTTTTTTTTTTTTTTTTTTTTTTTTTTTTTTTTTTTTTTGTGAAAGTTGCAGTAGTGGCATAATTAATATAATCACTATTTTTTTCATGGCTTTTATCGGTTACTGGAAGTTTTAAAATCAGTTTTAACTTAGCTAAACTATATCTTACATCGTTACAGTTCCCTACATAGACCATATGTTGTTCGGATCTAATTTATTTTCAAGTCTCCTCCACAAAGATAAGATACAAAATTACATAATATACGGTGGGCCAGAACCCCCAATCGTGCAGCTCCCCTCCTCCCCCCCATATCACTATAAGCATATCATTGTGTTCCTTGTAACTATTTATTTAAAAAAAGCCAATGTTCCCACAAAAAAAAATGAACGCACTACCCCAAAATGACGCCATTTGGACGCCCAAAGATGGCGGATTGATGACTTTGACTTAAGTTAGTTTTTTGGCCACTGAGAATCAGCACTTGGCTTAATTTCCTCATGGTTGGTCTTTTATCAAAGCTCAATAGTCAGAGAATAAGAAAACATGAACAAATATTAAAAAATAATTGGCTTAGGCAATAAAAAACACCAGTAAAGTCAAAAATTTTCAAGTTGAAAATAAAGCGTCGTTTGTAATTAAACGGCCAACAATAACGCAAAATGTGCTGAAATAAAAGTGGAGAATATATGTCTCTTTTTAAAACACTGATTACTTTTTAAAATATTTGAAGCAGTTCCGTAGAAATGGCACTTATGCGGGAGAAAAGCGGTGCCGGCGTAGGTGCCTACAAGCCTCTACCACACCATTCTGTACACTTAAATGGCTTAGTTATAGTGATATAATAAAGTTTTTGATACATTATATTGGTTTTATTAACGAACAAATATTAATGCAAACATTTAATTGTAAAAAAAAAATTAAACATTTTTTTTTAGTTTATTTTTTTTTTTTTATTTCACTTACTTTATTCTATACGGAGGTCGTTTGAGTAGACATCTATTGTAAAAATGATATAATTATTATAATAAAACTTAATTGAAAAATACTTTGCTGAATATCTTGATTTTTTTATTTAATGTTTACAATGCAAGGTGCAGGGATCTCCTGGCGTTTGCTTTTCCCTCCACAGTTGGAGGGACAAGTCGGGTTTGGATTTCTCTCGCCAGATTGTAAATATTGTATATAGATATGTATGTGTTCTTTTTATTTATTTATTTTAGGTTATTTTATTCTTATTTGTTGTATTTATATTATTTTTCTGTATAATTTATTTTATTTATTGTACATAGTGTGAATGTGATCTGTGAACACTATTATAAATGTCCTTGAGACAGATTGTAATATTTTTCAATAAATAAGTTTTAAAAAAAAATGTTTACAATTTAACACTTTATTTTGTATGTTACTGATTCTTAGTGGTAATTTAGATTGTATATACATTCCAGGATATGAGACCATATCATTAGCTGTTTTATAAACTAAAATAATATATACCTAATCTGAACTACATATAATGAATAATTGCCGAGTTGTTTAGTAAAATTTATTGTTATGAAATTGCGGAATAAATTGTTCGGAAGTTGGACCATATCATAAAAAAATAGGAAATTTTAATATCGCATGCATTGTTCCCTCTGCACAAATAAAGATGGCAAGGGCGAAATTATAAGTTTTTCTAGTAACCTGAACTGATTGTTTGGATTTAGTGTCAAAATGAGGAAAAAACTCAAAATTGAACCTAAAAATTGTAAAAATACATTAAGCGAACGAGAAAGGAAGTGCCAAAATCTTGGAAAAGGACCAGTATCCATTATATGGCTAAACGAATGTATAGTAGACCACAGGCGGATTTACGGTGGGGAGGGGGCTTTCGGGCTGAAGTCTCCTCCCCAAAACGGTAAAATATAACCATGTTTTTAAGAAAAAAATATATCTCTTATAGTATTATTGTTCGTGTAATTACATTTAATAGGACTTCAAGAATCACTTAAACACCATTTCAAATAGGTAGTTCATTTCTTTCTTCTTTTTTTTTCAAATTAACTATCGTTATATATATGAAAAAAAATCTTTCGGGCTGGCAATCGACAATATTTCTTATTCTAGCTTCTACGAATCTTGAGTACAGTTTCTTTGGTACACCAAACAGAAATGAATGTCGATGGGAATCACATGTCCTAGTATCTCCTTTCTTGTAAAGGTACAAAACTACAGTCCTTTCATATGATTTTCTAATACATTTGTTGCCTATGTACGTACAGTTCGGTTTATTTTGTCCAGACCACCTGACTTGCCAATTGCTTCGAACAAATCTTTCTTGCTGATAAAATGGTCTTCACTATAATAAACCTGCATCGTCCCCTTAAGATCATCCAAACTTCTCCAGCACTTGACTAGCTTTTTGCAGCCTCATGAAATATTCTGTTCATCTATCTACTATACATTCGTTTAGCCATATAATGGATATTGGTCCTTTTTTTCTTTTCCAAGATTTCGGCACTTCCTTTCTCGTTCGTTTAATTTATTTTTACAATTTTTAGGTTCAATTTCGCGTTTTTCCTCATTTTGAGACCAAATCCAAACAATCACTTCCGGTTACTAGAAGAACTTATAGTTTCCCCCTTTCAATCTTTATTTGTGCAGAGGAACAATGCATTCAATATTAAAATTTCCTATTTTTTTATGATATGTTCCAACTTCCGAACAATTTATTCCGCAATTTCATAACAACAAATTTTACTAAATAACCCGGCAACTATTCATTATATGTAGTTCAGATTAGGTATATATTATTTTAGTTAATATATAATATAATGATGTGGCTCATTCCTTGGAAAGTATATACAATTTAAATTACCTCTAAGAATCAGTAAATACACAAAACAAAATGTTAAATTGCAAACGTTAAATAAAAAATTCAAGGTATTCAGCAAAGTATTTTTCAATTAAGTTTTATTATAATAATTATATCATTTTTACAATAGATGTCTACTTAAACTTCCTCCGTATAGAATAAAGTAAGTGAAATAAAAAAATAAAATAAAATAATAAATTAAAAAAAAATGTTTAATTTTTTTTTACAATTAAATGTTTGCATTAATATCTGTTCGTTAATAAAACCAATATAATGTATCAAAAACTTTATTATATCACTATAACTAAGCCATTTAAGTGTACAGAATGGTGTGGTAGAGGCTTGTAGGCACCTACGCCGGCACCGCTTTTCTCCCGCATAAGTGCCATTTCTACGGAACTGCTTCAAATATTTTAAAAAGTAATCAGTGTTTTAAAAAGAGACATATATTCTCCACTTTTATTTCAGCACATTTTGCGTTATTGTTGGCCGTTTAATTACAAACGACACTTTAATTTCAACTTGAAAATTTTTGACTTTACTGGTGTTTTTTATTGTCTAAACCAATTATTTTTTTATATTTGTTCATGTTTTCTTATTCGCTGACTATTCAGCTTTGATAAAAGACCAACCATGAGGAAATCAAGCCAAGTGCTGATTCTCAGTGACTAAAAAACTAACTAAAGTCAAAGTCATCAATCCGCCATCTTTGGACGCCATTTTGGGGTAGTGCATTCACTTTTTTTTGTTGATGCATTGGCTTTGTTTTAATAAAGTTACAAGGAACACAACGATATGCAATTTATAGGGATGTAGGGGGGGATGCATGATAGGGTGGTCTGGCCCACAGACTAAAGAGGGTTTTCTAAAAATTTCTTAGAAGGGGGATAGCGCCACCCATCTTGGATGAATTATAAGCTTGTGCGTGTAAATAGTTCAAAAATAAAAATACTTTTGTCACTGAAATTATATATTTAAGATAGAAATATTCACTGTACCGTCGCGTGGGTTTAAGACGCCCAGGGCGAGATTTTACCAGGCGCCCCCCCTCTTCCCACTGCTCCATTCCAAATCATCTCAGGTTTTCTTCTTTTTCCCTTCTAACTATGATCTGACATAGTTTTTCATAAGATAAACGTATGTGTCATTACTTACCTATTGTTGATATAAAAGATTTTTTTAATTTATTGTAAAAACTTTCCGACAACATACATGTAATATTTACCCCAATTCATGGCGCCTCCTAACTAGGGTGCCTCGGTTGCACTGTCCATGCGTTGGCCCTGTGTATGTATAGAACATACAATCCTACTCTATGAATGGTCTGTCTATGCCAGAGGTGCCCAGAAGGGGGTTTCATGGCACAAGGTGCGCCATCAAAATTTTTGAGGGGAGCATATTTTGACGGGTTTTTGAATTTTTGAGGGGGGCAAATTTCGACTAAGATATAAGGGAAAACATGGAACAGGATATTGCAAGTGTAATTGGATATGATCTAAAATTTTTCTAATTCTACCTTAGGTTGCTCTGTTTTTAAGAAAAAGTGAGGGAGGGAGGGTAGGTTCTTGCGAAATGGATCTTGGGAGGGATGGGCACCCCTGGTCTATGCAAAGGCCCAACAACTAGGGGCTCATGAGCCCTCTCTCTCTCCCTCTCCCTCCTCCCACGCTGCCATGATGTGGAAGCTTAGACAATCACTATGTTTTATTTGTGAATTATAATCTATATACAGCTACTAAATGCAAGCACATAAAAAAAAAAAAAAATTCATCCATAAAACCATTTTAGTTCATGTAATTTATTTTAGTTCATGTTATTTTTTAAAGGGTAATCATTCTAGGATCACTTAAACATCATTTAATATAGTTTCTTTCTTTTTATTCTAAAGTGATTAACATTATAAAAACAAACTTTAAAAAAAATCCCCAAAATTAAATTCTGAGTAATCTACTGCTTCTTTTGACAACTGTTATAACTACTACTGTTTCAACTCACTGCTGCTCTTTTAGAGGTTTCTAGAACTATCAGTTAATCAATTACCCCTATTTTATTATTATATAATTTAAAATAAATAATTATGACCAGTTTCATTTGAAGAAATAAAAAGAGAATGGCATAACTCCGTCTATAAAATAGGTGGTGACCTTATCTTAGCATTTTCATTATTAGTTGGCTGTGCCCCATTGTCCTTTGTATGTGACAAACATCGGAGTGGTTGAGTTGAGTCCTGATTCCACTATCACAGCTCATTTTTTTTCCGGAGATCTGACTCTGATATTAATTAAAAAGCTGCAAAGTATATTTTGAACTTATTGGTCTTAAATTTCATGATCTTTTAAAATGTTCATCTTACTATCTTGCAGCTGCAAGGTCAAGGATTCAGCTATTTTAAAAAAAGATAACTAATCAATTCTAATTTTACAAACTAATTAGCTGCTCAAAAAGAATTCTAAAACACGTTTTTGACAAACACTAAAAATGCTAAAATAGGGGAGCAAATAAAGAATTACCTTCACTATTAGTAAGATTTTTAACTCTAAATTTTATTTAAAATTGCATTCCTTTTTTTAATGTATATCTTTTCCCCAGATTATTATTGCTCAAATGATCTCAGTTAAAATAATACTTTAGCACTAATACTTTATTTTATTATACTTAAATTAAATAAAAAATTATACTCTTGTTTGGAGTTGTGATAAAATTAAATTTTCTATTTCCTAAGATAATATTTATAAATTCAATAACATTAATATCTTAATAACTTTTTCTGCTAAGAAACGTTCCCACACTTCATTACAACTGCAAATCCAACAAGGTTTGATTATTTTATAAAAAAGAAAATGTAGCTTAACACGTTAGCTGTGGTTACGGTCCCCAGGTTCCGATATTCATCTTGATTTCGGCCGGGATTGTTTCAAATTTTTCCTATCTTACATAGTCTTTAAAATGGTCATTTTTTTAAATATTTGAATAGGAGTTGGATAAATGTAAAGATAGATACAAACGTAACTAATCAATATGACGCCGGGGACTGTAATCGCAGCTAACGTAGTAATTAAAGAATAACATATTATATCAAATGATTAGTAATAAAACCCGTCAACACACTTTTCATAAGTTATAGAAAAAAATAATTAAACTAATATAAAATTAATAAGAGTCGAGGATTTAACTTCTATGATTAACAGCCCCTCGTTGTACCCTAGATTGAGTAAATAATGATGCTAAACCAATATAAACTTCAATGGCGTACCTGAGACCTAAGCATTTTCAACCTTGATTTCAATTACAGCGATAAATGTTTTAATAATTGTAATTATTTCTGATATTATTTCATAGTTAATACATTTTAGAAATACTTTAATGAATCATATCATTAAAAAAATATTTATTGATTTATTTGGGCTTGATAACATCTTTAATTTTATATATTTCCCCAAGAATAAGATAAATTTCTATATTAAATAAAACAAATATGTTTTGTAAAAGGAATAGTTCCATTAAGTTTGACAAATGGAGACTAAAACTAACTAATTTTAATACAGTAATTACTTACTTTACGCAAATACAAAAAAGGAAATTTTGAACTGATTAAAAAAAAAAACTTTTTTTAATTTTATTTTTTTTCACAACTAGCAAATTTCATTAACAGTAATTAAAAGATTCAATGAGAGATGACAGAAAAGGGAATCACATAAAAATTCTAACAATCAATTTACTCAAAGTTAAGTACAATTAGAATTGCAGAAGTATTTTTTTTAGACTACACATATTTACATTATTACAATACAAAGGAATTTAACATATGTATTAAATTTCTTCCATATTTTTTAATACATATTAAGAAATAATATAACTAAAAATATTTCCAAATTCAACAGCTTATTTTAGATATCAGTTAGATAAACAGTAATGTGACTAGCTAGCTTAGGAATACAGAACATTCATAATTTACTATTAATTGATAAATCAATAAATGTTAATAGCGAAATTTATACCTATTAAAACTATAAATATAATGTTTTTGGATGATTATTAGAACAATTAGCTAAAATCTTAATCAAAAATATATAAAATATAAAACTTACTTTAGCATCATACCACATAGAGAAGTCTCACCATCACAAATGTTGTTCTATATAAACTACTATTATTAACAGCATATAATATTATATAAATAGCATTAAACAGTGTTTTAATTAGAACCATAAATGTATTGAATCATAATTATACATTTTTACTTATTAAAGGAAGAAAAATATATTTCTTAAAATTAATAAACCAAATCTTTCTTATCACATTACAATAAAAAACATGATGACTAATTAGAAAATGTTAGTAAAAACAAAAAAAAAACTTACAGACAACTTAAGCCTAATGCATAACATGAAATGAATGAAAACATATATATCCAAAATATAAAATTATGAAAAGTTGAGTTACAAATTCACTTAATTAAATAAAACTTACAACGAAATGCTCAGCAATAAAATCACACATAAAATTAACCAATGATTTAATAATGGAAGTCAGCCCTGTGGAAGAAAATGTTTTTAAATTATAAAAATATAAAACAATAAAATTAAAATAGTTGATACTAAATTATCAATACAAAGTGATACAAAGAGAAATTAGCAATGTTTAAAAATTTAATTGTACTTTGTTTTTTCACATAAACAGAAAATATTTATTTATATCAGAAAAATCATAAGTACTCCTCAGTAGTATACTATAAAAATTGGCTTTCAATTTTCCAAATAAAATTTTAATAAATCTTCCATTTTTCATTAATAAGTTTTATTCTCAAAATTGTTCTCCTGTAGAATTTTTATAATTCATTATTCAGCCAATCACAACTCACATATGAAATTTGGACAAAACATAAACACTTTTAGATTCTAAAAAGTGAGTTTCCTGCAATAAGACCACATGAGCTTGATTGCCCTTTTTGCACTTATGCCTCAATTCTTAATTATATTAAAAAGAATCTTACCAAGGACTTAATTAAATTGCCTATCTGGTAAGGCAATAGGAGCTACGAGTGTCCACATGTAGAGTCCAAGGCATACCCAAGTAGAACACATTTTCACCCACATTGAAGCACTGTTTGAATTCAATGTTTCTAATGAAGAATTTGGCCTGAAAAGAAAAAATATATACTTCATTTATAATAGGAATTATATATATGAGCTCTAAACAAAATTATAACATTGAATTTCGAACAGATCAAATGTTGCTATATTCATAATTGTGGGTAAATGGTTGACTGTAGTGAATAATGAAGAGAAGAATAGTTGGGGTGATCAGTCAAATAAGAAGGCAAAAATAAATGATAATATTTATTTTGACATTTGCTAACGTTTCGACCTGAAGTTCAGGCCTTCATCAGGGCTAAGAAAAAGAACCAGATAACAAAGTATGAGAAACATAAGTAGTGTAGGAAAAAAAATTAAAGTAAAATGCAGTTCTATTCTAACAACTGTATTTTACATTAATTTTTTTTCCTACACTACTTATGTTTCTCATACCTTGTTATCTGGTTCTTTTTCTTAGCCCTGATGAAAGCCTGAACTTCAGGTCGAAACGTCAGCAAATGTCAAAATAAATATTATCATTTATTTTTGCCTTCTTATTTGACTGATCACCCCAACTATTCTTCTCTTCGTTACTATATTTAATCTTATGTTGATAAAATATTTCATAGAATTTCTTTCAATCAATAACAATCATATGTTTAAAAGGTGTATATTTTTTTGTTATGAAGATTAACTATTTGTCTTAAAATAGTTTTTTAATCTTTTATTTAAAAAAGGTTAACCTAACTTTTCCATTGTCCACTTTTAACACATTGATTGCTATGGGTACTTGTCAGCATTCCGCTCCGAAAAGCTAAATTAATTTAATCATATTAAATTATTAAAAACCCTCATTTTTATAAGTAAGAATCTTCAGAAAGACAGGCAAGAATACTAACTATGAGTGACCTCATAGTTGGGCAATCAACATAATTATTTTAAAGATTGCAGAAATCAACATTAATTAATTAACAGAATGATACTTGAAAGTAAAACTAAACAGTAATATAAAAAAAATAAATACTTACATATACCAATTGGTCAATGTCATCATCACATAAAGTGTTGCAAAAGCAAACATCACATGGAAGAAAGACCAAGAATAAGCAACACCGTCAGCTTCATTATCCCAAACCTTACCATCACCACCGGATTCTCCAGTTTCTCCACCATCATTCTCTGAAAATAAATAAATCAAAATTTTCTATAGAAAAGCTGCTTACTATGCAATATATCTTAAATTAAAAAAATTATAAATTTTTCTTAGAGAGAATTGACAACTACATTAAATTGTGATGAATTTACGAATACAAATGATTGTGTTTAAAAGCACTTATAACCTTTAAAAAATCCATGGACTTGTTGAAATGTGAATTTAACAGTTATATGTAGAATCCAAGATCTGGTAGCTGATCATTGTCTAAATATACTTATTGTATTGTAGGTCCGGGTCATCCACAGCGAATAAATAGGGAAGTCTTTTTTTAAAAAATTATTTTGCTCAATAATTCAAGTCATCTATCCACTCCCTCTCCACAAGATCTCGTCCTTCTGACCTTTATACACCTTTCCACAAATCGGCCTCATTTCAACACTCCTTTATTGTCCGCTCCACCACCTTTTGGAATTCCATCCCACTTAAAATCCGCCATGCACCATCCTTATCCATATTTAAAACCCTCTTATTCCAATTCCTCCTTACAATTCAATCAGACGCTGGGTAGCCATTAATCATGTATATTATATATGTATATAATCTCGTCTATATGTATATTCTCTTTTATTTTCACCGATCAATCTACATCTTAAGATTTGGATTATATAGGACTTGTATAAGGTGTACAATACTATTATTGTATTCTTTGATCATGTTAAAGTACATATGTAAATCATTTAAAGTAAATATTTATCCACTCTTTTATTATTTTTTTCATTAATACAATGGTATGACAACAAAAGTAAGTTGTCTTTCATTCCAAATCTCACTTAAAATTCCATAGTTTATTGTTTTTAGTAACTATCTTGCAGTATTAGGACCTTATTGCTCATATTATATCTTTAATGTATCAGTATAGTTATGTAAATCCTTCTGTTATTACTTATTTTTAGTTTTTTTTTTTTATGTACTTTTTTTATTGTGATATACATTATAGCCAGATGTTATGTTAATTTTTCTGTACAATATTGTTATTCTCAGGGGACTTTGTCTCAGAATAAAGTTGATTCTTCTTCTTTTAATTTGTTTTAATTTAACAGCAATATAGTGGAGAAGAGTGGTGGAATTGTAATATAGTGGAGAACTGTGTAGAAACAGAAAATAGAGTAGAGGAGTGGTGATGGCCTTTAACAACTGGTCAAGTATAAGTTTTAAACTTGAGTATATTTAATCTTTTATTTATTTTCTATCCTATTGTTTTTTTTTTTTTTTTTTTTTTTATGTATAGATGTAGGTTAGGTTTACTTTACAGATATGAATACATAATTTACTAACATAAAACATGTTTGCATGAAAAGGTATCTTGATATAGAATATTATTTAAGATATGCAACAGTAAACTGAAGAAAGCAGCAACCTGTTTACTTTTTTCACTTAAGACGAAAAATTGGATTATTATGAATGACCTAGAAGTATACTTCTTATTTTGTAATTGTCAATATTTATTTATATAAAACATAATTTTATGATCATTAGGGGATAATATAATGACAGATTTGTAAATGTTATTCTTTTACAAAAATTCATGACTTTTTAATTACTTGAGATCTAAAGTTTTCAATTAATACCTTTCATTTCATTACTACTAAACAAAAAATAAAACCAGACAAACAAGATTTAAAAAAGTAAGGTATTGATAAACAAAGTTGAAACATTAAAATAAACTATAAAGGAAAGGGAACGATTGTGACAGATGGTTTTTGTGATAACAGAAAACTCATGAAATATTGATCTATTCGTAAATATTGCACAGCCCAAGCTATATAAATAGTGCAATACACATTGTGTAAATTTACACTTTATTTTTAATTTTTTGTTATTGTTAAAAGACATTTTAATTCGAAGGAATGAATCACAGCATTTCACATAATATAAGATACAAACTTGCCATAAATATTTCAAGATAATCATATTGAACACAATTAAAAGATAACCTTGTAGTTTTTTTTTTCAAAATCATTATACTTTATTAAAAAATTGTATAAAAGCTCATGAAGATGAGCATAAGTCTTTCAATTAATTTTAAAATAAACTTTTTAGTGCGACAACCAGATACCATTATTCTTCAAGCCATTGATAATCACAAAGCATGCATTAAACAACAAAACAAACATGAGTAATTCTAAGATTACAGACTACTTCGAACAATCAAATTAACAAAAAAAAATTTTTAAATGAGTTAATAAAACCATTACTTTTTACATTTTTTTGTAAGAAAAGATCTTCAGGTGAAGTTAAAGTCATTAGATAGAATTGATACCATTCTTTCGTTATAAGCTTTTTTAATTAAATTTTTTATATTTAACTTTTCCTGTTTTAATTTTGTTGGTATTGTCAAAGAGATAAATGCAAATAATTTTACCAACACTTTTATGGGAAAAGTAGAGTGTCCTTGAGGACGGAATAGTATTCATTCGGAACAGTTATCTACTGACCACATATTTAAGGTATCGTTCAAAAATATCCATAATCTCCAGGCACAGACAAATTAACTACTGCCTCATGGGAAGGCTGCAAGATAGTTTAAAAGTAGAATTGATCGCCACCTTTTAACACAGATAAGCTCTCGACTCATATACGAAACGTCAATATCGATATTGGGTTAAAATGTTGCAGTAAATTCAAATAAAAATGTGTGAACCTACTTTGCCAAATTTCATTTTCAATGCCAGCAAGAGATTCAACTATTAAGGACTTTAGAGGTGTCATTCACATCCTCAGGCCTCTTTCACACTGAAGATGCAAGATGCAAGACAATAAAGTGTTTATAAAATGCATGTAAAGAATAAAATAAGCCGCCAATGATTGACCAATTCAGGCATCATCAGGACAGAAAAGAAACGAAACCCTAGGTCATACCACTTCATGACATTCACTCGTCATTTCAATAGAAAATGATTACTAACTTGCAATTTTGGCATGCAATTTTAAATCTTCCATGGTGATATCAAGAAAAATAGATAAAAACATATGGAGAAATAGTTGAAAATCAGAGCAACTGATAAAAAAAAGTATAGTTAAAAAAAGAAAGAAAACAATTGTTAGAGACTACAATCACAAGAGCTTAGAGAAAATTGAGAAGGGAGAGGGTATACTGGCAGGGTAGAGCATTGGCGGTTTAAGCCAACTGGATCCGATGATTGCTCCTCAAAAATATTTTGCTTCGGGCGGGCCGAGGTGAAAGGGGCGAGTATGCAAGACCAGCACAACAAAGATGCACGCTAAAAATCTCCAACCGGCTGGTTTCCAAGATGCACGTGCATCTTATATTCAGGCTGCAAGACTCACTTGCATCCTCGGTGTGAAAGCTCTCTTTCTATTACACAGTCCAGTGTTTAAGATGCATCCTGCATCTTGCATCTTCAGTGTGTAAGGGGCCTCAGATCACCAATTTTTACAATCCAATTGATTACTCAAAATTTCCCTTTTTAACTTATTCCCTTCCAGTTTCCGTTTCAGTTACATAATGAGAGTACAAACAAGGGATATATCTGTTTTACTCAGTGCTTGGTAGATGTAAACCAGAGACTAAGAAGTATAACATGAAAAATGTTAGCTGATAGTTAACTTTTTGAAAAAGATTAAGTTGGCTTTCCGTTAATTTGAAAATGAATGGGATATAAATTAAATTAATTGTAGGATACAAGTTACTGTAATGACTGACATTTTTTGGCGGAACGTTGTAAAGCTACATAGTAAAACATTTTGAAAAACTTTATTCTAAATAGATAATAATTAATATCTTTAGCATACACTAATGGACAAAATTACTAAATAAAGCCTTTGTGAAGGATCATGTTTCATCATCATGGACACAATAATGTACTGTAATCTTAGAAATACAAACAGAACAAAATATTAGAATAAGCAATTGTTATCTATGAAATGCTAAAAAAAAAAAAAAGACAAAATAACATAACAAGTTGAACAAATAATTCTTTCCCAGACTAAACTAAGTTGTTAAAATAAAGTAGAAAGAAAAAAGTCATGTATTTATTTTTCATTTTTGATGAGTATGAAACAAGTATTTACCGCTAATATTCCAATTGTCCAAAAGATATTCATAATTGCCTACTTAAGCTATTTCAAAATAAATCTATAAAGAACAAATAATAATTTTTTCTTCTGCTAAAATTAAAGTAGCAGATAGCTGGCTATAAAAATATACTAATATATATATTTTTAAATACATTATTTAATACTATATCCAATTCTAAATTGCATATAGTAATCTTTTATATCACAAATTAAGGAGCAAAAAATCAACTTCAAGTTACTTGGAACTCTACTATACTGTTTCATTGAATGGAAAGTTTATCAGATAAACCAAATCCCATTAAAAATTAAGCCTTCTTAAAATAATCTAACATTTTGTCTAAGTTTAAAGCTTATGTAGAATTATACAGAAGACAAAAAAAAACACCCAACAAACACATAAAGACATAAGAAATGTTATTTTGTTGAATTAGTGTTACAATGAAGTCAACATGCAACTAATGAAAATACAATGAGTTATCATACCTTCATTAGAAATGAGATTTGTCGAGGAAGATCGAGCTATGAAACAAGAAAGTAAACTATTAAGACAAAATCAAATAAAAAATAGTTTCAAATATGGAGCATAAACTAAACACAAACTACTTTGTTGGGTGATAAATATTCAGGACGCAGTCATTTTAAAGTTTTTATTGGTGCCAACGTTTCAACCCAAACATGTGGTTCAGTACCTAATACGTACTTGAATACCATCAGTTCTCGAAAAATGCCCTAATGATGACCCATATGTTTGGATTGAAACATTGGCACGAATAAAAACTTTAAAATGACTGCATTCTGAATATTTATCACTCATGATAGGTAGAATAGTCGACTAACTTCCTTCAACAAACTATTTTGGAATAAAAATTATATACTGCTTCAGTTTTTCTTAAGATTGATTTTAAAAAAGACTTGTTTCCTTTTAATTGACTTTGTATTGTTAAATGAATTTTTTAACCCTACAAGAAAACTTTATTCTTAGCGCCTATTGAATGATAATTATAATTATTTTTAAAAATCCTAACTGAAAGTTCTATTTTAACTGCATTTTTTTTGTTATTTACAAGCACATTCACACTGATTTTCAAGTAGTTATTGTTAACAAAGTTAATTGTATAACATTTTAATGATAAGGATTAAGTTCTGGAGGCTCAATGGCGATTACATCTAAGAGCATGCTTTCATATCCATAGAGCGCAGTAAAAACAGATTATACAAATTAGAATTAACAAGTTAGAATTACAAACCGCTCTCCTTCCATGTTTTTTATTGTCTTCCCTTTCCGGCTATATGGAGGTTTTCCGGATCAGGGAAGATGACCGGTGATAAATGACAGAGTTAAAAGCCCCCTGGCACCGATTATTTTATCACCATAACCCCTGTTTATCAGGTGTGTGCAAAGCAAGCGCATTAGCCCACTCGGCCATCCCACTCCCTAACCTTTCCATGCCCCTGTACTACTACTCCAACTTATCACTTTAAACGATGAATATAATAATCCTAATAATTTCTTAGAATGGTTGTGTTCTCTATATTACATAAATTTTGTTTAGATCGCTACTTTGTTCAACCAATTTACTTCTTGGTTTGAAAAACCTAGATCACCCTACCACCTTTATTGTAGAATTATAGCACTAACAATCTAATCATGACTTGATTTTTTCTCTAAAGAAAAAAATATTTTCAAATTCAATCCCTGGCAGAAAGGACTTTTTCTAGACAGCACCTTCTTTCATTTTTTGCTAACACCCATACGGAATCATTAGCATGTTGATAAGATATGTTTGTGCCAATTTTAAACAAAATCCCCAGCATCATTCTGAAGATCAGATGAGCCTACTTTCTAATAAGTAAATGAAATTACTTAGAAACGATGAATAATACTTATTCACTTATTTGTATGATATCTACATGCCAGACTAATGTACATATTTTTTTAACTCTACTATTATTCTAAGGGGACTTCAGTCCCAGAATAAAATTATTTTTCATTTCAAATAATAACTGTTAATTTTCACATGAAGTCAGGTGATTGATTTTAAAGAGCATGTTGAAAACTATTGATTTAAGTACTACGAAATAAAAGAAGTCTAAGTAGTGCCGGTGAATTAAAGACGGATAGAATATTGTAGGCAAGTCAGAACCTCTGAAATTAACTCAGCCTTACAATTATTATACTTACAATCAGGCGAAGAAATAACGCCACACCATTCAGATTAAAAATATGAATAAAATAATCAGTTTTTTTACAATATTACATCTGTCACAATAAATAATTAATGTGCATACTATGAAAAACAAGAAAAATCTAATTATTTTTCAACTGTTCACGAAACTCAAGGAATATAATCAAAATATCTTTCTTCTTTCTGATGTTATTCTTCTGACATTTCCTGATCAGTAAATATATTAATCTTACATCTCAAATGAATACAAAAAAAAAAATTAATTATCAATAAGTATTGTAAATTTAAAAAGGAAGGAGATGGTCTGGGGTGGTGGTCATAAATAGGCTAAATAGTGGCAAAACTATTTTATTAAAAGCCAACATTTCGACACGACTTTGCAGATCTTCTTCAGGGAGGTGTGTTCAGCTAGGATTTTCACTTTTAATAAAATAGTTTTGTCACTATTTAGCCTATTTATGACCGCCACCCCGGACCATCTCCTTCCTTTATAATGCAACGATCAACTATTAAATATTCAATATTGTAAATTTAATTTGTGGGAGGAATGAGGATTAAATATGAAAGAAAAAAGTGAGTCTTCCTTTCAAACAAACAACCAAATTTGAACACAAAATCACAATCAGATGATTTATAATTCATTTGGTATGAATCCAAGGGACAGGCGAGATCCAGTACTATGTGAATACCCATTTTCCTGCAAATTGTTCGAGACTAGACGATAAAAAGCTATTTCCTCACCATCACCCCTTTCAGAAGGTATCAACCATCTCCATCTATATAATAGATCATTCTCATTCAGAGAATCCCAAGAAGCCTAGCCAGGCCTTCTGGGCAGTAACTATACCTTCATTGTCCCTTGAGACAGCTCTGTAGACCTTAGTTACTTGCAGCAGAATCAGTCTCTTTAATGTCTTCAACCTTCCTTCTTGTTTTACAATACTATTGTTCTTAGATCTTAGAAGGTGCTAGTGCAAAACTAACATACTCTTCTTTGACATGAAACAAAAGTTATCAATGATCTTTCACTTTCAAATCTTTACTTCCACCAAAATTCCTTATTTTACATGTTGTAAGCAGAGTGGTTCAAATCAGACACAGAGTCGGCTCTGCATAATCATATCTGATTATTCTAACATGGACATTTAATATAAGTTTTCCAATCTGCAGAATACAATAGTCGCTAAGACGATCTTATTTAGGATAACGAAAAACAAAACAAAAAGTTAATCTCTAAATTAGTCTTATTTTGCTATATTTATTTTTCTTATTTTCTCCAAACTTTAAATTCTTCTAGCATTTTATCCTAAAATACTGGTCTTGTTTGCAAAAGTAAAATAAACAAGACAACATCGACATCCCTCATTCGGAATAAAAACCATCCAAAAAGTAAATAAAGTGATCAAAATGTAATGACAGTCAAAACAGCACTGAACCCTACAGGTGTGGAAGGTAATAGACTATTTTGTTATCCTCAATCTTGAATGGCACCGTCTAAAAGCACATGCCATCGAGACGAAGGTTGTAATGATAAATAAATTTGGCACTTAAGATGCTATTTTACTGTATTCATTAATACGCTTCACACATGGCCAGCACCGAGCAAATGTCACTTTAAGTAACTGCACCTCGTAAGACTGCATTAGTGTGAAAATTAGCCTCCGATGGATTGAGGGTCCCCCACACTAAAAGATTGAGAAAAAAAAGAGCAAAATGCTAATCCAAACTTACATATAAAACAAACTTTGAAAACTCGCACATTATATGAAAAAAATATTCAATATTAAACAAAATCTTAATGATTAATAAGAAGAATAGATGTTTTATTCATTTAAAAAAGAATTTAAAAATCACAGATATAGTATGATTTCTTTTTACTAAATCCGATCCAATTCTCATGAGAATCAAAATCACACAACAGTAAGATAGTCATTTTGTATTTTTTTTTTTCTTTTTTTTATTATACATGCACATTTACCAGTTGGTTCACACAAAATATGTCTTACTTTTGCAATTATTTTATATATTTTAAAATACACATATTCATGCTAACATCCACAAATAGATAAGCTTGAGTTTAAGGTAACTGACTGATTAGATTTTTAAATTATTTAATAGGTCTAACTAAATAATCATGCTATATTAATAATACAGATGAAACATATTAAGTTACATTTATAATTAATCGTTACAGGAAACTATTTTGATCTATAACCAAATAATACACAACTTAATTACCTGCTCCTGTGTCCTTGACAAGTACATGTTCTGACATAGTTATTTTAGATGACTTTGAAGCAGTTCTTAGAGATGAATATAAAACACAACCCATCCAAATCAAAAGTCCTACGATACTTTCGGTATCAAAATTTACTTTATTTTTACCCATAAGTAGAAGTCCTGGGTTGCAATTGTCATCTGTAAAAAAAAAAAAAAAATAGATCACCCTCATATAATATGGATAAAAAAAATTTGACAAATTAATTAAATAAATTCTAACAATGGTTGTTCTAATATTAATGACAGAATCATATATTTCTTTCACTTTTTACATATATTATTATACTATAAATATTATTGCAGGCATTGACTCATACATAACTAAATTGAAGCAACTTGTTATCAGCAATTAAAATCATACGATAAGCTTCATTATATAATCAGGCGAAAGTACTTTAATTATAAAAATACATACAATAGAATCTTATTATACCATCATTATCTCTTAAAAAAACAAAATAAAAACTGTATCACTACAACCAATGAAGGGTCTTGGGTTCACTACCAAAGGAGGAAGTACTGTTACAAGGCCAATGGTTATGCAGGGAGGTGATTGGACCAAAATCACACTCAACCGCCAGGTTTTCCCCCTTAATTAATTATTTAATTAAGAGTACCCACTTTATAGAGGCTGGGTGTGCTCCAGTAGGGTTTCCTGACCACAGGGTCGATCCACGGCTAATGAAAAATTACTAGTCATCAGCTGAACTCGAATCTGGAATCATAAGTATAATAAAATGGAGGGCTAGGCTTATTTCCAGGGACAGGCTAATCTCGCTCAGTAATATGCTACTAGTACACACCACACTATAATTTAGAATTTAGGTATCTACTCTTCTTTCTAATTAATTTGAAGTACAAGAGATATTTTTTAAAATATTTATTCCTACAAGACTTAAACAAGAGGACAGAGGTATTCATAGCATTACATTAACTCAGTTTTATTCTGACTGAGATCTAATGAGTGGGTGTAAAAGAGCAAGTTAGTAGTTCTCTCATTTAGCAGTGGAGCAAAGAAATTAGACTTGGTTAAGAACCTTGTCATTGCTGTGACGATATTGACAACCAATAAAATTAAAAATTGCTTAAGAACCTTGTCATTGGTACGACAGTGTTAACAACCAATAAAATTAAAATTTGCTTAAGAACCTTGTCATTGTCATGATGGCATAAACAACCAAGAAAATTAAAATTTGGTTAAGAACCTTGTCATTGGTATGACAACGGTAACAACCAAGAAAATTAAAATTTGGTTAAGAACCTTGTCATTGCTATGACAACATTAACAACCAAGAAAATTAAAATTTGGTTAAGAACCATGTCATTGACAGCATGAACAACCAAGAAAATTAAAATATGTCCACAAAACTTGTTTATTTTTATTAATAAGTTTTTATGTTAATCGAGGTACCTAAGGAAATCTCTAAGTGATTCTCCTTTGTTCAAGTTTCAATTCATTTTAAACTTCCATTTTTAATAAAGACTACAGCAGATAGTATACTTCAATTTTTAAAAACCAAAATGTTGTCTGACAAGTATTTGTTGAAAACTGTGCCACCTAGGATATGTGTGCAAGAATCAGAATGGCCCCATGTGATATCATTAAAATTATGAATTTAAGAGCTTCCATAGAAATATTCCAATAGGACTTGAAAACTGCTTCAAAATACTTAAAATCCTATCACTTACTACAATTTTTTAAGACCAAAAAAACTTCAACACTTAAGAAAAATTATGTTTCAGCTATTTGGCCATCTCAGGTGTTTTTTTTTTTTTTAGCTTCAGCTGTAAATCAATAGCTGATAACAGCATTTAGCCATCTGTCATTCTTCCACTATTACTTTTACTCCCTATAGGAGGAACTAGTTTGGCAAGTTGTGGCCTTGTGGCCTTTTTGCCAGCCTTAATGGCTAAAACTGTTTGCGACCGAGAAATAAATATTAATTGACCAAGGAGGGAATCGAACCAACATTCCAAACTTCCCTCTCTGAGAACCTCGTCCCAATCTGTCTGAGAATCACGTCTCGGTTATATATAGATTAATGATATCAAAAAATAAATAGATAAAGTAATTGAGGAAGTAAAAAATAAGAAACTAAAAAAGTCCATTTATGTCATAAAATTATTGTGTTATAAGAAAAATTAATAATACCTGGACTATTTGCTAAAGCAGACCATGTAAGATAAATTGCATAAAGTGTAACAATTGAAGACTGAAGCAATCCAGATCTTGGCTGTGCATCCTATCGAATTAATTTATTATTATAAACCATTTTATTACAATAAATAATAAATATATGAAATAAAAATAAAAAGCATTACTTACCTGAACGGATGGCAATATTGACAAAGTACTAGCAAGTACACAGAGAATCAAGTTGATAGAAATAAAGAACTTGTTCAAAGAGCAATCATCAGACTAAAATAAAATAATTAATAAAACTGATTGCAGCGATGGTTCCATGTTTTAATAAAAAAATATATTTTTTAAAATAATTACCTTTGTGAAGAACACATATAGAAGAACAATACCAGTGATAGCCAAGGCATAATTAATCAACATTGTAAGCATCAAAGCAGCATACCTGAAATGGTGTTTTTAAATTAATTTTCATGACTACATAAAATATAAGAGAAAAATTTTCAACAAAATCTATGATCGTGAGCTTACCATTTCCTGGATTCAGTTTCTTCATAATTTGTAACCCATGCTTCAGCCCATGTATGAGCAAAATCAATTATCAGAATGAGCTGGATCACTATAAATGCAAAACCGCCAACCATCCCGAAATACATCCAAGTTGTAGCAAAATATCCTTCTGGTATGAAGAATGCACCAATAGTTCCACCAATCACCAGGAGATATTTAATACCCCAAAACCTAATTTAAAAAAAAAATTATTATTAATAAAATTCAAACAATAAGAAAATAATATAAATCCCTAGAATATACAAAGAAAGAATGTTGCTAAAATTGTTTAACAGTGCACAAAAACTATAGTTTGGTAATTCTAAGATTTAAAAAATTCGAAGAACAAACAAAATTTTTAAGTTGGATAAAATTGAAGAAGTTGTATCAAAAATTAAGATACAAAACTTTGCCTTTGTTACTTCTTTAAACATTAAAAATGAATGTAATTGGTTTTTAGTGTGAAAAGAATAAAAAATTGCAATTTTTCTGTACATTAAAATTCCTGTATATCTTTTTTTTTTTTTTTTTTTTTTCAGGAACATATAAGTTTACCAAAACAATGATTGGAATATAGATACAATTAAATAGGTATCAGAGAATTGAATATATAATTTAAAAAATAGTTTTGAGTGCTACCAGTGGGTAGTTTCTCAACAAGATATTTCATGTTATTATATTCCTGAGTGCACATTTACCAGATGTATTTTTTTTTTTTAATAAAGTTGTAAATATCATTAATGAATAAAAAAAATTAGTGACAATGAAAGAATTTTCCCAATGTCAAGTCAGGTGTCTATTAAATAAGGTGTCTTAAGCATAATTGGAGTTTTGTCTTTCAAACATCAGTACTACTTTAATTTCTTATAATTAATTTTTATTAATTTTTTTCCCTTTCATATTCGAAAATCTGGTGAAAAATATATTTAAAGTTAATCTAACTTCAATATAAGCAAAATCAAGTTATTCTGCCAAAAATATTTACTTGTAAAATATCATTAATTTAATTTATACATAGCAATATCAGTTAAAACAATTTATACCCATTTTGTATTCCAGCTCTATGATCTTTAGAAGATTTCACTCCAATCATAATAATGGCCATTAGGAAGAAGAACATGGACAAAGCCAAGCAAAGACGGTAAACAGCTAAGTAACCCACTGCATTGGAACAGTCAAAAGATGTTATCAAACTACTAACTCCATCCTTTTGACAAAATGGAACCTGGAAAACATAGATAGAACATTATAATTTAATGATTATTGCAATTTTTATAGAACAAAAATTAAGTTATAATCACCTTTTTAAGAGCATCTTGTAAGCCTGGAGCAAGAAAGATACATCCAACAATAGTACCAATAAGTAGCATTAATGCATACATAATTCGAGATGAAGTAGAATTTCGACATGAAGGACAAGCTGAACAGCAGAGACTACAAGCTGCACTTCCGCAGCAACAAGCAAGCTGTAACATTTACAATGAAAATTAAGTTAAATTCATAATGAAAAAACTAATCATATATTATACTTTCTCAAGTAAACACTCAAAAAAAAAAAAAAATAATTGATAAATTTATCTCAGCATGTATACATATATATACTTTTTAGTTAAAAATTTATACAAAATTCATAAGCAATGAATTAACAAAAAACAGAGCTCAAGGCAGGGACCTCCAAATTGCAGCCACAATTACCACAAATCCTGGCGGCCACAATTTATTTTTATTTATTAATTAATATAGGTGACATCAATATTTGGAATCAAATCTATTGGTCCATATACATTTTAAAAAATGTGTGTATGTACAATGAACAGATTTCTTCTAATTCTTTCTTTTTCATTTTTCTTAAATCCTATTATTGCGCTGTTATAAGAAACGTTTTGATCCTCTTAATTTTCTATTTATTTAAGTTTTTCACAAATGATAACTCATCCTCTGGTTTGAATAATCTTTCACAATTTCCGTCCATTTTAATTTTCATAATGTTAAGAATTTTCTTCAGCTGTCCGTGATTAGTTCACAAATAAAAAAATACAATAACTGATTTCCAAAATGAAACTGAATATTTGAACTATTATTAATTTTAATTATAATAATTCCAAATAAGCAAAATTTGATGATCATAAATGAGATAACACCCAGCATTAATCTCTAGAAGACATGAAAAAATTAGCTTTTTTAGGTATCCTTAAGATATGTTAAAAATTATATCTAAAAAATAACTATTTCTAGATGACTTTTTATAGATGGTTAAAAGACGTCTTAAAGATCTTTTAAACTAGATGTCTTAAAAATATTTTGAATCGGATATCATCTGGCATCTTTTCCAAATGACATCTTTTTCACGATGAAAATTGGATAGTGTGGACAAAATATCATATGATCTTTATATATGATATAAATTCATAACCTTCATAATATTACATACATTCATAACCTTAGCTCAGTTTCATAAAAAAATTGAGATGATAATTATCACAAGTATAGAAAATAGATAACTTGTATGAGTAGGAATTATAGAAGTATGAAAATAGACAACATAAAAGAAGCTGTCACTCTTTGATCATGACATATGAGTAAATTTTAAGATTATTAAGGTCCTTAATAGGTGATTATTTAAGGGTCCCTCTGTCGTAAGTGCGGTAGAGAGTCTGAAACACCAGCCCATGTGCTGGGAAAATGCCTCAACAACTCCCACCTCATAATACGTTGGCACTATAGGGTCAAGTTTGAATTGATGGGGCTCCTTAAAGAAAAGGAATTCGCCTGCTTCAACGAGGTCTATTGCATCGACAGTGAAGGCTCAACCAGGTATGCAGACATTGTTCCATTTCCCAGGACAGGAAAGACAGCTCTGATCTTGGATCCAACTGTCCACTTTGAGAGCAATGGCTTCGATCAGGGGGGTGAAGTAGATAAAGGAAAAGAAAAATATATATGATAAATGTATCCCTTTCCTAAAAGAGAAGTTCTGTAAAACCTTTAGAGAGAGAGATTTCAGCATGAGAGGCCTCTGGTTTTGGTCTAATGATCCCAAAAAGAACAAGGAGCTTCCTTGAGGAACTGGGTGTTGATGTTGGGGAGCTTGCAATATTGGCCGAGAATATTATTCTAGACTCTCTGGGGATCATCCATTATCACTTACATAGAAATTGACTGTGAATTTAGGATGTCTTTTGTCATCTATTTATTTATTTATTCAATTTTTAATTTTTATCTTTGTCTTATATTTTTATCTATATTCATGGAATGGGATTGTATATGTGTGTGCGATTTAGTCTTGTATTTCTAGCATTTGAATACTTTTTTTTTTTCAGAATATGTATGTTATATAATGGTAATTATTTAATGTGGTATATTAGTGATATTGTATACGACCAGTGTTATGAAAAGGGAGAAGAAAAAAAATAATATGTTTATAAAATAATGGAATAATATAATGTAAGAGCTAAGTCCATGTGGATTGATCAGTATGCCGTGTATAAAGCAACCCTATGTAGTAGGGCAGCATTACTTTTAATAAAGTATTTCTCTCTAATCTGGCATAAAAAATTGAAGTTTAATTTCTTATATCATTCATTTATGGATTTTAAGCAGTTTCCAATAATGCTGACAAACCAACTGATAAAGAAATGATAAAATTTGTAAAGCCGTGGTTACAAAAAAGGCAATCGACAAACGAAAGATATGTCCAAATAAATAAGATAGTATAAATAGTTGCCATTATATTCTAAATCTATATTTTGTAATTAATCAATATATCTTTAAATTAATTATATTTCAACATTTCTATTTATATTCCCTAGTAAAATAAAAGATCTTTTTTGAACATCTTTATAACAATATCCAAATGCCTTTCAAATGATTTTTTTTAGGATATCAAAAATATATCTATCTTTTAGACATATCACAGATAGCTTTTTGAAGGCTTTTGGATAAAGTTACATAGGGTGCCTTAAACCAGATGTATTTTTGATAACCTTTTTCAGATCCCTTCAAGGGGCTAAAAATAGCTGCTTGTAAGCTGTCTTTTTAGTGTCTTTCGGTACATCTTTTAGATATTCTGTATCTTGATCAAGATATCTGTTAGTCATGTTAAAGGCATTACAACTTAATAGAAATATTTTCTTTTTTGTGGTCAACAACCCACAGTTTATAAAGTAATCACACTATTGATTCTCTGTAAGTTTCTCAGCCTTTTCCACACCCTCATTTTTAGCAGTATAAAAATGTACCAGAGCACTCATTGACATTAACCAACTTTCACATACATAATACTCATGTGATTATAAAAATAAAAAGGACAGTCATTTTAAGGATAATAAAGATAATCTTTAAAAATTAATCTTAATAAATTTCAATCTGTCAATAATCTAAAAACATTAATTTAGCGTATGAAGGTTTGTCACAGGCCCAAATACAGAAAAAGTGCAACTATCTTTCAAAATGATTCTTATTAATTTACTGATGGTGATTAGATCTGATGATTTTAATATTATAATTTGTAATTATGATAATGATTTAATAAAATTGATCCTTAATCTCATTGATACAAAGTTAATTTTCTTTATTTTAGAATAGTTTTGGTATCCTTAACAATATAATATAGCATCCAGAGTGAAATATTGCTCAACAAACAACTGGTTAGTGATATAAATAGGCAAACACCATAAAACAAATGATTATATAAAGATACAGAAAACTCTTCTTTAACTCATGATATGAATATCAGAAACTAAAAATCCCCATAAGTACTATTACTCAAAACACGGCTTAATTAAATAATTATGATATTTTCTCAAAATGAATTCTCAACTAATGCATAATTGTTGTTTGAATCATGAAAAATATTGTTCCTTATTATCATTGAAAATGAACAAGTGACAATTATATTTGCAATACTAACTGGTTTCAGTTATTAATAGCACAATCAATAACTCTCATCAGTTTTAAAACCCAACTTCAAAAAGTCAAATGCTTTTGAGCTTTCCTTGAATAATTTAATTTAAAGAAAAAAACCTTGAGATAATTTGAAATAAACAAATTTTTATTTATTAAAGTAGAAAACTTGGTTTCAAGGAAATCAACTGAAGGGCGTTCAAAACAAATATTATTAGCTCGTCAAGCCGATGCCCAGCTTAACAAACTAAAATAATTTATTTTAAAATAATGTTATTTTTTGGTTTAAAGATTACATAAGAAATAGTCATACCTGGGCAGCAGAACAAAGCCCTAGAACTGCTCCCATTTTTGAGTTGTAACTTTAAAACAGCAGAAATTGTATACAAAAGTTCTAAATTATCAGAGAAATACTCGAGAAATAATGTAACATGAACCAACAACAGAACCTAACAGAAATATCAATTACAAAACAACTAATCAAACGTAAATACAGCTTGATCTTGACACCATCGTCCTGTAAATGACAGCCAATGTTACCAACATTCAACAACGAAATAGAAAAAATTAATTACTTGTTGCTATTTGTTTATACATGATTTTTCTTAAATTAAGAATAAAACATTAATATTTCTTTTTATAATAAAATTCTGTTTTTTAAAATAATAATAATATTCTCTCCAAAATATATTTAATACATATACATATTTTGATATTTTCCCGTTATATTATATTGATAATATATTTGTATCATATTATAAATATGAGAACTCTATAATGATAATTTTTTAATGAACCTAAATTTACGAATTTCGAATTATTATTATCATGTCATATAAATACTGATCTTATAAATGCTGGTTTGGTAAGTTTCAAAGTTCTCTACTTCTTATAGACAGAAAAGTTCCAGAAACTTCAGTAATATTCTTATATTATTCTATGCTACATACAGGATCTTAATCTCACAGAACATATAATTCTATGTCCTTTGTTTGATCTCACAACATAATATTATTGCAGAGAATCGGACTAGGTGAATTAAACACTGAAAAATAGTATTTTGTTTTTCTTCGATTTTAATCTACAAACTTGTGAGAGTATTTTTGGTACATTTCCTATTATGATATGATTCAGTATCAATTTGTCTCAGAGGAAAAAGGAATTTGTAAGTAACTGTAGTCACCCATGGTTAAAAAATATTACTTATATACCAAACATGGTCTAAATTATTATGTCTGAGGAAATATGTAGATAATTATCTGAGCCCCTTCAATCACCTAGACATCACAAACAAATGTCCCTTAGGAACTGCTGGCAAATCTTCAGGCTAAAAATAGGATGTGCTTATTCGATTAGCTGAGTCGTAGAAAGGTAAGATACATTGTAAGCAAATACACTGATATTCTCTTCATTAAAATAATTGAAACGTGTAACAGAAGCACTATCAATAAAAGTCTCATTATGAAATTCGGACCAGGATTTAACGTAGGAAGAAAATCCCAAATCTAATTGCCGGTGATGTGTGGAACAAATGTCTTCCGGTATAAAATAGCTACCTGAATAAGATCGATAATTTATTGTATTGCTTACCGGAGTCTAATAGGATTTATTAAAAAAAAAAAAAAAAAAAGAAGTAAAATCCATCAGTTAACTGAGGCACACTCACGCCGATGGGGTATAGAAGTGATGACCCCATCCAGCGGACTTGAATCAGAAATCTTAATGTAGTTCTTCAGAATGCCAGTAGGCAATCAGACTTATGGCCCATGTGCAGTCTGTTTAAAAACGCCTGCCAAGTAAAGTCAGTATAGCGTCCTCACCGTTTCTCTGAGAGAATCCGTTTTCGGAAATTCAGTAATCCCTCAACATAAAAAAAAACCTCTACCACTACAACACATGAAGGGTCTTGGGTTCAGTACTATCAAGGAAAAGCACTGTTTCTTGGTCAAATGTTGTGCAAGGAGGTGATTTTACCGAGATCACGCTCAACCGCCAGGTTTTCCCGTTTAATTAATTATTTAATTAAGGATACCCACTCCATGGAGGCTGGGTATGGCCCAGGAGGGTCTTCCGATCGAGGGTCACCCCACGGCCTATGAAACAGAATAAATATTTTTTTCTGCCATGAGCCGGGATTCGAATCTGGGAAAGTTGGGATCTTTAGCATTGGAAGCTCAGTACCACTGAGCTACCGCACTCTCAATCCCTCAACATATACAGGTTGGATTTCCACGCGTTTTGTTCATCAGCGAATATTAAAATGCGAAAGAGTTCCGCATTTGCAGATGGCATATTTGATGATTCCTGATTTTAAAAAAAAAATACAGTGCATTCTGAACATTAATTTATATAAAAATTGAGTGTTTTCATGAGAGAATAAAAACTGATTGTTTCTTTATGATTTATTAGTATAATTTTATATTTTATTGTCCTTTGCTATTTTCCATCGTATTAGACTGCGTATATCAGTTGCAAACTACAAAATATCACCTTTAGCAGGAATAGAATACAAACCATCTGTATAAAAACTATATTCCAGAAGTTTATTTTATAAAAAAAAATCTTTAAACATTCTTCAAGTGAATATATAATATATAATTATTTGTGTAAAAAATTTATCCGAAAAATAGTTTACGTTGTTAAAAATGAAAATACCTAACTCATATACTTTCTTTATCTTACAGGTTAATCGTCTTAAACCGTTTAGCTGGCTTCTGCAATTCACCCACAATCTTAGCTTTGGGACAAACTATATACGGATTAAATTCAGGACAAGTCAATAAATGCAGAGCTGTCATAGATCCTTGTCCACTTTTTAAATTTTTTTTTGGCTTTCTATTCAACAAAAACGTGACATCCCTAAATAATATAAAATTTTAATTTACTTCTTTCCTGTTCGAAATCGGGCCATAGCCAAATTAAATTTTCTGTTATTCATTGCATGCTAACCCGTTTACGTGACATCTTGTGTGGCATAGTGTATACAATCTGGTCTTATAATTGACCGAATTGTATTCAGAAATATATGTATCATTGTACTTACCATTTCTATATGTTTATTTTATCATTGTAGCTAAAAGGTAGTATATGACGTAATAACTAGCATTCATTGGCCTTTTATCAACTTATGTTCTCATTGTCTTGTTATGCTCCTTGTTTGTGTTCTTGAGTGCTTGAATTTGAATTAAGAAAAGAACTGGTTATTGGTTCTTACACATTTTGGTTAACGATTTAACTATTTTATTTTGAAAGTTTACATTAAAACATCTATTACGTTGTTTCTACAATATTATCATGCCAGGTACAAAGTGTAACGTGCATTTATGTTCTAATCACCATGGTATGTTAAATGACCAAAATGAAAAAATTACTTTACATAGATTTCCAAAGAAACCAGGTACTCATTTTAAAAAAAATATATTTGAAATTTTCATACAGTTGCACTTGTTTGTAGGTTCAAAAGTCATAATTATTTTGTTCTTTTTTAGAAGTAAGAAATAAATGGTTAGAAAGGTGTCAAAAGAAAGGTAATTGGAATGTGAATTATGGTTACATTTGTTCAGAACATTTCCTAAAGGAAGATTATAAAAGGGATTTGCAGGCTGAACTTCTGGGATACAAAGAAAAACGTAAACTAAAACCTTTTGCAATACCATCTTTAAATCTTCCTGGTGGGACAGCAACTGACAATATTAACGCTGAAATTGAAGTATTATATGATGAAGAAAACAAGAGGCTTGAACTTTTTGAGGAGTGTTTTTCAAACAGAAAAACTGAAATTCCTTTATCATATAAAATGTTCAGGAAGTGGTACAAAGATATTAAGACAGCTGAGCATAAAAACTTGAAAACTGAACTAAAATCATTAGATGGTAAGTTGGAAGCAATAAATTATAATCTTTCCATAAATTACTTTTATATGAGAGGAAGGAGACGAATGAGCATAATTCACTTTTATCCTGATTTGTACTTGGAGTTATGCAACCTGTCTATTTCTTTTTAGTGTTAATTTTATTGTGCATTTTCTTATGCAGTATGTAACCTTTACCATCAGTTGTTAAGTAGCAAGCTATTTTTCTTTATGGCATATGCCATGACATTTATTTACCTGGATGTTAAGTTTACTTAAGTGATATTTAGTTTAAGCTGGTCATGAATTATTTCACCACTTCTGAAAATGCTTTTGAAGAAATTTTGGGTTCTACTTAGCAAGTGTCACTCCAATATAATGGCTACAAATTTTCAATATTAATGGCAATTCCAAAAATGGCCAAGTGTGGGCTAGAGCAGATTGATGCAACTGATAACATTAATTGAAGGCTCTGTAGGAACTGTATAGCCATGTTGGGGATTTGTTTATGTCTGTTGATTGAGGATTGCAAGATCACAACTTGAAAGCAGCAAGCTTATCAAGGTCCCGATCTCATCTGAAAAGGATCCATTGATGATTTATTTATTTTTTGAGTAAATCGATGACAATGGTTCAAGAATTATTACACTTATTAACAAGATTTTCAATCCTCAGCAATTTTTGGAATTCCATCTACAGTATGATCATGTGATATTTTTCCCATCTATCACATTAGAGTGACATATACAAAGTGGTACCAAATTTTGCTGATTTACTTAATCCTCATAAATTTATTAAAACATAACAGCTAATTGATTATTAAATGTATTTTTATGTATTTAAATGTATTTTACCAAAGTCAAACAGGTAATAATAAATAGTAGTATCGATTCCTGATATAATTTATATTAATATTTAAACATGCAATTGTGCAATAAGCTAATATAAAAACTGACCTTTCACAATTGAATGCATTTTTTATTTATCATTGAAATTCTTCATTTTTACGTCTCTAAAACCATCCAATAAACTAGTAAGATTTGGAAATGCAGAAATTTAAGTTGTCTATTTCTTATATAGCTTAATACATATCTTCCTTTTCTCTTCTACTGATCATCCATTCAAATGTTACTAGCTTGAATGACAATAGCGTTTATTGATTTTAGTGCTTTGACCTGTTTTTCAGATGATTAATCATAATGTCATATTTTATTTAGTTTTTAAGTATCTACTTAGTCATTTATCTGCTTTGATTATTTTATTTAAATGTTAATTGTAATATTATCTATGTATTTCTAAATATGAATATACATAAATATTATTGAAAAACATTTAAACAAATGAAGCATTTTAATACTTTTTAATGTTCTTTTTTTTCAGAAGAATATTTAAAATTACCATCTCATTTTAAAAAACCGAGAAGACCACTTGAAGAGCAAGATAATTCTAGAACTAATTTTAAAAGAAATCTGGCTATGCAGCGGAAAATGATGGAGAAACTGTTCTTGGCTACTTATTTTGAAGAACCTTTTTCAGAAAAAAACATAAATGGATTAGATAAAGATTATGTTGACAAAGCCAAAGCTGTTTTATTAAAATCATGGGCTCTGGCACCAAATTCTTACAACAGATTAGCAAAAAAATTAAATCTTCCAAATAAAGATGTTTTATTAGGTTGGAATAACAAAAATAATAGTAGGAACTAATGGTTTTAGTAATATGTCTCTTGGTCCAATGTCCAGGTTTATACCTGAATGGTTGAAACGATTTTGACTGGTATTATGAATTTATTTTATACACTTAATAAAATCCAATTTATTAATTTTATAATAAAGTTAAGGACTACTTAAAGGTTCTTAATGAAAGTTGGAAAACCAATATTTCTCTTCCCTTCCATTATTAGTTAATTATTTAGACATGTGGATAATTTTCCTAATGGTTGTTCTTGGTAAATTTTTTGATTTGAGTAGGATTTTGTACTCAAATATTACAAATCAAATACACATAAAGGCTGTTTAAAAATTTAAATTGTTACTCATTTAGGTTGATAATAAGGTTTATTCATTTTCTTACATTTCATGTATCCCCAGGTCCTTATCATTTTGGTGTAAACAATTTAATATTACATTTACACCCTTTAACAAAAAAAAAAAAAATATTGGATTATTCAGAATCTTTGTATTCACGCAAATATATCTTTATTGTCAACCATTAATAATTTTCTAAATTCTTTTGGGGGGGAGGGGAATAAATAAACTGTACCACTACAATCTATGGTCTTTGGTTCAGTACTGTCTTTTGGTCAATATTTGTGCAAGGAAGTGATTCATCCATTCCTACTCTGCTCCATAAATTATTTTGGAAACTACAGAAAAATTAAGAATTCATTAACCCTGAAAGTGATGATTTTCAAGTATTAAAAAAAAATATAATTAAAAACAAATGTGAGTTCCTCTCCATTTAGAGACAGTTTAAATTTAGCTTCTTTTTTTTTTTTTTTTTTTTTTTTTTATACATAATACGATTTTTGTATATTCAGACACAATATTTTAATCTGATAACTCCTGGTCAATTTTCTATCCGATGCATCTGGAATTTAAAATTAAGTTGACAACCAGTCCTCCAAACATGTAATGTCTGCACTAAAGTAACAGAGGATTTACCATTTCCTGATTTTTTTTTTTTTTTTAACACATTAGTATATTGCCCTGATAGGGATTTACTAGACAGTTGTATTGGGGAAAGATTCAATGTGAAAGGTGGAAAGCACTTCCTGGAGGTCTCTCACTTTATATTTTGATCTCTAAAGAGAAATGATAAACAGGTTCTTGGTACTAAAAATTCTTGTTGGGGCAGGGTGGCCGAACAGACTAACGTGTGTGCATAATGCACAGAGTTGCCCGGCAACCAGATAACCAAATTTATGAAAGATTAAAAAGTACTAGTTCGCATCCCAGTGCTGGAGAGGATTTTAAATTTCCCACCCTTACCCCCTGGGCCTGGGAAAGCCCCAGGTAGCCTAAAAGGCGAGGTAAAGAAAAGATTCTTGGTACTATCATGATGTATATTCACTCCTATATCATATTTAGTTTATATATTGTAACTAAGGATATTTTATGTTTTAATGTTAACCTTTTTACCCCCTATATGGGCATTACTGGCTTCCTGAAGGTAACCACTATTCCAGCCAAGGTGGAAAGATTGAGATTCATTCATCGAGTCCACAAAATAAAATTCAAACCAATATTTCTTTTAACTCAACATTGCTAAGATGACACTCTTAACACATTTAGCCACCACAGTCTCTAATTTTCAACAACTATAAAACTTTAGTTATAAAATCCTACTATCTTTACCAGTTCCTGACAAGGATATTGACAAGTTATGGATAGAGATCAGAGATAATATTAAAGCGGTCGGTAACTCCTGTCTAGGAAAAAAGGAAAATAAGAATAACAAACCGTGGTTTGATGAAGATTGCTTAAACATGTGTGAAAAAAGAAAAGCTGCTAAATTAAAAGCTCTAAATAATCCTAGCGAAGACAATCTGGAATACTTCCGAATCTCAAAGAACGAAACGACAAAATTGCTCAAAAATAGAAAAAAGGGAGTATCTTAAAAATAAAATAATTGAAATAGAAACTAATAGAATCGAAAATAAGTAAGAGACATGTACAAAGGTATAAACAGATCATGTAAATATGTATGGCCCGTAACGTCTGGAATTAGGGATGATAATAACAATATTCTGACCGATCCGGTTGACATATTGAATAAGTTTAAGGACCACTTTGACAATATTTTAAATACGGGAAATTATGATCTGTGTCCTCCTTCTGAGTACCAGAGTGCTGAACCGTTAATAGAAGGACCAAGTAAAGAGGAAGTTGAAGTAGCTATCGGAAAATTAAAATCATATAAAGCAGCGGGAATCGATAATATTCCTACTGAACTAATTAAGGCATGCGGGGAATCTGGAGTTTCTAAAATACATCGGTTGGTTAAAAAGATCTGGGTGAACGAGAAATTACCTGAAGAATGGAAAGAATCTATTCTTATTCCGATTCACAAAAAGGGCCCGAGGACGGATTGTAATAACTATCGAGGAATTTCACTCCTTCCGGTATGTTATAAAATATTCACTTTAATCTTAACCAGTCGAATCACGGAATACGCCGAGGAAATTATCGGAGACTACCAATGCGGATTTAGACGGAATCGTTCGACTATTGATCAAATATTTTCTTTACGGCAAATATTAGAGAAAAAATTGGAGTATAACGGTATTGTTCACCAGCTGTATATAGATTTTAAAAAGGCTTACGATTCTATTGACCGCCAGAAACTGTATAATATTCTAATCGAGCAGGGGATTCCAAAAAAACTAGTAAATCTAGTCAGGATGTGCTTGACGGAGACACTCAATAAAGTTAGAATCGGTAATAATTTGTCCGAAAAATTTGAGGTTCGTTCGGGCTTAAAACAGGGGGATTCTCTTTCGCCTGTCCTGTTTAATTTGGCATTAGAACATGCCATTAGGGAGGTAATGCGAACCGAGAAAGGGTTGGATCTGGGCGGGACAACAACCGTGCTGGGCTATGCTGATGATCTGGTAGTGTTAAGCGAAGACGTTGAAACTATAAAAGTAAATACGACAACGTTAATGAAAGCCGGTAAAAAACTAGGACTCGAAATAAACGTGGATAAAACAAAATATATGGTTAGCTGCAGAAATGGCGATACTACTGGTGATATCGATATAGATGGTAATATGTTTGAACAGGTAGATAAATTTAGGTATCTAGGTTCTACGATAACTAGAAAAAACGAAATTGAAGAAGAGATTAAGGTTAGACTGAAGGCGGGGAATGCTTGTTACTTTTCTGTGACAAAACTACTTAGTTCGCGCCTCTTGTCCCGAAACTTAAAAACTAGAATCTATAAAACAATTATCTTGTCTACAGTTCTTTATGGATGCGAAACTTGGCCGCTTACATTAAGGGATGAGCAGCGTCTTAAGGTTTTTGAAAATAAAGTATTGCGTAGAATATTCGGACGGAAGAAGGATGAGTTAACCCGAGAGTTCAGACGGTTACACAACGCCGAATTGCGTGAGCTGTATCCGGGTAATATAATTGAGGTAATTTCATCGCGGCGAATCAAATGGGCTTGTAAAGTTGTTGGGCTTGGTAACGAGAGAATTCCTAAAAGGTTAATATTTGCTGTGCGGAATGGTAAGCGTGGAAGGGGTAGACGAAGCAAAGATGGGAAAATTGCATTAAAGCCGATCTGAAGGGACTGGGTTTGGATGGTGAACGGTGGAGGGAGGTCTGTAACAAGGGATTGGTGGTGTCAGCGGGTTCGCTAAGCCTTATTATTATTATCTTTACCAGTTGTCATTGGTATGACAACCTCCCTCTCATGGTATGGCAATCCTCAGTACAACCACTATTAATTCTATTATCTATTTAAATAGTGTTGTTCTGAGATATATATTAGATGAATGTGTATTTTTTAATTGAGAATGAATAGCTCAGTTCAAAATGGAACAAGAAGAAAAAAGTCTTAGAAGTTTGATAGCTTGATACTCATAAACTTCCAGATGAATATAATAAATGAAATATATTTGAGCCCTAAAGAAAAAAAAAATCTTAAAAAAAGATTTAGTGGTGTTATACAAATCAAATAAATAACTTGAAACACCACAAAATATTAACTATTTTGCCAGGAATTACCATTAATTGGAAAATAATTTTGCAAGATACTAATTTGCAGGTACTTTTCCTTAAATAGAATAGCCAATTTATAGAGGCTGGGTATGTCCCAGGAAGGTTTCCTAATCCAATGGTTGATCCATGACTAATGCAATAAAATAAATAATTATCACAGCCAGACTTGAACCTATGCCTGAGAGATAGGTTTCAGCCTCACTTATTAAGTTATCTCTCTCGCCTTTTGAAATTGAAGTTTTAAGAAAATTAAAAGTTTCTTTTTAAAAAAGAATTAATCTTCCCAATCCACCAATTAACCAAGAAATTACTATTTTTTTACATTACAAACCAAAGTTAAGCATAAAACACCTTTAATCATAAGAAAAGTATATTTTTAAGACTTTTTTACATAGCACCTATATCTACTCTTATCTTCAACTAAAATTCACCTTCAAAATATACACATTATTTATACATTATAAAAACTGTCTTTATAAAGACTATGTGACAAAAAAGTAAGATGAAAAAGAAATAAAAAAAAAACCAAGACACTTTTAAAATTAATTATTAAACAAAACATTTAAATAAATAACATATAGAATGATTTATACAAATATTAGAAGGCTACATATTTATGTACAGATAATATCAAATATAAAATGAGTTATAGACAAAATGGAACATAATTATTTCATTGATTAAAACATCTTTGACTATTTTCATTACATCTGAATCTTTCAGTGCCTCTTCCATCTAAAATTTGTCAACAAGTTGGAGAATGTGCTGTTGTTCCTGTTCTTTCCATTCTGAATCTCCTTCATCTCCAAGATTTCCAGCATATTCTGCAATGGTTCAGATTATAAAAAACTTAAGAAATGATTTAAAGACTAATAAATTTAAAAAACAAACAAAGATTTGGAATTACTAGATCAACATAAAAACTGATGATCAGTTATGATTCCTAGAAGAGCATCACCATGAAGGTAGTCGACTTATGTGTGGTTGAAATAAAAACTTTTTTTTTCCTCTGATCCTTAAGAAAACTTCATTTTAAACAAAAAATATAATGGAGAATCTACCAAAAATGATTTTATAAGTAAGAACAGAATGTGGTAATCTTATGTCCCTGATGCTCAATCAACAATACTCTTTGTTATCAAGAAATAACTTAAAGATATAGTAGAACTCTTTTATTACAGATAGATGCCACAATCATAAAAGTCAGTGCATACTATGTAAGATGGTTATAATTTCAGTAAACAATTGAATTATAGTGAAGACTAAGAGATTTGTTATTTTTAAAGTATTGCAACATTATTACACAATAATATATAACCTCTCATTATATGGCGAATAGTTTTCAATGAAGCTCCTCGCTGATTTAGAATAAGAGTAACACGTTGTTTGACACTGGACGAGCTTCCCGCGCACACCTCTAACATGATATAATCAATTAGCTGCAGGGTGAATAAACCACCTTCAAGGCGTTTTAAGTACATTTCGTCTTCATCCAATTGCTCCTTTTTGACCTAGAATTTGACATGAATAACATAAAATAAAACTACATAGAACAATATGGTTTTAAAAGGTTATGCTATCAAATAACGTTTATAGAGGTTATGCTATTAAAAAATAGAAGTTTATAGAGAAAGAATACCTGTATAGTGAAATGTGGATAAAAAAATTAAAGATTTACCAAGTCGAAAAAATTAATATATACAATATTCAACTAGTTAACTAATGAAGTGATTTATTAAGAGTCATGATAAGATAAATTGTTGAGAAGATGAGGAAATTAAAATGCATTTTATAATATATAAATGGAGCACAGTACTGTATTATGTGCAGCTAACATATCCTGCCAATACAGGGAAAAATCATTACTAACATGTAAAACGTTGTTGATTTATAATATAAACTAGCTTTACCCGACCACGCGCTGCTGTGGCATAGCCTGGAAAAATGAAAAAGAAAGAAAATAGAAAGCACATATAAGTAGATTAGTAGCAAAGGACATCTGTCATTTTTAAAAAGTTGGAAAACAAATTTGTCTGTAAAATGGCTTCAATTTAAACTAATTCTAATGATTTTTTTTCCTCATGATTCAAATTGAACATTCATAATCATCTGAGTGAATACGCCGTCATTCATAGTCATCAGAAACAGTCTGAGTTGAACTTATAAACCTAAATTAAAAAAAAAAAAGTATAATAGTATTGACCTACACAAGGAGAATCATATAACTTCTTGAAATGATAATTTCAATTACTGTAGTAATTATAAAATTTTCGATTAATCAATAAAAAAAAAAAAAAAATCCTTGCCGTCCTTCGGTAGTGAGGAAGCAAAAGGAAACGGCCTTTTCTGAAGAGAAAGCAGTAAATGTTTAAAACTCTATAACTCTGCAACGAACTGTCCGATTTCGATGATTTTTTTTTTTATTTTGTCAGCAATTCAGAAATCTATCAAATAAATATGGGGGTATTATCAATCAAAAATTGTGTACTTTTTTAGTTATCGGCAAATAGAATATTGAATTCATCGTAACATTTTCCAGCTTTTTTTCGGGAAAGTATGTTATACACATAAATTAAAAGGATTTCAAGTGGAAGACTTTAGCCAAGTTTCGTTAAAATCGGTAAAGCCGTCTTGGCGCTACAGTTTATAGCGACACATTTTTTTGCGGCTTTGAACAGAAAACATCTACATTTATATTTTTTCTTTACATATATAAAATTATCGTAAGACAGAAGTACTGAGCCAGAAACCTTCCCAGGAGTGTACGGAACAACTTCCCAAAGTTTCATTGCGATCGGATGAATGGTTTAGTAATGCACAAAGGACAAACAGACAGATATACATTCATTTTTATATATATAAATTACAATATAAAATACATTAATAATAATTCATATGAAAAATATAATTATTTTTTATTTAGCCATGTTTGATTTTTGCATCCACGTCAAGCTAATTTATAGTAGGCATGAATGTACACTAATTAATTTAATAAAAATCTGATTTCATTGATAGATTTTTAAAAAAATATTATTTCATTTAGATGAAATGATCTGACCAGAATGCACTAACCTAATTAAACAGAAGAAAATATTTATCTATTTAATATTTAGTTACCTATCATTTAACATAATCAAACTAGTATGTATATTTTGTAATATGAATAGATAAAAAACCTAGGCAGAAAATAATCCTTAAAACATAAAATATTATTATGGCAACCTATTGAAGACAGGATAACAACAATATTACAAAAACTCTTACCCTATTTTCCAGTTCTATATCTATTACATCAACTTTTTCCATGTATTTAAAATGAAGTTCCAAAAGCCGGTCTACTTTCTCATGATCGTTTTCACTAAATTTACTCAATAGCCTTGACCTCTGCGCTCCCCGACAATTACGCAACATTGAAGCAATAATTGAAACAACATGTTCTGAAAAATAAATAATGTTAATTTAAAATAAAATGTAACAGTATAATTTTGTTCCAGTACTAGAGGAATGTAACATGAAGTGCTGCTGAGTTTTATAAGTTACAGGTCTTCTAAGGGATTTCCGCTTTGGAAATAAGGTCTAAAACAAGGTTAACCCATGCTTGAAAGTATAACATCTAAATATTTCATAAATTGCTGGTTATGTCAATAACAAAAATTAATTTTGAGGTGCCTAGACACTTCTTTCTCAGCTTGCTTATCTTTTTAAACATACACTCATCCAATCATAAATTGGATACTTAGTAAATTGTTAAAATATCTTTAAACCCAATTATAATGATTTTATTTTTACTGGTTCTTAAATCAAGATTGGATAAATATTAAATTTTTCATAATGAAAATTTTAATAAAAAAGCTAAAAGTATAAAATAAAATGAAAATGTCAAAACAATAATAATAATATTTATACATATTCTGTAGCTCGCTCAAGAAAATATCGTAGATAGGGGAACAAAGTCGAAACTGATTTTGTTTTTTCTTTTCTGATTTAACCTATTGCAAAATGTTAACAAATATATATTATAAGATTACTACAATATACGTATATGAATTATGATTTGCAACATTAATTTATCAAAATCATTAAGTGATATAACATACAATAACCTTAATGAATAACTTTATAAAATGGAGAGTTTTTTATTTTATCACCCTAACACTTCTCTATAATTTTATAAAATACACATACTTGAAATCATCCATAATCATAATACCTTCATGTTCTTCAGCTGTCAACACTTTTTTTCTGTTTTTCTTTGGAGTTTTCATAAATAACGGAAAAATGGTTCGAAGGCCTAGAATATCAACAAATTTATTGCAATTATCTTTTCCATCTGGACCAATCAAAGCATAATTAAGCACCTTCAAAGATCCATTTCTACTCAGCTTTTTCTCCCTAAAAAATGACAAAATATCTTAAAATGTGAATATCAGAAAGTAGAAAGTCAAATAACACCGTCATATGTTCATATACCTTTACCTTAAATAAGTTAAAAATTACAAGAAAAGATAAAAACACTTAATTATTTTAAAACATAGTTACTTAATTATAAATGCACCTTAGCATTAAATTCATAAGCTGTAATCCTTCACCCTTTAAGAAAAGTTCCTTATTTGAAGAAATCATTAAGCAACAACACAAGGAATCAAATAGATTTTCCATTATTTCACATTCTTCAGCAGTACTAGGATCATGTCTTTTGTATTGCTAAAAAATATTAATTAAATATTTTTAAAATAAAAATTTCTACATATCTTTAAATACTAAATAATAATTTAGTATTTAATTATCATGTTAAATGGAAAATGTTATAATCCAGGATAAAATTTTTATGCAATGAAAATTCTGAAATATTGCAAAGGATAACCCTAACAGAAAGTTAAATAATTTAATTTGTTAATAATAACATATAAAATTAAAAAATATATGTATTCATTTCATTGCACAAATAACATTTTCTTGAATATATAATTTTCTGTAAAGATGATAGTTTACTTTTGAGATACAGATTTGAGCAATACTTAATTCATTATATTTACTAAATTATTTAAATATCTTCTTGTAACAATTAATATAATTTTTAAAAACTTACAGCTAGTTGTTGAAGAAGGATATCTATGCCACCTAATTCCCCAAGAAGCGTTTTATTTTCGTTATTATTTTGCAGAAGTATCGAAAGAATTTCTGTAGCATATAATTTATTTTGTTCAGCAGGTAATTTAGACTTGATTCTTTTCAATAACCACAGAAGCAGACCTTGTTTCCCAACCTCACTCACTAACTGAGGTCGAAGTTCCACCAAATTTTCAATTATGGCTAAAATAAGAAGTAATAGATGATCAGTGGTTGCCATTCAAAAAAATTATTAATTTATTTTTTAAATATGGCTTTTTTTTTGTACAATATCCAATAAATTTGAGCAGTTTAAAGTAGCAAAACTCATCATCATTCTAGTTTATATAATTAAAGAAAATTCATTGGAAACTAGAGTGTCATTGTTGTAAACATGATATCTCTTGTGAGACCAAATATCAGTTAAACAATTACATGTATTAAATACTAACTATGAAACTCAGAATATAAACAATGATTACCTAAAGTGTTATGTACCCCATCAGCCTCTTCTTTTACATTTTCATCTAGCCTCTGAAGATTATGCAACAGGAGAGACGTTGCTTGCTGGCTAAGAAGACACTCCACTAACGCTTCTGCTCCTTCCGCACTTTCATTTAAAATATCAACATCCGTTAATTCCTTTCAAAATAAAAAACTGTTAAGATGTGGACAAAAGATATTTAACTGAAACTAGAACTATAAAACACATTACATTTAGACCATTATAAGATTTCCAATAATGAACAAGAAACAAAAAATGAAACTGAGCCATCCCTGGAATATAATATATGAGGAGTTGGTCAGGGGGGGGGAGGGGTGAATGCGGTCAAATAAATACTTTTTTTATATTAGGTGTTTCCACTAATAGTGGCTTTCCTTAACTTAAAGTGCTTGGATGGCTTCTTTCCATAATATTCTATCTAATTTCCATTCTTCCCGTAGACCATGACCCATCATGGATTCTTCCCCTTCGTTATCTCAGGTCTTCCTCGTCTTCTTCTTTCCCTAGTTTTCCATAAGTGTACTTCTTTGGGTAGTCTTCCTTCAGGCTTTCTTTTCAAATGTCCATACAACTTCAGGTTTTTTATCGCAACCTCTTCCAGAATGGTTCTTTTAGGCTCCATCTTTTCTCTGATGGTTGTATTTCTGACTTTATCCATTTATAAATAAATAAATACTAAATTGTTAAAAAAAATAGTATTTTTAATTGTTACGCCAACGTTTCGACCTAACTTGCAGGTCTTTATCAGCGCTACAAAAGATACAAAATATAAAAGGTACATGGTGAAAATAAAATAAATGAATTATAAGTAAATATTAAATAAGGAACAGTTGTCTGATAAAGAAATAATAACTAAGAGATATGCCTTTTATATTTTGAAGACCTGGAAAGAGGGGAGTGAAACTTCAGCATAACAATTAAAAATACAATTTTTTAAAAATTTAGTATTTATTTGGCCGCAACCCTCACATATTATTCCCTTCACATTTCAAGCTTGTTTATTTATTATTATATTCTATTTAGATAAGTCACAAAAACAAATGATATGGAGCTGATTAAGTTTTGTATAGTAAAAAAAAAAAAGTGTTTATATACAAATTTGGAACATGATTTTCCTTTAGTAAACTGTTATGATTTATCCTAATATTTAAATTTTGCTTGTTAAAGGAATAAAATGATATATAGAAATACAGATTACTTACTTGCAAAAGATCTACAACTGCAACAGAAATATCAGAATTTTCATGAGAAAGAAGTTCGAGTAACGAAGGAATCGAGTTGAGCTGGACCATGATTGGATATAAATCAGGAACAGTTGCAATAGCATGCATTTCTTGTATAACCTCGTGTAATTCGACCTCTGATTCCATGAACCTATAATCAATTAAGAGGGATGGATGGAAATGTAAAAAGAAATATCAAAACATAATATAAAATAAAATAAATATCTACTAATACAAAAATTGATAAATATTAAATTATTTCAACCACTAACTTTTCAGGAGAGTCTGGGAACTTAATCCTCATTTCTTGATTTTTAAGAGCTCTTTTCTCAAATAAAAGAAGCATTCGTTTCAAGGTATTTTCATTCAAAATATCATCCTAACAACAAAAAATATTAGTAAATAAAATATAAAACATACTCAAAATCTTCTTAAAAACTAATATTCTTATTTATATGTAACACAGCTTCCTTACTTCCTGTGGTTCACTACTCTCCACCAATTTCAGTATCATATCCTGTTCTTCTTCTTTACGTGTACGTTCTTTCTCCAATCGCTCTAATCTTTCTTGTTCCGCTTTCTCAGCTTCTGCCATTTTATTCAACTTCATAAGTTTTTTAAGCTTTTTTTGTTTACTATAGTCTTGTTCTTCTTCATCCTCATCCAAATCTCCTGGAGCATGTCGCTTGGGAGTGCTGACAGGCTGTATAAGAAAATAAAAAAAAGTACAAATGCATTAATCTAATCTTGTTGAGTTTTTCTATACTATTAATTTTTATTAAATTAATCCCTATATTTGGTAGAAAAGTGTTCCAATTTAGAATGAATTGATTTAAACTGTACACTCAATTTAATAATTATCTTGAATTGAATGACGTTCTAGAGGTTGTAAAATAAATATAAATGCACCTCCACCCTAATCCAAATATACAGTGTAATAGATAAGGAGATGTTTTGAAAATTTCAACTTCTCTTGATTTTTAATAGTCAACCATCAATCCACTATTACAGTGTAACAGTTTATTACTTTCAGGAAAAATTTAATTAGAAATGTAGCACTAGTTCACAAGCAACATATTTGGTTGATAGGACAGTCAAGATTACACATGGCACATAAAACTCCGGAACTAGCCAAATGTGTGAAAAATATTTGGAAAAGAAAAATCTCACGAATGCTTAAAAAACATTGCAGATGCTTGGAATTGGTTCTTAAATCTATTATTTATATCAAACATTAATAGTGCTTACATTATAAATATAATTAGCAGATATACATTGAATTGTTTCAAACTAAAATAAATAATTAAGCAACGAACATTTAACTTAAATATAATTAACTACCGAAAATCATACTCAACCCTACTTTTTAATGTTACAAAAAAATGGTTAATTTTAGATGAATCCGAGCTGCATAGAAACTGCAATGTTATTATATTAAATAAATAATACCTTAAATGAAAGAAGCTCTCCAACATCCATTGCAGTGGAAAATAATTAAATAACAATATATTAATAATAAATTCGATGTAACCTACACAACACAAATATTGTTTACAAACTTCAACTGTTATCTTTTCTAAGAGGTACCTTTGCTTAGAGCTATTACAAAATTAAACATATGTATATATATTATTTTTTTTTTTCGGTTGGCTCTGTAGACCTTGTAGATCTTTGACCGCGAGATGTGGTCTTCTAGACCACATCCCGATTCCTGATTTAAGTACATGGGGATAGGGTCATCAATCCTACGCCCGGTCGGTGTGATTTGCCTCCAGTAGGCTGGCGGACCTCACAAACTGGGGGAATGGGGGATCTCGAGCAGCATGTCATTCCTTGTTGGACGGTCACCCATATCGGGCGGTCACCCATCCAAGTGCTTAACTTGGTTACCTATTGCAAGCGCCTGAGCCAGCACCGCTACCAGCACTATATATATTATAAATCGTCTTCAAAAGTGTTAAAATTAACAGCCAAAATGTTTTGATTAGAGTTAATTTATTTTTGTGTAAATTTTAAGCAAAAAATAATTGCTTTTCCTATTTGATAGTACCTTACCTTATTTTTTTAACATTATTCTAAAACTTGGTCATAGAACCATGTACTAAAACTACTTTGACGTAAGCGAGCAGTATATTTCAATAAAAAAAAGAAATCATAAAGTTGTTAATAATGAGAAAGAAATACTAAAATAACTGGTACAACAAAAACAGTAAATGTTTTAAATTATTTAAAGGTATTATTGGAATAATAATCTTGAGATCATATGCCAAATAATGGGTCCTGTCTGACAATAAAAAAGCTGAACTCTTTGCTGACCAATTACCGATTGTCTTCACACCACATACAGACTACCCAGATAATGAACATGAAAATTATATACAATATTCTCTTAAATCCACCTACCACTAACATTACCTCCTCCGGCTTTCACTGTATCTCAAGTACTACAAGTGATTATGACTGCTATATGTTGATCAAAATTATTTTTACTGGCGATTAATACACTATGTAATATATAGAAGTGGAAAGGATACTATGTTCGTGAAAAATTTCGAATCCGAGTGTTCAACGGAAATACACGTTTTAAATTTCTCTTATTCCAACTAATCAAGTTTCATAAAATGTTCCTTCATAAAAATATAGAGTAAACAAAGATGCGATAGAGCTACATGCAGATAACTGGAAATAAATAGCCCAGGATAGGCAGAGATGGAGAAGGCTTATTAAGTCGGCAAAAGTTCTACAAGGTCTGTAATGCCAACCGAAAAAAAAATTAAGTAGATAAAGTTTGGCGATCTTATAATTAAAAAACGTCTTAACTTCGAGAATTTTCCTATGTGTAAAAAGTTTTATGTAGCGATTAGATGAAATTGTTCGATAAAAACGAACTTTTATGTGGATGTTGATAATTTGATAAAAAGGGGTCTGTACCACGGACAATAAAGTTGAGATTAAGAATATCAGATAATCAAGTCCACTAACAAATCTGCCGAACACCTTTAATGCAAGTATATTTCGTAGCTTAGGACACATAGAGTTATTTCCGTAGTCGATTTTTTAAAAATTAACTTATTTTTTATTTAAATGTTAATAGCTTTTCAATTATTTTCAATTTATATTCATTTAATATGATCATGAACTTACACATGGTATGATATGAAACCAACAGAAATCAAAGATACTTAAAATAAACTACTGCTCAGAATTATCAGATCACTTGTGTTTTATATCTAAAATAATGCTAGTTCCAAGTACACTTTTATTTATTTACAGTTAAGCACGGTATGATTATCTGTTTAATAATTTAAACAAGAGTTAATACTATTTTATTCCTATTCCAGAAAAATAAATCTCCTCAGTGCAGATCATGTTATTCACTGGATGATTCGTTTCTCTTAGTTATTCATTTCTTTAGTATATGTATTTCTTTAAAAGTTGTATTTATTCTTTAAAAATGAATATACTAAACACTATATGCAAGATTTAATGGAGAAGATGATGATTTGACTGGTTAATTATTGAATTAGCTGACGAAACATTACGAGACCCATCCCAGACCCTTGGCTTTCGCCTCCAGGATAGTGGAATGTTCTAGTGAGGCAAAAAATCACAGGAGGAGACCCCTGCCAGTTCGACCACTTTCTATAGTTATTCATTTATATTTTCTAAGCAATCTGTTGGCAACTAAACTAAATTAAAAAAGTCTACCGAGCTGACATTGATCGAAGAACTGTTACTAGGAGTTGAATAAAGTTTTAATGAATGCTAAAAATTCATTTCGTTTTATTGAATTACCATAAAAGCTCAGAAAGAGGGCGGGGTGAACTTTGTTCTGATCTTGAAGACATTTTTTGACAGTATATGATGCATAATGAAGTATGAGTACCACAATAAAACTGGAATAAGGAAGCTGTGTTTTTCACCGAAAATTTTAGTTTAACCCAGTAGAACATTCTTTGTATAAATGAGAAGACATGCGAGTAGCCAGCAGATTCTTCCCATCTAAGAATTGTAAACAAAAGTTGGTCAACATATCTTAAGAATCTCTTTAAAATTTCATTTGTTCGCCTCGATCATTGACTGCTGCAATCAGAGATGGAGTAGGATTCACTGTTTGCTCAAAAAATTGTTACATACTTTTACGAGCTAAATACCTACTAAAAACATTTATCGTATTTGGGACAAAAATTGTATCAAAATATGTTACATATCTACAAACAGTCATGCCAACATTACCAATTTTTATATTTACATAATCTCATAAAAAAAAGTCTGTGTTCTACCCGAGAATTTAGATAGCCACGACGCGGGCTCGATTCCCGAATGGGGGCGGCAACGTCATTACCTGATGATTCTCAAGGTGATGAACAACCAAGTTAGGGGCTGGGCATTCGACTAGTATATGTACCAAGCACCAATCCTATAAAAACACCTTCTTACGAAACCTAAAACTAGACTCGGAAAATAGGCTGTCTACTTACACTAGTACAGGGGACAAGACAGTCCTGAAACCTATATGGACATACGAACTTGAACTGTGGGAGACAGCAAAATTTTTTAACATCAAAAGCATCTAATTCTTTCAATCTAAAGTCCTTCAAACAATAGTGGATGCTCCATTCTACTTAACCAACAAAATCACACCTTGGCTTTAATATCACATTTGTCCTAGACCTTATCCCAGAAAAAATCTCAAAATTTCATCAGAGCCTCAAACATCATCCAAATCTCCTTGCATAATCCTCATCTAGGTCCACCCATCCCTACAGTCCTCCTCGAAGGTCGAAACGGCAGTGGCCCAAAGAACTTTTGTGAATAAACATATATTGGAGTTTTAACAATGACCAGATTCTTCACTCAAGGCATGTATGTAACGGCATTGCTCAGCCTCTACTGGTCATTGATACCAGTAATGCGGCTGAGTAAGAGGTGCTAGGATCTCCTAGAATCCTGCCTATCCTTCCACGAGTGGGGAGAAAGGCTTGGCTAGGAGTTCTCCTGATTGAATGAATTCTGTAAATATTTTTAAAAAGTATACTTGTGCTTAAGTTGTTATATTGATTAGTTTAGTTCTTTTGTTTATATACATTTACTATTAATACTATGATTTTGCTGTATTATTTATTGTAAATAAATTTTGAATTTGCTCTCTGGACTCATTATAAATGTCCTTAACTATAACAGATTGTAATATTTCTCAATAAATAAGTTTTTTTAAAAAAAAGGTGTAGTAACCTGAGTCTTTGTATCGTAGGCCTATTTGGACAAAGAGCAGTAAAAACTGCATTCAACGAACTATATAAGTACAAAACCCCGTGAACAGAAAAAAAGAGATAAGAAGGCCAAAAGATGGTGAAACGACGATGGCAATAAAATAAACAGCTGGTAGTGGTATAACGTTACACCGTCGGTTTATAACGAAAAATCGTTATGTAACATAACTGAATATTAAATTAGTGAATACCTGATGAATATTCTCTCTGTGAAATCATATTATCCACTAACAATTACTGTGACAACTTTTGACCTATCGATGGTACGCAACGAAATCTTGTACCTCTACTTTAGTAAAAATAAGGGTTTAATAACATATTCTTCATCATTATCTTCTTTTAGTACTGCTATGCGGTGTGTAGTTAATAACGTGTATAATGATATTCAGATTCAGTTTCTATAAGTTTTATTACGTTGACCAACCCTTATTCATTTGTAGATTAATTATACGGATGTACTTTCAATTCTCTCTTTGTATATACAGTTCAGAGAATGAAGTTATGTTGTTTAAAAAGGCAGATGGAGTTACGTGGCTATTATTACCTACCATCGATATATTAAATAGGTATGTGTTATTTTAAAGGTCTTGATCAGGGGTGCCCATCTCCCAAAGGTCGATGACGCAAGAACCTCCCCCTCCCTGGCTATTTTATTGCTCACTTTTTCACACAAAGCAAGGGAAAATAGAATTAGAAAAATCGTAGGTCATACACAATTGCACTTTCTGCAGAATGTTGCACGTTTTCTTCTTGTCCCTTCATTCTGAATATTGATAAACCCGTTCAAATTTGAACCCCTAAAAAATTCAAAAATATGTCACCTTTAAAAAGTTTGATGGCTCAACTTGTGCCATATAACCCCCTTCTGGGCACCTCAGGTCTTGATGAGTGTTTAAAGGTTAGCTGTAAGGTTTAAATTTTAGCACTGTTAAAAATGAACTTCTTGAATGAAAAAACAGTTTAATAGCCCAACTTTGAAAGAAAATAATTTCGGATCTTTTTAACTTAGCTACTGCAAACCACTTTTCTATACAAACATATGATTTCTTTGTCACTAGTTACAGATTTGTTAATAAATATCGTTTCGTAGTTATAACCTCAGTTTTAAATACATACATACATATTTTTCATCAATAACACATAAAACTGATTTCACTGAACGTATTTAGATTAATAGAAACAATAAAATGTGAACAAGAAAAAATAAATCTTTCTATCTGAACATGTCAGAAAGTCCACAATAAACAACCCAATCAGTACCATTTCAAAACAATTTAAATGAGAATCATATGTTTTTAATAAAAAGTGATTTGCGGTGGTGAAGTAAAAAAGACTTATAATTTCTGTTCAAAATAGAGCGGTAAGTGAAAGTTGTGTGATGCTCGCACCAGAATTTTTTTTCGATTTAATCTATAGAACTTTTATATCTTTGCATGATTTCTCCACTTTACCTATCTTAGGCTAATGCTTTCCGGTTTGCTATCTGCAGCAACTTTGTACCTGTTATCTATCGATCTGGGTTTTTTGGGGGGGGGGCTTCCTCCCTGGTGTCTCGCTAACTCATTCATTCACTATTAGTCCTTTTCGGTGTGTTATGTTTATAATCTCAAACATCAAAGGTTGATTTGTCATGGCATCTTTCGTCCTTAATGGTGGACTTTTGAAGTTTTTAGTTACCTTGACAGGCACAGGCGGATCTACGTGTGAGCGGGAGGAGGGGAGAGGCTCGAACTGAAGCCCTTCTCCTCCCCCCAAATGTTAAAATATAACCACGTTTTATAAAAAAAAATTATTTCTAAAACTATTATTGTTCGTCTAATTACATTTAATAGGACTTAAAGAATCAGTTAAACACTATTTCATATAGGTAGTTAGTTTCTTTCTTTCTTCCGTAATTATCCTAATATATACATACAAAAAAATATATTTCGGGCTGAAGCCCTCAAAAATTAAATCCTGAATCCGTTAGTGTTGACAGGTTATGTTCTATCTTCATTTATTTGTTGGCCGATTTGCTCTTCTTCTCTTTCTGTCGCATCGAGTCTCAAATCTTCTCGACTTCCTCCCAGAATAGTTATGTAAATGATCTGCTTAAACAAAGATTCCATGTTTCTATCCTATTTGTATCCCTCTATTTTCACCTAATGTTGTTATTACCTTATAACTCATGTCTGATCAAAAATCTGTTTTTTAGATGTTTAAATCCTCTGCACGCGAGTCTCATAGTTCTTTCTTGTGACTCTGCTAAAACGAAAATGACTTTTCTAATAATTTATTAAGAACATAAAAGTAATAAATCTGTGCATCAGCATTGCCATTTGAAATTAGAAAAAAATAACAAGCATGGATTTCAGAATAAATCAGTAGCCATCCACACTTTCCTCGATGTTTACATAGTTACTCTTGCTATCTTGTAATAGTCGATTGGTATTTCGCTATGACGTATTTCTCTAAACGAATCCTCTTACACTTTCTTTATTGTACTAAATTCCTTCTTATATAGTACTAGGCCTAAGATCTGAGAAGTTAAGTCCCTTCTTTAACGTTCTTTTAACATTCTCAATTGTTCCTAATTTCTGTTACAAAGTTATTTTACCGCTTTCATTTCCTGTTTAATTTTTTCATCTGAACTATTTAACGATTCGCTAATCTTAAACATTTATTTTCTGTTTAATTTATTTTTCTTTTAAGTATATTATTTCATATGATTTAAAAAATATAAAATAATGTACTTCCTAAAAAAAAACTGTTCATGTGCATAAACAACATATCCAAAATTACATAAATAATTGTTCACTCTTTGCCGTAACACTATAAAAAGTAATAAAGAAAGTCATAAAATAATATTAAAATGAATCTCGTCACTAATGCATTCTGCAAGATAAAGGATGATAATGTTAAAGGAAATTATGGACCAGTAAAATCTGATGAAAACCAGACGTGTTTATTTCCATTTCTTTCTCCTTTAATCGTACCTCTTCAAACGGGCTGTCGCTGTTTATTACCAGTAATAGATGAATCTGATACTACTTGCGAATATAGGCCGTTCCTTTCTTTGGGTCTCATTTTGATATACGTAAGTAATAAATTAACATTTTATGAATTCTAGACACAAACAGAATTATAGTTATAATGTAATGTAAGTTATGTAGTGTCCTGATGTGATTGATCAGTATGCTGTGTATAAAGCAACATTATGTAGTAGGGCAACACTACTTTGAATGTATTATTTCTCTCTGTCTTTAAATTTTAAAACGATATGGCAGATGATAGTGTGGACTTCCTCAGATAATCTTGCTGTGACCTCATGATTCAGTGACGTATTTGTAAAAATACGAATATAAACGAAAAGCAGCAGATGGAAAGGCGGAAGGACGGATCATTTTAAGCTCTACCTTATATCTTGTGGTTTGATGTTTTTTTTCTTTATCGATTGCATAGACTCATGATTTAAAAAAAAAAAAAAAAAAAAAAAATAATATATATATATATATATTATATATATTATATAATATTTAGGTATAAATAAAGGTGTTGGTCCAGAGGTCGTTCAAGGAGGTGTTCAGGGACACCAATGACTCACTAGCTATCTCCTTATTTATAAAATGTTTTCTCTAGCTGTTAAAATATACTGGTGAATCTTGACATCTTATATTTTTCTTTTCTATCCTACCTTGCCTTAAGTTCATATAGATGGTGGCACTAATGGATTAGAAAAGCATGAGTGTAGCTCTGTTGAAGCATCAGATAAACAGAATGCAATCTCTATATTGTTCGTGGCGACATATCGTGTTTTGTGTAACTGCAATAGTAATACAACTAGATCGCCACCCCCTTAGAAATCGCGGATCGCATTATTTGTGCCCAAGCTTTAAAAGTTAAACAAATCTCAATTTTCTGGACCTATGTACGTCGCTTAACCTTTTTAATTGTGAGTTTGCGCCTCTTCTGTCCGACGCTCTTCCAGTTGTATACTATCGTAATTTCAAAATATGTGTTATTGGAGGATATATTTTTTTGTTGGAAAGTCGAATGTCAAAAGCATTATGTTTTCTTTTCAATTATTAATTTCAATAAAGTATATTCGTAGATATATAATAAATAGTAACTTAAATTTTAATCAATCAAAAATACAATACTCTCCTGAACATTCAATTTTCTTCTACCCAAGATTAAGTTGGGACTAATAACAGAAATAGTTAGTTCTCCTTGTCTATTAGCTGAGGAAACTCGCTCTCCGCCAGGAATAGAGTCTTATTTTGTTTAGCAATAAACCATTAGAAACTTAGCGGTAGCACATGCTACGACGATGTACTAGACGGGACACTAACATCCTCAGATTAACAACCATCTAAGGTACAGGTAATGCGTGTCTAATTTATTTATTGATACTCTCAGTACTGGTCTGGTTCTATTCCTCAATGTCTTTTCCTATCTTATTATTGTATTTCCTTGTCTCATGAATATTTGGATTTCGTATAACTTCAGAAACATTCTACAAAATGTAAACTACTCAAACATCAAAATGTTTCATCGATCATGGAATACATGTGGTTGTACCTTCTTCTACATTTATATTAGCCATTACCTCCCTAACTAGTTTCCGAAAATTCATATTGTTGCAAAAATGACGTGCAGAGATCTAATTATATTACCCCCAGGATATTTCTTTCAAATATGTCATGAATTTATTAATTATTTTGGTCGTGATATAATATACCTTCTGAAATCTTTTATTAAATTTTCTTTTAAATATTTCATTCCCCTTCTAAAATGAGACACCCAGGAAGAGATCTGAAGATAAGTCACACATCAAGGAATCAGTAAACCATTCCTTCTGGCACGGTTTTGGTATATAACTGTGATCTTAACGAGGGTGACTCAAGGAATAGGCGACTGTTTCAGATTTAATACTTGCCAACTCTGTCGATGGTTAATAAATAGTTCTCTTATAGGGTCGCAATTCTGTATGTTAAGGCTTCTCTGAAGTTGTCATGTTAGCTATTCTTTATAGGGTTTGATTCCTTTATACACCCCAATTGCATGAAAAACGGGGTGTTACTGATTTATGTTAGCATCCAACTTTCCAAACCGAACACTCTCGTGTTCCAGGAGCCTAGTCAATTTTAGTTCTGTACCTAGCAAGAAAAAAAGTTATTTAGAATATAATTACTGATACGCTGTATAACTATTGATTGTTTAGCGTATTGGACATTTACTGTTAATATCTAGGAGAGTAATACTGCAGATTAGACATTGTATTTTCATAATAGTTTTTGTTAATTTAAGACTCTTTTTATACATACTTTCCTTATCCTGCCAGTAATACAACGTAAACATTAAATTGCCTGTTAAAATATGACGATTAAATTTTTAATTTAAAAAATAATAAAGATGACATGTTTCATCTAAAAATATAATTTTATACTTCGAATTCAGATGTAAGAAGTATGCAAATTTTAAGGTTGAATAGCTTTTACATTATTTTTTTAAGTCAACTTACTGAAGGATAGGATAAGTATTTTTGCGGGAAAATAAATACGATATATGATATTCAATCCGGTTAATTAACCCAAAAACAAAAGCCTGCAGCAGTAGTTAATCTAGAAATGAAGTATTAATCTTTTTTTATACTTATTAGTCAGTAATCCCGAGTCAAAACGAAATCTAGTTGTGGAGCTACCACGGAGTGGGAGCTGGACGATAATAATGGTTTGATTGATTTTGTTATTTTTTGAGTTATGATAAAAATTACCGAACTCTTATCACCAGATTTAAATCTTCCAGTTTTATTTGATAGTTGAAAGATCTGTGTTGTCACTTTTTATAGTAACCTTACCCATTAGCCAGTTTGAGGATATAAATATACATAATGGATATGTTTTATGTACATAAATCACACAATGTTTGACTGAATGACATCTTGGTTTTGTCAGTTATAATAGTGTTTATACATTGATGATTATAATTATGGGTATATGCTCTCATTAATATGTTATATCTTTCTTATCTTATTTAGAAACTGTGTTTAAATAAATTACGCCATTGTGAATAATTCATAAATTTACAGTTTCTTAAATGAATTGATAATTTAAAATGATTTTTGGTAATATCATTAATGTGCCTGTTATCATTCTGAAGCCCTGCCTATTATCACTAACTAACTTATTGGCTTTAACACTCTCTCATTTATTTATGTAATTTATTTTGAAATTTCTGATGAAGAATTGAGAGTATTTTACTGTACTTTAAAGAATTAAAATTTTATTTGCCCTTAGTCTTGTGCTAGTGCCTTAAAAGGTTTGTCATATATGTCAGGAAGGTAATATCATAACCCTCTTTTCAAATGAATTGTGAAATGAAACACTGTCTAAATATTTCCTAATGTCTGTGTATATATTCTTTATGTTTTATTGATGATAGCATCATTTAGGAACCTTTTATTAACAATTTACATACTCCATGATGACATATCAATAGTCCTACCCAAGTGGCATATCTGTAAATTTTGCTATTATGGGATTTATTATTTTCTGTTTTACAAAATAACAGTGAACAATAGCAATAGCATAAGCAAGGCGAACTGATACATGATACAACCAGTGTAAATAAGAAATCTCCCACCATAATTCCAAACCCAACTTTTGTAGTTTGCTAAATTTCATGCAGTTTTTGTTTTTATATTGTTAAATAGGTTAGAAATTCACAAAAACATAAAAGTTTAGCTCCAACTGAAGTGTTCTCAATGGCTGTTTGCAATAAATCGGCGATATATAATTAATTCATAGTACAATTTGATTGAGTCTGTTTAGAATAGAATAGAAAATAACTTTATTCTGGGACAAAGTCCCTTTAGAATAACAAAATAGAACATAATTAAAATACTACATCTGGCCAAAATAAACAATAATAAAAAAAAGAGAAAAAATATTAGTTAAACAAGCTATATACAAAAAAAAAAATCTATATACAAAACACTTAAAACTATGATAAAACACTTAAGACTATGTACAGTAGGAAAAATTATAATAATACTCTTTTGAAAAATGAAATAATAAAAAATAAATTGAATTCTTCTTTAAAATGAGGTGTGTTTCTGCTAACAAAGAAAAGACAAAGCTGACAATATAAAATATCAGTGTCTTTAAATAATGATTAATATGTAGAGTCATCATTGTCAAATGCTAGAGGTACCGATTTAATTAAATACCAATAAAAAATATTAATAAATAAATAAAAAAATAGATGTGGTCAGTGGCATTAAGAGCCGGAAGATATTGTAATATCTCTAGTGAAGTTCACAGTATAGAATAGTACTATCATTTGATGATGACTAGAATATCGAAAGTTTAGCAAGTATCTGACTGTTTTTGGGATAGGAATTGGAATAGGAGGGATTTGAATGTGGATATGGAGGGGAAATGCCGAATTTTGATAGGTAGAGAATTCCAGAAATTGACAGCGCGAGCTATAAAGGAATTCTGAAATGAGGCAGATCTGTGCGAAGGGATGTAAAGGTCAGAAGGTCGAGATCTTGTTGAAAGGGAATGGACTGAGGACTTGAATTGGAGTATTGGAGGACTGAATTGTAGGCGTAAGAAGGACGATGGTTGTTGATGATTTGATAGAGGAACATACCTAGGAAATATTGTCTTCTAAAGGAGGGGAAGAGCCACCTTAACTCAGTGTAGTGGTGAGAGACATGGGAGTAGCTCGGGGCACCGATAACAAATCTTATCGCAGCTATTCAGATATTTTATACAATTTATACATTTTATAATGCAAATCCACTTTAGAATTGGCAATATTTCTTAAATGTTTATTTTACGTGATTTGAGAAGATCCATGTTATTTAAGATATAATGGAAAAATGTTTGTATTAATATATGTATGTAATTAAATTATTTTTTTTATACACTAAATCAAAATATGATTTACCTTTTGTGTACAAAATCATTTTCCTTTTTCTGAATGTAAATCATTTAACTATTGTGTGAAGTATTTACTCTATATCAAAAGGTAAATAGTTAACTCACAACTGATACAGACAGTGAATTTTATTTAAATAGTATCATTGACCTGACTATTGTAATTCAATTATTGTGTGAAGCATTTACTATATAACAAAAGTTAAATAGATAATTACTCAAAACTGATACAGACAGTTAATTTTATTATAACGGAACGGCATCATTGAATCTAATAACTCACAACTTTTAGAAATTGGAAATCATAAATGGACATTTTCCACTAAGTTCTAAGCTGAATCTCATGTTAATTAAGATTTATTTTACTGTTTTGAATCTATCAAATACTTTTTTTTGTCTAATATTTCCACAAAATGTCTACAAAATTATTCAGTTCTTGCTATTGCATGATTGATGAATTCATCGCATAATCATTTATTTTTTAATTTCATAAATTTATGTATTTGGTAGATCCTTCGAAAAATTTGGCTTCCATTTTCTGGTGGAGTTTATGCACTGAGTGTTGTTCATGCAAAAGGAAAGAATGAAGTAGAATGTGATCCAAACAGAACACTTGTTAGGCCCTGTGATCTCCCATTATATGGTGACGAGAAACAATGTTCACATTGGTAAATATTTTTATATTTTTCAGTGATGGTTTTGAATTGTACATTTTATCTGTTTTTGTATTAATTATTAATTATAATGGTTTATAGTGTTAAGAAGAAAGCTGCATCTGAGCTTGCTGAAGAAAAAGGTGCACTGGAAGAGACCATAACTTGTGCTAGAAAGGAATTATGGTTATTAATGGATCAAGCAAAAGTTATCAAGGGGGAAGTTGCTGAAGCTCTGAGTTATGCAATTGGAAGTGCAAATGGTAAATAAATATATTAAAGAAGTAATATATATATATATATATATATATATATATATATATATATATATATATATATATATATATTGAAAATGACAGATCATATCCCATCTTTTGGCTGTTAGGAAGTTTTCTTAATATTTATTTTACATTAAGCTTGATATACAGTTTTCAATGGAAAAGACTTACTTATTCAATTGCAGTGGTATTTGAATTTATTTCTTAGAGATGTTAAATTAGCCTTGAAAATTTGGGTTGTTAATATCTGTATTGTTAAAATATTCCGAGCCCCTACTATTATTAGAAAATGTACAATTAGGTTAGTATTTAATAAATTTTGACAAACTAGCATGATACCATAGAAAGCAAATATTCAAAATAAAATAGAGATCATAATGATATGTCTCGATACTAAATGCAAAAAAAAAAATACCAACTCTCCTGCTCATGAAGGATTCTCTGCTGCTTGTTGACCCTTTTCAGTCCAATATGTCCCTATGGATGCACTATTTTTTTTTTTTTAAATTGGCACTAAGATTATAGAGAAAATCATTAGCTGATTAAACTAGATCAAATGGTAGTTTCAACTGTGTAATTTCAGCACCATCTGTTTATTGGCTGAAGGTTGCACAATTTAGGTGATATGGTATGAATCCATTCTAAAGTTAGGTGTTTACTGCTCAACCCTATGAAGGTTGAGTCTTGGTTAATTGATATCCTCTTAATGTCATAATTAACTGATATTTGTAAAAAATGTACCATCTAGTTAACAGTTAGTTAACAGATGGTACATTTTCTGTTTAAAATAATCACTCTGTAGTGGCTCATAGATATTCCCTTAGCACATAGTATATTTTTGCCAATGCCAGACATTTACCTCAGCTCAGAAATAAAGGGTTACTCTCTAAGCAACAAGTACTCCACTCCTGCTTGAACTTAATTTAAATATTTAATTTGTTAAAATAAACAAGTGCTTCTAAAATAAACAACCAATTAGTTTTCCTGAGAACTATATGTATAATTAATTATTTGTTATAATTTATTATCAGAAGGAAAAATATGTTATATTTTTGTCTGAAGTGATAATATGTTTTATTGTCTGGGTTGGACTTAAAGAATGAAGATGACTAAGTATGATATAGGCCAACTTTAGGATTTAAAGCCTTTTCTTTTCAATGGTGTTTGTCATTTTTTCTTGGTTAATTTTATGATAAATTATTATCTACTGCCAAAAAAAGTCACAATACAATGTCTCAAAGTGGTACAGCTCACCATTTGCAACTGCTATACTTAATGCTATTGAATGTTTAGCAGTAGGTGACGATTATGCAAATTTCTTCTAATACTGCTTTGCAGTGTGAGGATTCCATTCAAAGAGTTTAGATCAAGTCAATGTATTCTGAGAGCAGGAAATGATAGTGCTCTTTCCCCTGTGGTAAATATAATGAAGGGTCTCATCTATTGCTTTGTAAACATGGTTTTTATCAATTAATACAAAATTTCATCTATTCACTTACAGATGGTTCAAAAAATAAATTCAACTCATGTGCAATTGTTTTCAAGTTTGATTGCAATTGTTTGACCTCACTAATTTTTTTGTTTGTTAGTTTTATATTTTTCATTCCTAAAAAACTTGTCAACTCTTATAACCTTACAGATCTAGAGCAAAATTCCAACTGTAAAAATGTATATATCATAAATTTTCATGCTTACAGAACTAGAGTAAAGGGTTGAAAAAACAAAACAATATAAATAGTTTTATAGAAAAAATAATGTGATCAGTTTTAAAGATTTTATTTTTATGGAATAAAAATTAAGATACCAAAAGCTGTATATTCTATGAAACAAAAGTTCACATTTTATTCCAGTATTTTGTGTATACAATGACCAGAAATGGAAGAGGTATATTGAGTTTTTAGTCTTGATGCTATAATGGCTGTCCTTTAGTTATTAGTTTGGGTTGCTACGCGCCTATGTCACACCATTTTATTTTTTTAATTATTCCTTTAAAAGATTTCTTTTTTTCATTTTAGAGGGATTACAATTCCTTCGTAAAGAAGAAAACTTTGTTCCACGTATGGGAGCGATAGGTCTTGGTGGACTTACTGGCTTTGTATATGGCTTAAGAAAAGGAATGTTTCGTCGAATGCTTTACACAACTATAGGAGCAGGTACAATGGCGGCTTTGTGCTATCCGCGTGAAGCACAGGAGTATAGCAGGATTGTTTATGACCAAACTAGGATGTATACAATGATTGCGTACCATTTCTTAAATGGAGGTAAACAAATTTCTTATTCCATGTAGTTTTTTTGTATAGGAGATTTATTTTCTGTTTTTATTTCTTTATCGGGTTAGAACACATGAAATTTCAGTTCCTAGAGTAGGAGGCAAAGGAAAGAAAACTTTTGATGTTATTAGCTTTAGTGTATTTCTCCTTATGCCCAAGTGATTTTTTAAATCCTTGTTTGAGGAAACTTTTTGGCTTTGAATCACTTAACCCGAGAAATGAAAACCTTGTTTTGACTTTGAAACGTTTTGTTTTTTAAATAATGCATCAAGTGCTCTAAAAAAATGGTATATAATCAGTTCGAGATAAGTCAGATGAATTTGGTTGATGTGGTAGAGCTTAAATTTTTTTAAATTTAATAACAAATATATTTTCAGGATTTGTGGTGAAGAAATGTTGGTCCTCCTTCCTGTTTAAAAGGGCTGAAACTTTTTGTTATAATTTTTTATGAACTTCCATTTCTTCGTAGTATAGAAGTCCTCAAAAGTTTACCGAGTTTTAAAAAAGTTTCTAGCCTTTCTTATTTATTTAAGCCTTATTGATGAAACCTTCAAAAACATTGATATACAGTTCTTTCATTAACTTTATGTTTCGAAATATTTCAGAAACAAAAATGTGATAGCTATATATTCTTCCCAGATTATTACACGTAATTTCTCAGATTCAATTGATTACAGAAAATTACGCAACAGTTTAAATATTTAATAATAATCAGAAAGATATGGCATGAAAATTAAAAAGAAATATCTGCAGATTAATTTAGTACCCATTGTTAGTATTTATAAACAAGAGATGGTTTCATGATTTTGGCTAAATAAAAAATCAAAAATTTCATCTGTTCCAACCCAATATTTATTTATTGAATTATTATTTACTTAAAGGTGATATTTGGTTACTGTGTTTAAATATCTGGCTCTTCAATCAAAATATGAACCTTAATATCCCTCCCGATTTTCCTCTAGTCTTGCCTTTGTTGTTTATTTTTTGGTTATATTGTTTAACTTCCATTAAAAACTCTTTTAGTTTGGGATAAATGACAATGTATTTCCAATCGAGCTTAGCTATTTAAAATAAGCTAATTGCTTTATTGTATTATTCTCAGTATCTTAAATCTTGCACACATAGAACTCGTTCTTTCACAAGGATCTTCAAATACTGCTCAAGATGGGTTGAAGGTCTAATTCATTACTATCTTTTTCATTATCATTCACACAGAACGCAATCCATAACACAGCGAGTTATACAACGCGATCACTGATAATGTAATTTTTCAATTTCAGAGTATTAGTCGTATTAATGTAATAATTAATTTATGAATTAGTGCTTGCAATTGAAAAAATGTATAAAAAATTAAAATGTAAAAAAAGAAAACAAGATGTTTCAAAAGTATTGACAAGGTTTGAGCATAATATCTCAGTCTTAAGTTCCACTCACAAGGTTCTCCCTTGATGTTGGTAAAGATGAGTTGAAATAACTTATTGGGAAGAAGATCAGTTAATATTTCTGAAAAATTAACAATTTAATAAACCAATTACATTTCTTTTGGGAAAGGAGGAGGTAGAATAAAAAACAGCCATAGTATAAAGTTTATAATTAACTATAAAAAATTTTAATACTTAAGTTACTACAATAAAGATATATATTATATATTTCATGATTGCTCATCTACTTCATTCTGTGTCATAAATTGTTTATCTCTTCCTAAGCAACATTGAGAAAATATTAGTTCAAGGTTGTAATTATTGTTTTATTCAAAATGGTAGAAACTAAATAATGTTGCTACAAAATGTTAGTTGTGAATTAAACAACTGAACCCATCCTAACAGTATTACATTCAATCTTAAGAGTAGCATACAAATAAAAACTATTTTTAAATCCATATTTTATTTATATTTTTGTATTATACTTTATCCATACCTTAATTATATCTTTAATTCATTAACATCTAAATTTGATCAGTGTTGCTAACAAATATATAATGTTTAGTAGTTATTATTTTTATTATTAAGGGGCTTGATCATCTTCTATTTTTTTTGTCATGGTTGTATATTTTAGTTTAGTTATGATAATGTTCTCTTTTGGTTTGCTAAACTCTATGCAGTTTGATTTTTGAATTAGCTTCATTCTGTAATTTGCGGCAATATCATTCTTAAATATGGATAGGCTTGATCTTACTAATTTTGAAAATATAATGATTCTGTTTAGCCTCTAAAGTCTGTGGTAATTACCCTGTTTTTTTTTTTTACATTTTAAATTTATTGAAATAATTTACTCAACTATTTTATTTATTATTAATATTATTAATTAATAACTTTATGTTTACATCAGCCTAAATAATTTAGTTAACACATATTCATTCTTGATCATGTAATAGTATTAACAAATATTGGTTTAAACTAAAAAAAAAAAAATAATAAGCAAATTAAACTAACTTGCATTACTTCACCCAAAGTTACATTTTATCCTGTCCTTCAAACTAGAGTAATTGATAAATTATTTTTTCCTATTTCAAGATGTAATTTAAAAATATTTTCTAAAGGTTATAAGCTCTATTGGGTATTAGAGAAAAGTTATTTATTTTGAAAAGAGTATTTAGAAATTTATTATTGTTAATTAATACAGTGAGCCGGGATTTGACGGGATATCAATTGCCGCCCATATCGTTGGGTCACTTTCTCATCAGCGATTCTCCTCACCCTCCCCCTGAGGCCGTCCCATCTGCTGAACATCTACTCCCTCCTACAGTGACTCCTGTTCACATTCCTCTTCCAGGGGAAGATGAGGTAGATTGTTTCTCTGATATTCCATCATTGCTTATTATTTTGCTTTTGTTTGTTCTGTTTTTGTTTTGTTTTTCAATAATTTTATTGCATGATGTTATTGGGTTATCACAATTTTTATTTTTAAATTACATTGTTATTTTTCTCTTGATATTGATGTAAGAAATGTTATTTGTCTTCAAGTCCTCACATCTGAATGAGTACTTCATGTTTTGGTATTTTAATTTTTATAAATTTATTTCAATTTTTAAAAGATAAAGGTGGACCATTAGAAACATAACACTATGTTTTTTAAAACTTACTCGCAGAACTTTTGACAGTACCCTTGTTTTGAGAAAGAATTCTTAAATAACCTTTTATTCTTATAGTAAGGTTTACATTTTATATACTGTATAATGTTAGATATATTTTAAACATAAAAAAATTCAACAGAGTTCGGTGAGCTAAACTTTCGTCCAGTACACAAACTAAATCATATTTTGATAAATTGTTTGCTTCTAAAATTCCTCTGATACTGGATATTAGCAATTAAGATAAAACATCACTTACATAAAACATAACATAACATCACATAAAATCATCACCAATATTCCCTCTAAAGAACAAAACTATATTTGTTATATTTTTCCTGTTATGATTAAAAACAAAGGGATTACCTTCAATCCAGTCATTCCTAAAAATGTTTTATCTTGAAAAAGTATCATCTGAAATGATATATATTGTATATTTGCAATATAATTTTTTTTTTTTTTGCACCTCTTGACTTCGACTTTTTGCCATGAGTCTTCTAGCAGCTTTTTGGGACTGTTACAGGGAACCAGAAGTGTTCATTTGGTTCTTGTCAAGATATCCACGGAGCATGTGGTTTACTAATAGGACGTGATCACAATTCAGTCCCTCTTCATCAGGCACTTTCCTAAAGGATGGTTGGCAATCTTTTTCAGCAATCTCCACTCAGTTTTTTTATGGGATAGGGAATTATCAGCCCTATACCCAACTCCCAACCTGAATGGAGGACCATGTGCTATAGTGTAAGACACAGGGGTGCTCACCTCTCTGTGATTTTCTCGGTGGGGACGTTACCGTCCCCATGCGGAAATTGAACCCGTGCCATAGTCTCTATGATACCGTGCCATAGTTGGTCTGAGCAAGTAAGACCTTTACTTATTAATTATTATTTTCTTTTTCTTTTGTTGTTAAATCCTGCGAGTGGGATTTGAACACTTGAATATAAAATTTTTGCAGGCATCTTAACTCGCTCTATCACTGCGGGCCATATATAAATATGTTAAATAAATATAATATGTACCTAAAAAATCTTAATAAAAATTAAAATAATTGCTCCAAAAGTGTTATTGTTAGTTGCAAAATGTTCCATTTTTAATTTTGATCCCTATTAGGCCACTACATAAGCAATTCTCCTATTTTGTTATATACTACTTTTTTCTGAACTATTCTTCAACATGTTTATTGCATATAAATTATCTGTTCAGATATTTCCAAATTTATAAGCTTACCCATGTCTTTAACAACAATACATTTGAAAAGGCACGTTTCTTTATTTATGAGAATATATATATATATATATATATATATATATATATATATATTATATATATATATATATATATATATATATATATATGTAAAGAAAACCATATTATGTTTTCATAGTAATGTGTTGATAAATGACAACAAATTTTTTTGTTTTAGTTATTACGATTCCAATAGTTCACCTTTATCCTTTAAAAATAAATTATAAAAATCATCTCTTTGTTATTTGTATAGATTATTCTGCTTGTTTTTATTTTATTACTTTTGTGAAGTCTTTGTGTTCTGCACTTTTTACAGGATTTGTATTTTTTATTTATAAAAAGTACATTATTGTTCATGTATTTCAAACTTCAGTCTTTTATTATTAACAACCGGAGTCATTTTGAATAAAGATTGTTCTGCTTGTTTCCATTTTATTGGTTATACTTTTTATTTAATTTTTGTTATCTGTTTGAACTCATATTTATTCAAGCATTTAGTTTTTTTTTTTTACTTTTAACCGGAAGTAATAAATCTAAATAGTAAGCACTATAAAATGTGATAAATAAATATCAGCAAAGATAAATATTTTAAAATATAAAATAATGTTATTATGATGAAAATATTACTGCTTTAATATGCTTATTTTATTATCACAAATAAATAAATTATTCTTTTATTAACTTGTCTGATAGGAGAGAAACATATTTCATTTTATTTTTTGTATCTTGTTGTTTGTGAAGCAACGAGAATAACATCTTTGGAATAGTTATTCTTTTCATGAGGATTTTAGAACCCAACTAAATGATAGATCATACTCACCATTGGATTTAATCATTCCATGATATCTTGAAAGATTAGCTACATTTTTTGCTTGTACTCATACTTCATTTGGATTAACTCTCTATCTGGTTCATTCTTCATGTTTCATGCAGCTGTCATTAAACATTTACAGAAAAGCAAAAACATAAGAAACATTAATGACTAATTGGAAAAAATCTAAACCAAGCAGCCTTATGTCTCCAAAATGCAGACAAAGAAAAAAACCCGTCAACGTTTCGCCAATTTGGAAACATAAGGTTGTGCGGTTTTTAATTTTTCCAATAATAAATTAACATTTATGTTCTGTCTCTTGATTATTTTGTTACTGATTTATAACAATACTAGCTTTACCCGGCAACGCGCTGCTGTGGCTCAATCTGACAAAATGGAAAAGAAAGAAAATAGAAAGCACATATGAGTGGCTTATGGACAATTGTCATTTTAAAAAAATTGAGAAAAAAAAATTGTCTAACATTAATTAATTAATTAAGCTTCAATTTAAACTAATTCTAATGAATTTTTTTTTCATAATTCAACTTGAACATTCTTAATCATCAGAGTGAATACGCCCTCATTCTTGGATTGGTCTATTGTTTTTAGTGGATAAATAGGTAATCTTTTTGTTTGTTTTCATTTAGGAATGTTAATACAGAGGACAATAGCCCTTAATCCTTAATTCAATGAAATGATTCTAGATTCTAATGTTTCCAAGATTCCAAAACGAACCATTATTATTCTAAAAGAAATTAATTACATCATCGTTTAGTAGTAAACATTGGAATCTAGAATCATTTCATTGAATTAAGGATTAAGGGTTATTGTCCTCTATATTAACATTCCTAATTGAAAACAAACAAAAAGATTACTTATTTATTCATTAAAAACAATAGACCAATCCAAAGCAGAAATATTTTTAGATGAAAACATGAAAAAATCAAGTGGAGGAATTTTTTGCCTGTCAGTGTGTATATATATATTAAAAATGCACCATCAGTTGGATGTAAAAGCAACACATGCTGCTCAAAATATTTTATGATACTGTTTCAATGTTAAAGATTTTCAAAAATCAAACCTGTCAATGCATTGAAATCGCACTATACCAGTTACACTCTTAAATCTCAGAAAGTTCTTCACCCATTGCCTTGAAATTTTGGCTTTAATACGGGCGTGGTTTAATATATCTACTATTATAAAATATAAGGTGAAACTATACATATTTATTAAAAACGCAACATCAGTTGGATGTAAAAGCAACACATGGGGTTAAAAATATTTTACGATACTGTTTCAATGTTAAAGATTTTAAAATATCAATCGTGGCAATGCATTCAAATTGCGTTATACCATTTATGATAGCGTTTATTTCGTGTGTATTAGAGTTGCCTTCCACCTCTCTCAAAAGATTTTGAATATCCCTCCTAAGATATTTGATTGCTTATTTGTTCTTAATAACTACTTGATTAAATATAGAGGTATAAAAATTAAACGGCACAGCCTTGTTCCAATGGAATATTAATGAAAATAATTTATTAAAAAATAAAATCTAAAATCTAAAAGGAACATAAACAGTGATAATTATTACTCAAGGCTTAAATATTTTAAAATAATAGCATATCAAATATTTGTGCATTATACTATTTCCCGACTACATTGGAGAGGGGGAATAAAAATATGAATATAAAGAGCGTATAATAGTATTGACCTACATAAGGAGAATCATATCACTTCTTGCAATGATTACACGATTACAGTAATCTCAATTACTGCAGTAATTCTAAAATATTCGATTAATCAATAACAAAAAAGAAAGAAGCAAAATGGCCTTTGCCGGAGAGAAAGTAGTAAATGTTTAACTCTGCAATCAATTAAGTCCGATTTCGATGTGTTTATTTTTAATTTGTAGGGAATTCAGGAAGCTTTCAAATAAATATAGGTATTATCCATAAATAAAAAAATGTTTACTTTTTTAGTTGTTCGCAAATACAATTCTGAATTCATCGTAACATTTTTTGTAGCTTGTTTTCGGGAAATTATGTTATATACATAAATTAAAAGGGTTTTAAGAGGAATACTTAAGCCAATTTTCATTAAAATCGTTACAGCCGTTTTGATGCTACAGTTTATAACGGCACGTTGGTCATTTCGATGGTAATGAAATGTTCAAAAAACATTACTGAATTCGATTGCAACACTGAGTCAAAATTTGAAAGCAAACGGTGAAGGATTTTTGGAGATTAGCACTTTTGAACAAAGGCTTGATGGAGATCTTTTCCTCTCCTTTTGCACAAACGGTTGACGTATTTTAGATATGATATTCTTCGCCCTCAAGGCCTTCTACTTCCAAGGCCTAATTAAAATTATAACATCAAAAGTTTAAAATTAAAATTACAAAATGATTTATGACAAAATAGGAGGGATGAAACATTGAAGATGTAATAAAATAAAATTGGATATGAGAAAACCAAACCAAAATGAAAGGAATTGTTGACAATTTATTTCTAAGTCTTCCATTGATAGGAACATCGTGAGGTTATTACAAAAAGTCATTAAGTTAGATTTCATATAATTAAATAACCAAGAAATTTGATGAATTTTCTCTCTGTGAAATCAGAACATTGTGTACTTAGTGTAACTATTTTTGATATATTAAAGGTTTTGTGTCATTTCATTGAAGTTACTTTCGTTTTGTATTGATAAATAAAGTCAAAATTCACCAAAACGTACTAGGTAGTTCAGTTCCATCAAAAAATTTCTTAGTGACTTTTTGCAATAAACCGAGGTTATCAAATGTTGAAATTTCATTTATTATAATTTTTCAGATGAACTTGATAACGATATCCGATCTATAGATTGTTCAGATGTTCTTAGCCCTGAAGAATTAGCGGAGCCTAAAAAAGTCTGTATATGTCCACCTAAAGGGACTAAACCTCCTCCTAAATGAACCGGTGATTCCTTTTCCTTTCTCTCCTTAATAATACTGTTATCCTTTACCTTACTTGTTAACTTGTAGGATATTCGGATTCTTTTAAATAATGTTTATTATCATAAAGAAATGATAGTTCTGAAGACCTACTGGAATTGGGTTTCAAATTTTTAGATGATAAATGTTTTTCACACCATTTGAGTTCTTTGAGAAAATCTGTAAATAATTGTTGTGAACAACCTCATTTAGAGATACTAAGTTATTATAACAGAACTTTTTTTTTTTATTTGAAGAAATGCAAGGCAGCTCATTTTAACTGCGATTGTTTTCATAACAATCATAAAAAAATTTAGGATGATTTGAGTTTCAAGATTTGTAGATAGTCGTGACCAGTGGCCAGGCGGGAGCAGGCTACTGCATCTCTTCTTGGTAGGTCTGCTGGGATCGGGTTTTCCACCAAACATCCATAACGTTTCCCTTCCACCTTGTCTTTGTGCATATTTTTTGTTTTCTCCTTCACTACCATCCTCACCATTCGCCGAATTGAATCATAGGATTTTGGATGAACTGTTAGTGGCAATTCTGCTCCCCTCCTGGCGAGACTATCCGCTTCCTCATTTCCTGGAATACAGCAATGGCTCGGAATCCACTGTAGGACCACATTGGTATCTCGTAGTATTAGATCGTAGAGAAGGGATTTACACTCCAAGGTAGCACTCGACAGACATTTATTCACGTCAGTAATAGCGAGGATTGCTGCTTGCGAGTCGACAAAGAGAACAGCGCTCTGAACTTGCCTTCCTAGATAGTGTTCTTAGAGCTATGGGGATCGCTGCTATCTCACCGTCAAATTCGTACCATACCACACTCACCTATCTACAAAGTCATCTCCACAAGATAGGTGTGGCTGAGGATCCTAGGTAAATATTATGTGAACAAGCAGAAATGGATGCAGACCACCTAAACAAATGTCCTGCTTTGACGAATATTAAGAATAGAACATATGTAAATGATTATATAAAACAATTAAACTTATACTTAAACGTTCAAGATGTCGGATGGTCGAATGACCATTGACTATGGCATAGGAAAAAAAAAAGTTTCAAGATTTATACTTACAAGTTAAAAATAAATTAGATGGTTTTACTTGATCATTCAACTGTCAATTTGATGTTAATAAAAATATTTGTATGAAACATTATTATTACTTTTGGTTTATTATTTTCAATAATGAACCATTGTGATTGTTCAAAAATTCAAAAATTTAGTTCCCCTTCAAAATTTGAGGTTTTACGTTTCACGATACGTAGAATTCGAAAATCGAATAAAAAAATTTTGTCCCATGCCGTACGCTGTCCGCGGCTTTTCTCCAAGACTACTCCAAGTCACCCAAGGATGATCTTCCTACATCGACACTACTATCCGCCCTTTCCTTCCAAGATGGCAGCCGAAAAACCTGTGTTGGTATAGGCTGGCACCTAGAATTTACCAATTTCAATGAAACTTGGCTATAGTCATCTCCTCAATGACTTTTAAATTTATTTGTATAAGGTACTTCAACAAAAAGAAGCTAGAAAAAAAGTTAGGAGGGGTGATAAAGTTAGATTTTTGAATAACTCAAGAAGTACACACTTTTTTGGAATTTTTATAATCAGGTATTTTATAGATATTTAAATTTTCTAAAGATCAAAAAAAGTTTCATTGAAATCAGAGCATAGTAAAGATATCGCGTTTTTAAAATATTTTTGGCTTATTATTTTCAATAATGAACCATTCTGATTGTCAAAAAAATTAATTCTTCTCCTCTCAAAATGTGAGATTTTATGTTTCACTTAGAAACATAATACTTTAGAATAAGTAGAAATACTATATTTCTATACTATAATTATTACTTAATTAATAAAATACTTAGAACTTGAAAATCGAATAAAAAATTTATTTTCTCTTTACCATCCCCCGCTTTTCTCTGTGACTACGGACCGATTTTTCTCAAATTTGGAATGAGTCAGAGTTCACCCGAGGATGATCCTCCTACCTTGACACTATTATCCACCCTTTCCTTAAAAGTTTACAATATTTCCAAAAAAAGAATCGTTAAAATCAGACAGTTTGGAGCGAAGTATGATAATCTAAATATGTTTTGTATGTTCTATCGCTTGATTTTTGAAAGTTTTACATCAACTGTAGCAATGTTGTCTATTTTTTAATTATAACAATGAATTATATAGACCAATGTTAGGAATCCCTTTTTTATTTATTTTCTTAATGGTACATGATAAGTAATATTAATTTTGATGTTAAATTGCTTGAAAATAATAAACCATTGTGCAATAATTTGCAGCATTTTCTTAGAACACAGGTTGTCTACTTTCAAAAAGATCTAATTAGGCCTGCACTTATTTGCAATGTTTGCTGAATAATGATAACTTCCTATCATTTTAGCTCCAAGGGCTCTTGTCTGGAAATCTGTTCACAGCTACTTCGTCACTTTTAACCAAACTCTTCTCCTTCACTGTTAAGGATGGACATTAATAGTTAACAGTGTTGTCTATTTTTCTAATGAGTTTCCCCTTGGTATGGAACTGTGAGTTATATTGTCTACTGTCAATTATTTCCATCTACGTACTTCCATAATAATTAATCAAATAAAGTTTTGTTGTGCTCTTTCATACAAACTTATTTTCTTTCTCGCAATATGAATGTATTATTGGCCTTTTAAATTTTAAGATTATTAACAAAAATGTTTCACTTTTAACTATTAATTATAACTATTTATGTATTTTTACTTTTTGTACAATTTTAATGGATATTTTATTTTACAGGTGGTAAAACTCACAAAAAATCAGAAACCTGAACATCATTAAAAAAAATAAATAATGTACTTTCTGTAATAAAATTGAGATTGAGATGTTTGGTGCATTGCGTTAAGTTTTAACTTGTAGTTTTATTTAATATGAAGGTAGGGAAAATGTGATTTTTATATTAGCAAATTAATGTAATTATCATGTTTAAGTAATTTATTGTTGAACTTTATGAATTTCTGTTTTTCAAAATATAATAATTTGAAACATCAGAGATTTTCACTCACCTTAATCCATTTTGATGTCTTTGTTGGGTTATTTATATTCCATTTTATTGCTTTTTTTTTTAAGCATATGTACTCCATTATTTAAATATTTAAGCAGTTGGATAGAAAATTTAAAGATATCAATAACTTAAGCCTCAAACATCATACATAGCACAACTTTATCACTCAAGTTAAGAAGTATTGAGGTTGATCAAATCTTTACATCTATCGAACTCCCATTCAAATATTTTTAAAAATGACCATTTTAGTGACTTCCTAAGATAAACAAAATTCAAAACAATCCTGTTCGAAGTCGAGACGTATATCAGAACCCGGGGACTGTAACCGCAGCTTACATGTTATCACAATACTATTTTCCTGTCTATCTCTTGGGTATTGCCCATCATTAATCAGTTCAATACTGATTGTATTTATTATATTCATTCAGTCAAATTTTGTAAATCACAACGCAATAAAGTTATTATATTTACAGAATATAGTTCATGTTTTGTGTAGCTGTTTTTAGATCTGACAGTTTACCTTCAAAAAAGGTGTATTGATGATTCAGGATTTTAAGAGTATGGCGTAAAGGTCCATAAAATAATTTAAATGTGGTGTTTTATAGACTAGCTTATGTTTTATTATCAAATATCTTGACAAATATTTGTTCAATTAAATAAATGTTTAAAAATATTTATTCCTTCTGTTTAAAAATAAATTTTCTAACAGTTTTTAAATTTTGATCCACATTCTTCAGATTAGGATTAAGTTTAAGTGCCTTCATATATTCATTCTCAGCTTGATGATATTTTTTCCATCTGTGATATAGGACTCCTATTGAAAAAAAAAAAAGAAAAAGATAATTAGAAATTATATTTAATTAAAAATATAATTAATTACTAAATTATTCCAAGTATAAATACATTGAGCGACCCACCCGCTAGATATTATTATGGCCTTATGCAAAATTATTACTGGAACTAATTTTGCATATAGCCTCACATTATAACATGATAATGATAAAAGTGTGGATAAAATATCACAGTAAATAATCTTATATCAAGGGATAGATGAGGATTCTGAAACTGGCAACTAACATGGAGACTTGTTCAACAGACATTGTGTTGTAAAGATTGGTGCGGACCCAATGTGAACATGTGCTTTCCATACCAAGAGAAATGAAGTTCATAGCTTAGTAACAATTATGTTAACAGTGATAACCTTATCTTATGCAGTTTTGGTCATCATGATCATTAAGAAAAGAAGCTTGATAAAAAAAAAAAAAAAATGGTGGGTCAAAGATGTATTGGGTGTATTGAAAAATCATCAGGGAATTATTCCTGATTTAAAATGGAAGATGCCAGTGGATTTAAAACTTCCATAAGAAGGTTATCATCAGTTTTGATTATTTGATCGATTTGGTTGCGATTAATGTATCATGTCAAGCTAACAATATGGAAAGAGAGAATTGCAGTAACTAAAAAATTGATTAATTAATTAATTTAAAAACTTTTTGAGATAGTAGAAATTAAATTTGATCTCAAAATGCATCAATAATAATACCTTGCTAAAATATTTTACAATGGCAAAATATAAGTGTGTGGGTTTGGCTGTTAACATTTATTTCTTTTGAAGTTTACCCTCCTCTGAATTGAACAATTCTTTTTTTCATTAACATTAATATTAAATCAGAAGTTGCTTATGACGATTTCTTAAATTTGATTTTTTATGAACATTGTATAATACTGTTTCCATTGGTGTGGACTTTAGATTATATCCACGCAACGAAACCCTGTAAGAACAAAAACTGCATCATTTTTGTTCCATGAACATTGTATTTTTGGTTCAATTTATTTATTTATTTTTTTTTTTTTGCGGGCCTAAGATAAAGATTTAATGCTCTATATACCTTTTTTTTATCACATTTCTGCCAAATAATCTTTTAGAGCCATTACTTCAAACTTATTATATCTTTGTAGTTCACAAAAGTACCAAAAACAGGTACTAGTTAGTCAAAAGCAATCAAATTTATTGTAGTAACACCTACAACTTTATTGTCTTGGGTTAAATTTTTCCAATTAATGAAATCAAATCTCTGTCTCTCACTATCTGGAATTCGGCGGCATTGTAGCTTTTTTCCAGTCAAGCTCATTTTGCAATTGCCAGAAGGTTTTGGTTGTTTTGAAGGCCATTCAATATTGTATTCCCACTTGACACCCTCTTCTTTGCTTCGTCTAGTTCCACGGTAAGCCATGCCGGCCTCAGGGTAGGAGGATTAGGGGCATTTGCCCAGGGCACCGAGCTGGAAATGCCCACCACTTCAATAGAAATTAAAAAAATTATACAAAGCGTATGAGAAAAATTAATTTTAGCCTATTAATAAAGCTAATTGATACTGTAGTCTATGCGCAAAACCCTTTATACATTCTATATTTACATGATCCCCTTTCATAGAACATTTCATTACGTTTTTTTCAGGTAGGATACAATCTCTATAACCTCCACTATAACTTACAGTTTTTACATCACTATTTGCTGGTTTTTAAGTTACAGGATTTTCAAAAGGCCATAAAGAAGAATTGAAACAGTAGATTTCATTTTGTGTGATTAGAAATTTATGCGCTAGGACAAGGTTGACCAGAAAAGCACAAAATCTCATTTTCCAAAGAAATTGTCCTTACAGACTTTTACAGAGTGACCGTTGATATTTTAATTACACCTAAACAAATTATTCATGATTTTTTTAAGGTATGTCCTAAAACAATGTTTATGCTTAGAATTAAAGTCATTGTAACATTGTCTTTATCATACAAAAAATATTTTACCAAGATTCGTATGGTAGAGAGCTTCATTTTTTTTTAGTTTTATTGCTGTTAAAAAATGTTGTTCTGCATTTTCATAATAACCTTTTTTACCAAGTGTATTGGCTAAATTAAAATGAAGTGCAGAGTCGTTGGGAAGATACATTAAAGCTTCAGTGGCTAAGCTTTGTGCCTTATCAAATTCACCTAAAATAATATTGTTGATGAATTGGAATAAGACGAACAATTTAATTTTAACATTTTAATTTTTTTTCAAATTAGTAAATTGATACCTATGGAATCCAACATGACTATCATATTATTCCAAGCAATGCTATGTGTTGGTTTGAGGCTGGTTGCCTGCTTCCAAGCTATGAAGGCTTCATTATATAGCTTTTGAGAAAGGAACTGAAAAAAAAAAGAATATAAATGTTTTTAATAAATAATATGTATATAAACTACATAAATAGATTTATTTATTTTATTATTGTAGCAATTGACAGGCCAGGCCTAGTAGTGGGCAGAAACAGGTAGAGATGCCTTATTGTCGATTCACTCTATTATAAACACCCAGTTAGGCCAATACTGTATTTTTATAATAGATTGAATCTAAGAATTACTTATCGAACTATAGTTTCCATCCTTACTAACTAATACCTATATAAATGCTGGAACTAAAAAAAAAACTTACGAGATTTCCTAAATTATAATAACAATCGGGGTAATTTTTTCTATATGTCAAGGCATAGTTATAACATTCAAGTGCCTCATCGTACCTATTTGTATTAGCTAAAACAATGCCCAAATTCATCCAAGCTGCTGCAAAATCAGGTCTAAAAAAAAAAGTCCACAGCTGGAATAATTTACATATATAACAATAAACAATAATTAAATACTCTTTCTACATTTTTTTACCTTATCAAAATAGCTTTACGCAACAAACTTTCGGATTCAGTAATATTTCCATTTTCTCTAAGAACATTCGCTAAATTGTTCATGGCTTGCTCATAATCTGGATAAAGCCTAAATCAAGATATGTTTTAAGTTACAATTATGAGCAATATAATAGATCTGTTCTAACATGAGTTTTGTTCTTCATCAATCTGTCAGTATGGTTTTTCAATTCTAAAATCTGTACTCTGTGGGTACCAGGCAGTTTAATGATAATCAAAACTCATATTATAACAGACACTATATTATCCATAGAGAATAATTAAATATTATATAAGACTTTAATGCAATTAAATGTTAAAAACAAACACGATGCAGTAACTAAACACAATTTAACTGCTAAAATCTACACTTTTTGTGTACCAGGCAGTTTAATGATAATCAAAACATATATTAGAACAGACACAATATTATCCATAGAGGAAAATTAAATAAGAGGTAAGACTTTAATACAATTTTTTTTTTTTTTTTAAACTATTTATTCACCCCCATACCAGACTGAAACGACTAGAAACTGCCTGACGTTTTCGACTATTGCAGCACTTACTAGACAAACGCTCTAAGCTTTCAATCAATTACAAACGACTCATATATATGACAATAATAACATCTATTTGGACTTACAGAATTGAGCTTTGGGTCTCCACTAAACCATCGAATTCCTCTCGTATCCAATTCTTACAATCCAAAATCCTTTGTAAAATCCTCAATCCTGCCTACTTTGTCTCAAATAAAATCATCCATAACGACCTTTAATGTTCCATATGTTGCCGATTTGGCCCAATCCAGATACCTATCCTTCCATAATGAACTTCAGAACCATCCGAACCCTCTCGTTTCAAACCTTGCTTCCTCCTCGATCCCTGATAACCCTCCGAGGCATCTGAAAAGAAGATGGCCTCGGGACCTTCTAATATAGAACTTTAATTTGAGTACTACCAATGGGTAGTTTCTCTTCATGTTGTACATGTCATATTACCAATGTCACATTTACTTATTGTATTTTTCATATAATACAGTTGTAAATTTTATTAAAATAAATTAAAAAAAAAAAGAACTATTTATTCAAGATATTTACAACTGTATAATAATATAATTGTACCAAGTAAATGTGTAAACAAGAATATAATCACTTGAAAACGCTTGTTGAGAAACTACCCACAGGTAGCACTCTAATAATATGTCTACATAAGGAGATCACGGGGCCATCTTCTTTTCAGGCGCCTCGGAGGGTTATCAGGAATCGAAGAGGAAGGTTAGAAACGAGAGGATTCGGATGGTTATGACGTTTATTATGGAAGGATAAGTATCTGGATTCCTCGCGCGGGCTCATTACCGCGTATGGGGAGCGTCCCACGGGTGGCTGATGTGGGGATGGTCGGTGGAAATTCCTTGGAAGTTCCTCTCGGCTAAGTCCGATGGACTCGCTGACCAACAATGAGAGGGGCCCTCCAGACTTGCTGGAGGGAGGGGACCTCCAGACTTGCTGGAGGTAGGGGCCCACCAGACTTGCTGGAGGGTGTGACGTAGGATTGAACGCCCTACTCACATATCTTTAGTTCACCAAACACCACAAAAAGTCATGGATCTCCCTAAGGTAAAACGCTCATTATCCGGAGGTAAACTAGTCCCCCGTTCGGGTCTCCGGGTGGGGACTGCTTTAGGGGATTCATGGGCAAGTTGAAATATAGGGATTTAAATATTGGTACGTGGAACGTAAGGAGTTTAAACACAGCAGGGGGGCTAAAATCGGTCGCGAATGAGGTAAATGGGTACAATTTGGATGTCGTGGCTCTGCAAGAGGTTCGCTGGCCAGGGGAGGGCTCGATGAGGGAAGGAAAGTACACTATTTGGTACGGAGGAAGCGGGAATCATTGTTTAGGTACCGGGTTTCTAATTAGGAGTAGATTACTATCCGCTTTGAGGGACGTACAATTCTTTAGTGATAGAATTTCGGTAGCTACATTTCAGGGACGTTGGTTTAAAATCGCATTAATAAACATACATTGTCCGACCGAAGACAGTGACGATGAAGTCAAAAGTGAATTTTACGATAAACTCGAATGGGTTTATGATAAACTACCGCGAAACTACATGAAAATAATTGTAGGTGACGCGAACGCAAAGGTAGGAAGGGAAGAAGTTTATATTCCGACGATTGGTAAAGAAAGTTTGCACGAATATAGTAATGATAATGGGATCCGTCTGATAAACTTTGCCATCTCGAAAAACCTGATAATTAAAAGTACGACGTTTAAACATAAGGATATTCATAAATATACTTGGACATCACCGGATTCGCAAACACGAAATCAAATCGATCATGTCTTGATACAACACAGCTGGCAAAGCAGTATAATTAATGTACGGTCTTATCGCGGAGCAGAATGTGGGTCGGATCATGAATTAGTAATCGCGAAACTTCGACAAAAACTTAATATAAAAAAGAGAAAAGAAAACCGTTTCGATTTTGAGAATTTTAATTTGGAAAAATTAAAAAATCCATCAATTAGAAACCAATTCGAGCTAGATGTTAAGAATAGGTTTGAAGCTTTAGAGCTTCCTGACGAGGACCACGAGGATATTGACAAGTTATGGATAGAGATCAGGGATAATATTAAAGCGGTCGGTAACTCGTGTCTAGGAAAAAAGGAAAATAAGAATAACAAACCGTGGTTTGATGAAGATTGCTTAAACATGTGAAAAAAGAAAAGCCGCTAAATTAAAAGCTCTAAATAATCCTAGCGAAGACAATCTGGAATACTTCCGAATCTCAAAGAACGAAACGACAAAATTGCTCAAAAATAAAAAAAGGGAGTATCTTAAAAATAAAATAATTGAAATAGAAACTAATAGAATCGAAAATAACGTAAGAGACATGTACAAAGGTATAAACAGATCACGTAAATATGTAGGGCCCGTAACGTCTGGAATTAGGGATGATAATAACAATATTCTGACCGATCCGGTTGACATATTGAATAAGTTTAAGGACCACTTTGACAATATTTTAAATACGGGAAATTATGATCTGTGTCCTCCTTCTGAGTACCAGAGTGCTGAACCGTTAATAGAAGGACCAAGTAAAGAGGAAGTTGAAGTAGCTATCGGAAAATTAAAATCATATAAAGCAGCGGGAATCGATAATATTCCTACTGAACTAATTAAGGCATGCGGGGAAGCTGGAGTTTCTAAAATACATCGGTTGGTTAAAAAGATCTGGGTGAACGAGAAATTACCTGAAGAATGGAAAGAATCTATTCTTATTCCGATTCACAAAAAGGGTCCGAGGACGGATTGTAATAACTATCGAGGAATTTCACTCCTTCCGGTATGTTATAAAATATTCACTTTAATCTTAACCAGTCGAATCACGGAATACGCCGAGGAAATTATCGGAGACTACCAATGCGGATTTAGACGGAATCGTTCGACTATTGATCAAATATTTTCTTTACGGCAAATATTAGAGAAAAAATTGGAGTATAACGGTATTGTTCACCAGCTGTATATAGATTTTAAAAAGGCTTACGATTCTATTGACCGCCAGAAACTGTATAATATTCTAATCGAGCAGGGGATTCCAAAAAAACTAGTAAATCTAGTCAGGATGTGCTTGACGGAGACACTCAATAAAGTTAGAATCGGTAATAATTTGTCCGAAAAATTTGAGGTTCGTTCGGGCTTAAAACAGGGGGATTCTCTTTCGCCTGTCCTGTTCAATTTGGCATTAGAACATGCCATTAGGGAGGTAATGCGAACCGAGAAAGGGTTGGATCTGGGCGGGACAACATCCGTGCTGGGCTATGCTGATGATCTGGTACTGTTAAGCGAAGACGTTGAAACTATAAAACTAAATACGACAACGTTAATGAAAGCCGGTAAAGAACTAGGACTCGAAATAAACGTGGATAAAACAAAATATATGGTTAGCTGCAAAAATGGCGATACTACTGGTGATATCGATATAGATGGTAATATGTTTGAACAGGTAGATAAATTTAGGTATCTAGGTTCTACGATAACTAGAAAAAACGAAATTGAAGAAGAGATTAAGGTTAGACTGAAGGCGGGGAATGCTTGTTATTTTTCTGTGACAAAACTACTTAGTTCGCGCCTCTTGTCCCGAAACTTAAAAATTAGAATCTATAAAACAATTATCTTGCCTACAGTTCTTTATGGATGCGAAACTTGGCCGCTTACATTAAGGGATGAGCAGCGTCTTAAGGTTTTTGAAAATAAAGTATTGCGTAGAATATTCGGACCGAAGAAGGATGAGTTAACCGGAGAGTTCAGACGGTTACACAACGCCGAATTGCGTGAGCTGTATCCGGGTAATATAATTGAGGTAATTTCATCGCGGCGAATCAAATGGGCTTGTAAAGTTGTTGGGCTTAGTAACGAGAGAATTCCTAAAAGGTTAATATTTGCTGTGCCGAATGGTAAGCGTCCGAGGGGTAGACCGAAGCGAAGGTGGGAAGATTGCATTAAAGCCGATCTGAAGGGACTGGGTTTGGACGGCGAACGGTGGAGGGAGGTGTGTAACAAGCGATTGGTGGTGTCGGCATCGAACCTTCGGGTTCGCTAAGCCTTATTATTATTATTAAGTATCTGGATTGGGCCAAATCGGAAGCGGAAACGTCGAGCAGTTTCTTGTCGTTTCAGTATTATATGAGGATTCCAAGTGAGACGTTAGTCCAGGTAGAGTCCAAGATATCGCATTTGTTCAACAGGAATAAGTGGGGTGTTATTAAAGGATACTGTAGGACAGGAAGTCATAGGTTTACAATTAATACAATTAAATATTAAAAACAAACATGATGCAGTAACTAAATACAATTTAACTGCTACAAGTAGAGATGGATAATTTGCTCAAAAACTGATTCAGAGATATATCTTTGCAGAAAAAGTGAAATTGCCCATGGAAATGAGCTTTTAGTTCCAAAAAGCCGAATAAAAAAGGCCAACAGGGTTTTTGTTCAGCTATACCCAGTATGGAAGAACAGAAATCTATCTAAAAATATGGCTTTTCAACACCAACGTTCAATCAATTTTGTTTTAAGGCAGCGAAACATAGAAAGTGAAATAAAAGCATCACCCGCCTGCTACAGACATTTGTTAACAGATGGCCAGAATGCATATTATATGAAGGACTATGGAAAGACACCAACTAGTTACCAATTCATTGAGAGATAAAGAAGCAAAAATGGAAATGGGTAGGTCACACTCTAAAGAAAAAAGATGAGGCAGTCAAAAAAACAACACTACAATGGAACCCTCAGAGAAACAAAAAGAAAGGCAGACCGAGAGAGAAAATTGGAGTGGGTTGGAAAATCGTGGAATGAGGCAACAAGGATTGCTGCTGTTAGAGTCAAATGGAAAGCACTGCTGGATGTCCTATGCTCCAGTAGCGGTCAAAGGAGCTATTATAAATATTTGATTCCTTGAATCATTGATTAATTTTTTTTTTTTAATTCCCAAATTTCATTTTATATTCATAAAGGAAATCATCTGCTCACATAAAAAAAAGAGTACTTTTTTTAAAAAGTATATTGTGGATACAAAATTAAACTAAATTACTTACAAAATTGCTCTTCGGTAATGTTTTATGGCAATAGATGGGTTGCTGGAATGCTTTGCAAAATTATAATGAACCTTTGCATTCAAAGGACAAACTTTTAGACCAGATGTGAACAGATCTTTTTCATTTCTCCATTCAGCAGCTCTTTGATGACATCGGAAGGTATTAGTAATGAGTAAAAACATTAAAAACGCATTGATTAACTGCAAAGATATTTACAGAATTAACAGTTAAGTAAATAACATATTACTTAGCAAAAAAATATTTTAAAAAGTTAAATGAATGTACATAGGTGTTTTTGAAGTATGTCTTCAATTGCTGAATTCCTAATGCAATAAGCATGCAATAACCAATAGATGGTAAATAAAGTATTCTTTCAGCAATAACAAACCCAACTCTGAATAGGACATTAGAAGCTATTGAAAAAGGTATGACTATACAGGAAAGTGCCAACAGAACTTCTCTGAAAAATAGAAATGAAGATTTATATTAAAAAAAAAAAAATTTAATTGAATAATCTATATAGGATGGAATCAAAGAATTCTTGCTTTATATGGTTATTAATATTAAATTAAAAATTTAAAGGATTAAAATGATGTACACCACCTTTTTTCAGCTGTAAATGGAAAGGTCAAATTAGTTGCAACCAAAGATATGAATACAGTCCAAAAAGCAGTAATAGCGAGCAAGCGTGTATCATTGAATCCTGCACTAATAGTAATTAAAGGAATACACCCCATGGACCAGTCAAAACACAACCACTCAGGGCATAACAGAAGCCAAGCATTTAATGAATAGAGGTAATTGTAGTTGAGAATCTGCAACATCAAATGTAATTATAATGTTTGAGGTAATTATATAAGTCAATAAATAAATCGTAATTCATAAATTTATGAGAATTAACCATTCTCATTTATTTCCAGATGTAATTTACTTTATGACTATAAATATAGCTTAAAATAAAAGAGAACAGTCAATGCATGATTGGAATACACTATAAATTGTATAAATACCTATCAAGAAATTTTAATTTAATTTTTGTTTATACACCATATTTTAATATCAACTTGATGGTAATTTTTAGTAAAATAGTTAACAATCATAATTTATATTATTTTGATTATATAAACATTTTTTTTCTTTCACTATCTCCGTAGTGCTGCTGAGCAAGGAGAGTAGCCTATTTCATCTCTCACAGGTATCCTATATTTGCGAGCCATTCTTCAGGGTTGATGGGTAACTACGTTCCCTTCCAGAGTCTGTCTAATCATTAAATCTACTCTTGGTCTACCAACAGGAAACTTCCCTACCCGCCTTGCTTTTACCAGCCATTGGGCCTTTCTATGATTTCCCATCGAACATGGTAAAACCATTTCAGCTGGCACTTCTTGGAGACTTTAATAACAGATCTCTCATTGTGGCACTGATGTAGTTATTTTTTACAGTCTGTTTTTACCCAGTATTTTTGTTATGTATCTAAATTGTGATGAGGTAACTTAGCTAATATGTTTTTTAAGAATTCTCCAACTTTCTGACCTATAAAGAGTTACAGAAAAGACTATATTCTTAGTAGAAAAGTCTTTACTTCAAAAGGCGCAGTTTTGCCTATTTTTTTATTACTCATTTGCCTATCAGCGCTGAATATATATGAAACAATTTACCCATTTGCCTTTCTGATTCTATTCAATATCTCTCGATCTATTTGTCAATCTCTACTTATGACAGTGCCAACACAATCAAAATTATCCACCAATTCAAGGCAGTAAATTGTAAGCTGTTTTTCCTTCTAATGTGCATGATTTTGCTCAAATTTTAATCCTTTCCTTTTAAATTATTCAGAACATTCATCGACAGCTATTGGTTGATGTTCAGGCCTATCTACAATAACCACTATGCTATCTATATAAACGAAACTTTGGACCAGCATCAAAAGAGGGTTCCAATATTACAATAGTTCTTCTTTTCCCTATCATCTATATTTGGTCAATCAATAATAAAAAGAAGGGGAGACTTCCACCCAGCTTCATTCCCTTCTTAGAATCTAAAGGGTATATATAGATTTTGTACCGTTGAGGTGAACTATTATCTTTTGGATCCCGATATATTGACTTCACAATGTTTATCCAATTTAGTGATATACTCTTCCAAGGCATTTTAGGTTTCCTAGAGTAGAGCAAGAAAAAATTTCCTGTTAGGTCAAGAAAAGCAAGGTACACTCTGTCCTCGATCCCATGAATTCCCTTTTGGGAGAACAAATAATCTTGAGTTTTTCTGTCAAGCCAAAAAGTAGACTGTTTATCTTCTATATCATTTTCATAAATGTTATTTTACATATACACTATTTGAGTGTGTAGCTAGTACACAACCAAGGATAGGCAAATAAGGCTATAGTTTTCACAGATGGTCTCACCCTTTCTTAAGAATTGGGATAAATATATTTTTCCCACTCCTCTGGTATTCTCTTTCCATATTAAATTTTTTATAATAGAGTAAGGGTATGTTTTTCAATTCTTCCCCTTCAAATTTAATAAGCTCAGAGATAATACCGTCAGGGCTACCCGTCTTTCAGAATTTTATGCCATCCTTGCTTCATTTTCGGTGATGCAGTTGTCCATATTCTTTAATTGATATACTGCATTCCTTATCGACCTTATATTAAATTTTTAAGAAATGCGAATTTCTCTTGATAGTGTTATCCTCACTTCAAACTTCCAGGATCTTCTTTCCATGAGTGGTAATTCTCTTTGCTGTATTCTTTATAATTCTAACCTGTTTCCCTCTGAGGCTTTTCACTGTGTTCTACAAATGGCTTACATTCTTTTAGAAGTTCACCTGTCCAAACTTTCACTAGGATCTATTTATATATACATAAGCATACAAAGGTTAATTAGTTATAGGATTTGTATACCCACAAATTTGGTATTTACAGTATATAATATACACAATTACGTGTATACATAATATTGTGAATAAATTTTGATGATTCGAACAAAGTAAGTAACTAACTCTTAAACATATAGATATACAGGGTGTTTCGTAATTGCACGGCACTATTTTAGGTATGTGCTCACTGAAACAAAAAAGTTCATATTAACATATATCTCAAACTCATTTATTAAACAGATATCAAAGGTTGAAGATTTATTATTTATTTACTACATTAAGACTGATTGCACAAAGTTTAACTAAATAACAAGTTTTAATCACCTGATAAACAAATGAGCGATAAGCAATGATAGTAGTTGCTCATCTGTTTGTCTAGTTCTGTTGTTTTAGTGTGAGTGAATACTGTGACACAGTTCAATTTATGATTATCATTGAAGACACCATAAATTTATACAATTTTGCAGAACAGACAAGCTTTTAACTTATGGCGAAGTACATAGAAACGGTGCTGCTGCTGTTCAAAGATGTTTCCTCTACCAACGTATGGCAAACTTTATGTGAACAACAATTGTATCCATCTCCCGTATCGAGTAGGCAAGATTTGTTACCTCAAGATTATAACAAGTGCAGAAATTTCTCCCAGTGGTTAATTCAACAATGCACACGAGATCCTAACTTCCTGAATTGCATCTTGGTTACTGATTCTTAATTTTCAAAATACCCATACTTGGGCAGAAGAAAACCCTCATACGACTCCTGTTGGACATTACCAACATACCTTTTCTTTAAATGTCTGGTGTGGTCTTCTAAGTGACATCATCGGCCCTTTCTTTCTGCCACGTAGGCTGTCAGGTATATCTTACTTGCAAAATAATCTTCATGAACTTCATTCAACAAAACAGAGGCCCCTTTGAACAGTTATTCTAAATATTGTAATAATAATAAATAAATAGTAATAATAAATAACAAATATTTAGCTTTGATATCTGTTTAATAACTGAGTTTGAGATATATGTTAATATGAACTTTTTTGTTTATTTTGTGTTGGTGAACACATTCCTACAATAGTGCCGTTCAAAAAAAAGGTTATGATTAACAACAAAATGATGTACATTGAACAATCACAGTGATTATGAAAAACTTTGATTGTGTGAAAAATAATCATTAAATTGGAAAACTACTAGAATATTTTTAAAAATTACCCTTTCAATGAAACTCTCAGCAAATGAATGAGGATTATCAATTTCCCGAAAAACAGGCTGAGTAAAATTCATTATCCAACATCTAAAGTAAAGTAATAGACTTCCAGCAAGTAACAGCATAATATGCCTTACAAGAACTAGTTGATGTTTTTTAGCAAACATTGTAAGGGACATTGTTCTATTGTATGATGAGATCTTCGAAGAATAAAGATTGGACTGAATCATGTTCAAATTTGATAGAAAGTCAAACGGATGGGTTCTGGTAACTATCAACAAGTCATAAACACAGCACACACCCTGAAATTATTTATGATTATGAAATTATCAAAAGAGACTTTAATAAAACAATAATGTTAAAATTAAAAACAGTTTAAAAAATGAAAGTATTTTTATATAATTATATTTCATCATACAATTATTGTAATTCCTTGTTCTTTACATAACATTCCAACACCTGCCAAAGCACCAGAAAAAGTCATTATGGCTATTGTTTTTATAGGACCATCACTTTTTAATGAGTTACAGTAAACCAGAAAGGACAGGAAAGAGAATATTGTACATAATAAATCAGCACGTCCAACAACTCCAGCGACCTAGAATCAAATCAAAATTTGTTAAAAAATATACGCTACTTAAATAAAACAAGCTTCAAGAAATTTTATTTATAAATAAAAAGCATGATTTAAGGTGTAGAAGAGCTTCTAAATCCTTATAATATTACTTAAGTAACAAAATCAATTAAAATCATCAAAAGAAATTTATACTTGAATTATTAATTAATATTTATTTTTGTCGTATAATACCAAAAGATAATTATTAAGTAAAAGGAAACAGATTAAATGATTTGTCACAAAAAGTCTAACATTGTTCCACTCAATTATCATAACTTTACAAGAATTTAAAAAAATAAATACTTCTTTTCATTGCTAATGACCTGAGAGCTTATAGCATAGGCAGGGAACCTTTTTATTATTAGAGGCCATATTAAGGTTAGGCAGTTATAATGGAGTCTGCAATAATTTTTTATATTTTACTGTTGCTATTTTTATTTATGAGTCAATACACATCCATATATATACATTCAACTTAATTCTATTAATTTCACGATAACTAACAGAGGCTTCAGGTTCGCCAACTGTGTTTATACCATGTTTGAACTACAAAACTTGAGCGGGGTAGCGCAGTGGGTGAGCACTGACTTCCAGAGCTCAAGGTCTGGGTTCGAATACAGCTGATGACTAGTCATTTTTCATCAGCCCTGGATTGACCCTGGGGCCAGGAGAGTCTCCTGGGGCACACCCATCCTCTTTAAAGTGGGCACTCTTAATTAATTAAGTGGGAAAACCTGGCGGTTGAGCATGATCTCATCCCAATCAACTCCTTGCACAACCGTTGGCTTTGTAACAGTACTTCCTCACATTGTACAAAACTCAAGAGGCTTCATGGGTGGTACAATCAACTAGCTACTTACTATTCAAAAATAGGTGAAGAAACTAATAGAGTTAACCATCTAACTCATATTCATCAAAAATATAGTTAGATTAAAAAAAAAAATGAGTTCACTATAATTTTTATAATACTGTTATGTTTCGAGCACGTAGAAATGCCTTAACACTAAAAATTTCCAGTGTTGGCTACTAAGTAGTGGATGGTTATTAAAATATTGGAGGTTCGTTAGGATTAGGTGAAAACTTAACAATTATTCCTTTGTTTAGCAGTAGCTTATTTGAGTGGCTAAGTCCTAAAGATGGTTATAATGAAAGAAACAACAACACGGTATTTATATAGTATCATTTGTTTATATTTTTCTTGATTCATCCATGAAAAATTATTATCTGAACTTAACTTAACATTGTAGTTTTACTTCAATAGATCAAATTGAAATACTCAAATCATACTTATTTAGCTGAATATTTCAAAAAATTTACTTTTTATACTATACATATTGAGAATCAAAATCAAGCAATCAATAAATTCTAAAAAAATTATGAAAAAAATAGTTTTCATAATGTATAGAATAACAAATAAATGTTAAGAGTCAGAAGTCACAATACAACCTACAGTTTCAGTATGAATGGGATGTACAGCAAATAACAATGTTGCAACAAAAGCTTTTGATAACCATAAGTTTTCAATGTTAAAAAGCTTTCCAAAAACTGGATACGATAATGAAGTTGCCACACCATGTAATAACAAATTTAAAAGATGAAAATGAAATGGATCCAGTTTTCCTTTATTCCACCAAACATGAAATCTGTAAAATGTGAATGATTAAAAGATATTTATTTACATCAAATAATTGCTATCCACAAAAACATTAAGTCACCTAAATGATAATACTGTCAGCGGACGATAGGATTTGTGGCTGGCATTATGAGTTACATATGTGCCCCAGAAATCATGACGGAACAACTCTTCAAGAGGAGTATCGAGATTTAAATCTTTATTGTTAATAATGGCTTCTGTGTCATCAAAAACGAATTCACCATCAATGGAAGAATAGAAGGATAGGAAGCCCAATATACCAAGCACCAATGCAACAAATGCATCTAGGAGAGAAAAGAGGCATTAAGAAGAAGCCTGTAAGAAATCACCAACTCTAATAATAGATACTTCATTAGCTGATAAACAGTTACCAGAGTTAATGAGAGACATTCTGTCATGAAATGCCCAATTTTGTGGGGCATGTCAGACAAAAATCATTAACAAAAAATAATTGTGTAATTTAAATATTTAACAAAAAGTTGAACTTGGATATATGGTCAATCTTTTCAAATGGTAGTCCATCCCGGGCACAATACTATTAAATATTCAATAGTAAATACATTTATTTTTATAAACAAACACCTTCCTCCGCAGGTACTGTCATTTCAACGGAAGGTACGAAAACAATACCAAAGAAGTACGATTTCACAGATAAAATATTGAACATTGAATAAACGCCCAATTAAAGTACTCATGACAATTAGGGATTTTTTTCCCCTTTCTGATCTTTCCGGTTATACGGGATTTTTCGTGGGCCAGTGGATAGACGATTAGGAACGTCACTCTGGCTCTATTATTCTTTTATTGTCCCAGTTGTTCTTGTTATCTCGTTCCGTATACCGCTCCCATTCGTTCCCTATATGGATCTTATTCGTTCTCCTTTCCTTGTTCATTTCATCGGTCTCACTCCGTCTAGTTCCCTCATTAATTATACTATTGCTTCTTAGGCACCACTAACGGACTTAATTTTTGGGGGGAGAGGCTTCAGCCCAAAAAATTTTTTTTGGACGTATATATTACGAAAATTACTTTGGAAGAAAGAAAGAAATTAAGTCCTATTAAATGTAATAAGATGAACGATAATGCTTATATAGATAATTTTTTCCATAAAACACGGTAATATTTTTCCATTTTAGGGGAGGGGAGGAGGGGCTTCAGCCTGAAAGATCCCTTCCCCGGTAGATCCGCTTGTATTAGATACTTAATTATTTGTATTTGCGAAAGCAATTTGAAGGTTTCTCTCTTCATTTGTGCTTTCTAAGAACCGACAAAAGTGATCTTTAAACAAAATTTTATCTCTGTGAATCTCTCAATACGAAAAGCACACTGAAATTTTTTTTTTAATGTGTGTGTGTATTTGGAATTTTGCTCCAATTCCAACAAATTTCGACAAAAAATAAATAAATAAATACACAGTTGTGTACAATGTACAAACTTTTTTGTATTTATTTGCTATAAAACCTATCCTTATTCAATCTGGTGTATGTAAGATTTTCAATATTTAACTGATATAAGATTTCATGCAGATTCATGTAATTGTATTTAATAAAATTTCTGAATTCAGTGAGTATTTTTATCCAAATCTTGCGAAGGTTATATATTAAAATTTATTAAATACTTCATTAGTACTAATTATTGGATAAGGCGGTAGCCCCATGTCTAGGGCGTAAGGTTCGTTTCATGTTATGACATTTATAATTTTATATTAGTCTTAAATCAATTCTGGGGTTAGGAGAACTTTCTGGAGCACAGCCAGTCTCTATAAAAATAGTAACCTATTTTAATTTTTTGCGATTACAAATAGAATAGCTATAGTGTAATACATATATTATGACATAGACAATGGCCTATTCAGTGGGAGAATTTTAGACATTAGTGAGCAGGAGCTCTGATATTGTCCCATTCTCATGAGATAACTGGAGTTGAAAGTTTTGTGAAGTTGTAATAACTTCAAATAATAATAAGTAATGCTAATCTGTATAATACAATTTCATCCACTGTCAGAGTCTTACAAAATGTGTTGTATGTTGTCAGGGGTGCACAGAAGGGGGTTTGATAGCGCAAGTTGAGCCGTCAAAATTTTTGAGGGGAACACATTTCGGCGCGGTTGTGAGTTTTCAGGATGAAAAGTTCCATACTAAGGGACAGATGGAAAATATGGAACATACCGCAGCAAGTGTAATTGTATATGTTCTACGATTTTTCTAATTCTACCTTCGCTTGCTCTGTTTTTAAGAAAAAGTGAGCAATACAATATCTTGGGAGGAGGGGAATAGGTCTTGCGCCATGGACCTAGGGGAGGATGGGCACCCCTAGTAGGACTACTACTTAAAACATGCAATCTTGGTTATTCTATTTGCGGAAATTTATTTATTGGCTGGATGAAAGAATTTGTGAAAGGTTGGGACTTTCTAGTACATATTAAATTCCTGTACTAAGAACTCAGTCAACCCATGGTATCACGGCCTGGAGTTCAATGTAAAAATATTAGAATTTTCTAATTAATGGTTTATGGTTACTGAAAATTTAAATTTTACAGCAGCTATATAAACATTAGCTATATCGTATTATATATGAATTATTATGATATATTTTCTCATATACAGACATATTAGATGAGATGACCCTCGGACTATGATGGTTGAGATCCTGAATCTAATTTTTTTTTTAATGACTTATAAAAAACAATTGCATTGTGCGCTATTATAATTAAATTATGTTTATTGAGTTTGCCTACATTTCGACCCAAATATATGGCACATCCTGACCATTTTTCATCCTTACAAATTCACCAATCAACTATATATCATCTCTAAATAATTAAATTTGGTTTAGAAAAATAATTTGAACTAAGATAAAAATAAAAAGGTTGGTTTTATGTTGGGTGGATTGGATATCTTAATTTAAGATTCTGGATTAAAGCAGTTTTCAAATAACTAATTCCTGACACGTGAAACATTAGTTCAACTAATATGAGAATTCACTCCCGCTCTTTTATTTAAAACGTCTTTGTTCACAAGTTCACTAAATAAGTATCATCTATTTAGTTAGCTGTGACATTTCTGTTTTGACACGTAATGATAAGTTCAGTTTGAATGTGGTCACTTGTTGGATTATCTTTATTAAGTTCTAGGTAACATGACATTTTAAAAAGAACAAGTTGGCCTCTCCTATTTTCTATGTAATGATTACAGGTTTAATTCATATGATCTCTTCTGTGTGTTATTTGTGAGGTATATCTGATAATTGTTAATATTTCTAAAGTTTTGACGAAATCATTAATAAATTCCCGATGGAAGCACTATACCGGCAAACTAGTGCATTAGTTCATGAAACAGAAGAATGCTTTCAAAATCTGGAAAAACAGAAAGGTACAAACACAGATTCTATTGAAGCAGAAATTCAGGCCAGAATAGATACCATAATTAGGTAAAATCAATTTTATGAATGATAAGAAGTTTTCAATAATGATATTTGATAACATATAATATTCTTTCATATTATCTATATCCATAGCCAAACTGCTAAAACCTTCAAGAACAGATTTATTGGAAAGTACAATTTTGAGGGTTTCTGGTCAATCTTTGTCTTCCACATGCTAAGAATTTTAAAATATTTGTAACAGGACACTCTAGTTTTAAGCATTCTATAAAAATTGAACAGAAAATCTTAATCATAAAATGAAAAATATGTGTACTTTTCCACCTTCTGAACACTTGTAGGATTTTGTACTATGGCTGTTGGTATCTTTCTCTTTGATATTACCAAATTTTGAGTGTTATTTTGTTGATATGTTTTTAGTAGGCTTCATTTAAGTCTATGTTTTGTTTTTGTTATAATTTTACTGTTAATCTATTCTCATCATCCTGTATTGAAATTGTTTCTACTGTTATATTTTTAAAGGGTAGGCCCTGTAGCATTACAAGTATCTACGTTTTATGCTGTATTTGTTTGTATAATGATAAATTAGAAAACTAATGGAATATAAATCAGGTAAAACTGTGATGTTATATTATTGGTACAGATCTATAAAAATGAAGATACTAGTGTCGTAATAATTGCTCATATAGCTTAGAGCATATAGGTTAAGCTAAAATCAAACTAAAAAATTAGCAGAGGGTATTAGTGTACATATATAGACCTAATAGGATAACCAATTTATACACACCCACCATTTAGAAGTTGCATTACCTATGGTAGTAGTATCAATCTATATTTTTACATTGTAAAGTTATAATTAATTAGTGTCTACTAATTAACTCCACAGATGAGGAGCGAAATGGCTATCAGTAACAAGTGAAACTGTGGAGTGAGAATCTGGTAAATCTTAAGGAAAATGATCAATAATATTAACATGTAAGCATAAGGAATGTAAGAAGTTAATGTCGAAACCTGTGTTAGTAAGCCCAGAAAGAGATATACAATGACTTAATGAATAAATATAATGATCAGTGTAATATTTGAACCACTCATTTCTGTGCTCATACAGCATGCTGAAAATGGGTGTATATTATTAGATATTGGGGTATACTTGTTATGTTATTATTGAATGAAACTGGTTATCAATTGTTCATTACTGGGCAAATGTATTTTGCCTGCTTACAATAGAGTTGAAGGATTTAAGTACTTTTCTTTTGTTTAAAATTGAATAGAATGATCGCTTACTTATTTGATCAGGTGTTCTTGTCACACTACAAAATTGCAGCAGATATAATTATTAATGGCATGCTTAGGGTATTTGTTGATGTTGATCTGGCTCTAAATCCACAAAAAAAGTATGGTGCACGCATGACACAACTTTCACTTACCGTCCTCTTAACAGAAATAAGTATTTTCAGGCACAGGGGAAGTGAAAGTAAAAATTAAAGAAGCTATATTTATTTCAATTTCATTGAGGTATTTTTTTAATTATCCTTATATATACAAATTTTAATTTTCATATCGGTGTAATCTATACAATTAAATATTAAATAATACCAGTGATAGCATTTATAGAAACCACATGTGTACATAATATTGTCGGGGTCTGTATGATATTAAGCTCATGTTAAGAATGGAAGCCTCATCTTTAGGGCAAGCTCCATTTCCACTATTATCCATTGTGATCTCTTATTTCTCCTTTAGTTAATTATCAAATTCTTTCATATTGTATATTTATCTATTTTTTATATCAAAGATTAATGAAAAATGATTACTTATTTCAAATAAATAAAATTAAAGGTACTTTAGAGGGAGCTAATATTGAAAATTAGCCATTTAAGCCCTGTTAGAGAACATTAATGAGAATAAAACCTACATTATATTAAAAACTGATGTACTAAGTTTAACCAAAATCGTTAAAGCCGTTTTTGAGAAAATCGTTAAAATATGTTAAATCGATTATATAAAAGGCCACTTCTGGTAAGTCGAATTTGACGAAAAAGTGACTGTAACATCCAAGGTATATATAAACCTTAAATATGCAATTTCACTTTCATAAGACTTTTTGTTTTTGAGCTAGACTGACCACATACATGCACACACACACACACCATTTTGCGGGACTTGTTTATTTGGACTCAGGACACCTCAAAACATGTATTTCCATTGAAAATTCAGATTCGAAAATTTTCACGATCGCAATACTTTCTATATTGCATACATAGGTAAGTGAAAGTAACAAATGTAGGTATCATAATGGGTAAAAGAGAGTTGCAGTTGATGACAGTTGGCTTGAAAATGAAGGGAGATATGATCCAATCTGTTCAGATAGAAGATGTACTAATCCGTTTTCAATTTATGGCTCCTTTCCAGCATTGGTCCATTTGTAATATACAAATTACCCTGTCCCAATCACTGGATAACGTTGATGTCACAGCAGAAGTAGCAAACTGTACTAAGATGCTGTTGATCAAGACAAATGAAGTGTGAGAGCTCTACTGTTATTATGTGAAAATTCTGTTGGAGAATGAACCGATCTTAGATTGCAAGGCATAGATTAAATGTTTGTTAAAGTGAAGAATGCCATTAATGAGAGTAATAGTATGATTAAAATAACTTAAGGAGAGGAAAACAGATATACTATAAATTGGTAATGTTAATAATTCTATATTTTGATCAGTAGATAAACTTAAAATATATCTAAACAATATCTAATATAGAAATTTGTAGAAGGTAAAAGAAAGTGGAAAAAAAAGTTATAAATAACAATATTTGAAAACTAATAATATTTTACGTAAATCACATGTTTTCAAGGAAATTAAATGAAATTTACTAACTAAATGTAAACTTATAAAGTATTTTTAAGTTTGAAAAAAGTATTTAAAATCCATCTAATCAAGGCAATGACTTCATTGTACAAGAAGTAAAATATAAAATCATTTCATGGATGTATAAAGCATATGTTTATAACCTTAAATACATTTACTGTAGTTTAATAATTCTAGATCTGATATTATATTTAAATAATGAGGTATCAATGTCCGTTTATTCCAAAATATTGTCATGTAACGTTTTAGAAAATTAAATTAGTGAATAATTTGATTAATCTTCTCTTTGTAATATTCCAATAGTATCCACTACTATTTCATCGTAGTTGTGTGAAAGAAGAAGTGAAATATAAAAATATTTCATAGATACGTTTATAACCTTAAATATATTTACTGTAGTTTAATAACTCTAGATCTGATATTATATTTAGATATTTAGGTATCTATCGTCCTTTTTATTCCAAAAAATCATGCAACCTTTTAGAAAATTAAATTACTGAATAGTTTGATGAAATTTCCTTTTGTGATGTTCCTACAGTATCCATTTACAATTAGTGTGACAACTTTTGACCTGTCTATGACAGACAATGCAAATCTCTTAATTCTGTTTTAGTAAACTTTGCTATGGAAAATAACAGTTTAATAACTAATAGTCGTACAATCCATAATCAACGGATCATACAATCCATAATCAACTAGGGATATAATAAATAGGATTTTTGTTATTTTAATGGTGTTTATGATTTGTTAGCTGTAATTTTTTAGCTTTAGCTTGGTTAAAAATGCAATTCAAAAATTTTATGAAAGCTCAACATGGCCAGAAAACAATTTCTATTCAAAGTTGAGCGGTAAGTGAAAATTGTGTGTTGCACGCACCAGATTTTTATTATATAAGTCTGTATTATCAGGATTGATAAGTATGCTGTACGATATAGTAACCCAATGTATTTGGACAGCATTGCTTATAAATTAAGCAATTCTTTCTCAATTAAGAAAGATAAATTATTTTGTTTAGTTTTTGTTAATATTGGTATTTTATCCTTTTTAGTAACTGTGAAAAGTTAGATATCTTGGTACATAAGGAGCCCTTCAGTAGAAGGCAAAATGCTAAGCTTAGCATTGACCAACTGAAATATGATACCAGGCATTTACAGGTAAAATAATGGTTTTCCGTTTCAAAATATTTTATTGTTTTGTTTATACCATTGCTATGTATATTTAAAAATAACATTTATATTTGATTCAGATTATTTTCTAGCTAATAGTTGCAATTCCTTTTTATAATAATAATAATATATATATATATATAAATATATATATATGTGAGAACTTTTAGTGCCAATTATTTTAAGAAACACTACTGTGCAATAATTTCTCTTATTAGATCACATTTGTGATTCTTATGTTGATGATTTGTTTCCTTAATTCTTGATCCAGTACCTTCTCTATGATTCAGGGCATAATAGAGTATATAGTTACTGGTCTAAAAGTAGATATAACACAAATTTTCTTGAACTTATTCAAAAAACAATAGTTATCATAGTTAGCTCCTCAATTAAATTTGTTTTGTTTAAATTATTGTTGAAATTAAACTTTCATATGTATATTTTGATAATTGATGTTTCTGATTAGGAACCGTGAAGAAACAAGTTTAATTCCCATGACCACAAGGAATAATTTCATATTAAGTTAAATCTGAAACGGAATTCCAATACATTTTACAAAACATATACAACAAACATGATTTTACACTATTTTCTTGTTATTTATTATCCTGTTTCCACTTAGCACTGATGAAGTTCTCAAACTTAGACTGAAATGTTTGTAGTTTCTTATTTTTGTGTTATTCCATCAATTTCTGTAAGAGTCAGCTATATTGAATTGCGAATGAGATAAGTTCAAGGCTCATGATATGAGAATTTTTATTTTATTTTTCTAAAAGTATCCACTGAATAGTATTATATCTTTCTTCATTAAAATTTACTCAAAGTTTTTTCTTAAGGCTGCTCTTCGTATGTTTCAACATGAAGTTTATAAGAGAAGACAAGAAGAAAAGGAAAGAGAAGAATTACTAACTCGAAGGTTTACCACAAATGCTATATCTGAACGTGATACAGCCATTTTGATAGATCATTCTTTGCAGCATAATTTATCTCTTCAGGTATTTTTTTGTCCTTTTTAATATTATTTTAATGAAACCCATAATTCTGATTAATAATTTTACCTTAATTATTTAACTAAAATGTTAATCACATTTTTATAATTCTTTCTAGAGTTTGCTTAGTGATCAAAGTATCATTTGTTTGATTTTATATATTTTAAGATAGAAATCCCTTTACATCCTAATTACAGACAAGAAATATTAAAATTTCATCCACTTTATGTGCTCTTATGGACCTGAATTTCCTCAAATTAATTTTTATCCATGTATAAATAAAGAGCTACATGGAAAATATTACCATAGTTTATCGGCAGCAAGGGTAGATAAGGATGCATCTTTGTCATGGCTACGTAGAAGTATATTGTTCCCTGAAACGGAAGGATTTGTTATAGCCATACCAGGTCATCGCTACAAAGACCTATAGGTGCCGTATTTTTGGAGAATCTGTAGCTGAATTGTGCCAAATGTGTAAAACAGCAACAGAATCAATTCAGTATATCATGTCAGGATGTCAAGTGCTTGCTGGAAACGGATATCTACTAAGACACAACAACATGGCTAAGATCGTGCATCAGGAAGTAGCCAAGAAATTTGGAATTTTAGATGAAACTTGCTCTTATTACAAGTATTGACCACAATCGGTCATTGATAGACCGGTCAAGCTATACTAGGATCAAGCCATTATAACAGACCACACAACAAGACTGATATTTTGTTTGTTTTGAAGGATGAAAGCCATGCAAAGATTGTCGAAATAGGGGTGCTATCATCGGATGATAATCTTCACAAAGTGGTTCCATAAAAAAATCGCAAATATTAAGACCTTGGTGAGGAGCTTATACAATTGTATAAACTTGATAAAGTGAGGGTTTTCCCGTTGTTCATCTCTGCAAATAGTTTGATTCTAGACGCAACAGTAAACTCCATGAAGGAATTGTTCCTTTCAATATATTGTTTGGATATAATGCAGAAAGCCGTGTCACTCGAAACTGCGAGTATCGTTAGAAAATTTATGAATGTAATGTGCTGTAACCAGCAAATGCAGTGTGCACAAGGAATTTCCCTAAATAATAATGGTAAAAAGAAGCTTCAATTTGAATATTAAATTATTCAGATAATAATAAGTCACAAAAATAATAAGAAAATAGATTAGAATTCATTTTTCAGGAAGTATGTTGGTTACCATTTCACTCTCACTCAAGAGAGGGGGTGGAGGATCGGGATTATGTATGTGTAAACCTCGTGTTGCCTGACAACCCGATAAACCAAAGTTAATGATAAAATAATGAGTAAATAATAAAATAAGTTCATGTCCTGGTGCCGGGGGAGGGATTTTAATTTTAACTTTGGCATTAATCTTTAACCCGGAAAAACTCTGTTTTGCCAAAAAAGGCAAGGAAGGGGTGGAAAGAAAAAAAGGGTTATCATTTCACTGTACATTGTTAAAAAAAGGTGCCTTTTGTTAAATATATAATTATATTTAAACAGTATTATAAAAATAACTCTAATTTATTTTAAAATCTTGTTACTAATGATGTTTTAATAATTGAAGTACATAACATACAAATTTGGTAAAATATGAAGTAACTTAATTTGTAATGGATACTAGAAATTAATTTAAATGAAGGAGATGGTCCGGGTCGGCGGTCATAAATAGGCTAAATAGTGGTAAAACTATTTTATTAAAAGCCAACGTTTCGACCTGACTTTGCAGGTCTTCTTCATGGCTAGAACGGAGAAGATCTTTGTAACTTTGTCTTAAGACCTGCAAAGTCGGGTCGAAACGTTGGCTTTTAATAAAATAGTTTTACCACTATTTAGCCTATTTATGACCGCCAACCCGGACCATCTCCTTTCTTTATAATGCAACGGTCAACTATTCAATATTCAATAGATATTAATATGTTTATATTATATATTTATATAAACTATTAGATTTTATTATAAGAGCATTAATGTTGGTTTTAGAATGCACAAAGAGGTGTTGATGATATGCTTCTCTCAGGAACTAATATTTTAGAAAATATGCGTGAGCAGCGCAATACTTTAAAAGGAGCCCACAGGCGAATGATGGATATTGCAAACACTCTTGGACTTTCCAATACAACAATGCGTCTTATTGAAAAACGAGCTTTTGAAGATAAATACATTTTATTTGGAGGAATGTTCATTACGGTTGTAATTATAGTTCTTCTTATTGTATATTTTACATAATTTTTAGTTTTGATTATATTTAATGATACTTCCCAGTACTTTGAAAAGTTTCAAAAAGGAAGATTAAAGAAATCCTCTTGTAAGTTGGGTTTTTTGAACGTTTATGGATTTGTAAATGTTTATTTGATTTCTACTGATTGTAAATAGATCTACCTCAATAGTAGAATGACTATATAAAATCAGTTGGTAGAATGTATGTAAACTCTTGTGTGAGTTGTGACAATTGATGCATTATTGAGGACTTTGCACTTTTGGTGTAATATATATATTTATATATATTATTTATTAAATATTTATTTTAAAAACTTTAATTAATAAGTAAAATAAAATATTTTACTTTTGGGGTACCAACATAAAATGAAAATGTGAGAAAATTATTTAAAATAAATAGTAAAAATATATTTTTCATAATTATGATGAAAATAAAGACAAACATAATATTTTATATTAGTTTATTCCATCCTTCTATTTAAATAATTAATTATATTGATTTTTTTAAGATCAATAATTGGGCATAGAATTACATTGTAAAAATAAGTTAAAGAAATTAGAAATAAATATCTACCATCTAGTTAAACTTGACAAAGTTGTGCTGGAATAAAATGTTACTAGTCTATTTTTGCTATTACTGTAATGAAGGTCTAGTAAGTACCAAATCCAATTTATTCTAAACACTTATTGCATAAACAATTTTTTTATTATTAAATTTAGTGATATTTCTAGTTTGAAAATTTATACCTTTATTCACAGTTTTATATTTCAGTGCTACAATCACCTACTCTGGAATCAACTTACTGTCTGTATAGATATTATAAATTTTCCAATTAGAAATATCACTAAAATGACTACTCAAAAATGTTGAAATTAATTGGAGTTAATCATTTTGTTAACTGAAAAGCTCAGATTTTTTCTATTTTATAATTTTTGTTTAGACAAACTACTTATCAATACACTACATACACACAGTGTATGTATATATATATATACATATATACAAATATAAAGGGTGAGAGAGATGTTAATTTTGTATTATCACCTTTAAACTGGTATTTCATGTCATGTGATATGTTACACTTATATTACCACGCAGTATTTTAAAGGTGAGATGTCTTAAAATATTCAAAAGTTGTTATAAATTTGGTTTTATATATGATCTTGAGAGCCCAACAAATGAACTGAATCTGAATAATATGGAGGGTTTCAATTTTTATGTATAAATAGTTTTAAATTAAGTTTAATAAAGGTGTTTAGACGAGCACTTCATTATTAATTGTTAAGTTGTTCATAGTTTATTTTTTATTTATTCTACTTAAATAAATTTTAAATTGTTTCCTGTCACATACTCACCCATGTGATATATTTTTTAATTTGATAAAAGAAATTTTCCTTTTTTTTTTGTAAAAGTTAGATTTATCTGTTATTGTTATAAATAAATTTATTTAATGATTCAACATATATTTCTTTTCTTTTTTTATCTATGTATTTCTTAAGCTTGTCTGGTTCATTTATTATTCTTTAGAACTCTTCTGTCATTTTTATAAATTGCTAACTAAATCTTTTCTTTTTTATTTATGTTAAAATTATTAGTTAGCCATGCTTGACAATTTGGTTTGAAATAAATATACATGTGGTCTTATTATTTCCTTTTTTTCAATTTATTAATAATTTATTTCATATCATTTGAAATATTGTATGTTATCTGATATGTGTAATCTAGCATAAGAAAAACGATTTGTTTTTACTATTTTGCAAATTACAATTAATTATTAATTTCTCTTGACAATATTTTACAAGCTTCACTAATGGGAGTGGGGTTATTGGAAGCAGATAACCTGGAATTGTGATAGGAGGTAATGTTCCATTTATTTATGACTTTTAACTCTAAAAGCTCTTTCAACTTATATTGGTGACTATTTTCACTATAAATTGTCTTAATTTTATTTTCTTAAGCCTGTTACTAATCCACACTAGTACACATGTTGGCGATTCTTTTCTCTGAGACATGTTTCAGTTTGTCTAAGTAGACATATCTATGGACCAATCCTCGTCTACAGGCCTATTGTGAGACCTAAAATCGCAGGTCTTAAGTCTCCCGATCATGTCTATAGACCATGTCTCGAGACGTTTCTAGGCGGTCTATAGTCAAATCACACAACAATGTCTACTGGTGTGTACAAGGCTTTAGGAAACATTATTTTTTTCTTATTATTGAACATTGATAATTGTTAGAATTTCAACTAAAAAAATCAATGTTTAGATCCAATTATTAATTCAACAATAGTAATAACTATTTTTTTTTAATACCGAAACATATTACTTAGCTAACATGAATTGTATAAAAGCTTTCATTTATTGTAATGTTGCTTTAAACACTAAGTATGATTTATTTTTATAATTTATTTCACATATAGTTTAGTTTTATATAAATAAACGTGTACCCGTAGCAATCCATGAAGGATCTTGGTTTCAGTACAATGTGAGGAAGTACTGTTACAAGGCCAAAGGTTGTGAAGGGTCAATATCACGCTCAACTGCCAGGTTTTCTCCCTTAATTAAGAGTATCTATTTTATAGTGGCTGGGTTTGGCCCAGGAGGGTCTCCCTTCCCCAGGATCTTATTCAACTTATAGATAGTACCCACTTTATAGAGGCTGGATTTGCTCCAGGATCAACCCATGGCTAATCTATGACTAAAAAATTACTAACTTATGATGAAAGATTACTAGTCATCAGCCAGATTCGAAAAATCTGGGACCTTGAGCTCTGGAAGTCAGTGCTCACCCACTGAGCTACCCCGTTCCCTTTATATACTTTATCCATATAATGTTTTATTTTTAGAATCTATTTGACATGTATTATACCTTTATATATATATATATATATAAATGCCAAAAATTTAATTTATTAACATGTTAACAAATCCTGTATATATATTTGAAGTATTTAATAATACGAGGAAACGCACACAAACAATTTATTATTACTGCTAAAATATCATTTGGCAATTTGAAAACAAAACTAAGGTATTTTAACTTATGTATTAGTAGCTTACTAGATGATCTATAGAATTGAGGAGTGGAGTGTAATTACTGGAAAATTAAAAAAATATAAGTGATACATACTATTTGTATACATTCATAGAAATTCTCTTGAGAAAATTTAATTGTATCTATTATTTTTTTTTTTTTTTTTTGACGTGTGGACTTGTTTCATTAGTAATTTGTTTTTGGCCCTCTGCTCCTCTTCTTTCCTTTTTTTTATTGACCTGTTCAGATTATTGGAGCTTTTGGTCTACTGATTTTTGGATTACTAAATTCTTTATATGATGCACTAGCGGATCCAGGAATTAATTTTGGAGGGGCTTCAGCCCGATAGCTTTTTTTTCTATATGTATGACAATAATTACTTTGAAAGGAACTAACTACCAACAAGAAATGGTGTTTAAGTGATTCTTGAAGACCTATTAAATGTAATTAACGAACAATAAAATAATACTTTTTAGAGATAATTTTTTTCATAAGACAGATATATTTCACCATTTTGGGGGGAGGGCTTCAGCCTGAAAGCCATTCCCCATAGATCCGCCTGTGATGTGATGTATTGTCGCTTGTTGATATATATATTTTTTTAAATTGATATGTGATTCAAGTTTTCAGTTTTCTATCCGTATGTCTTATAAAATATTTATGAAAAATAAATAAATAAAGATTTAAATGGTTTTTAACTTACTACTAATAAATTTTAAAAAATAAATTATCGTTAAAATAAACTATGTTCATAAAGTAATATAATTTAAAAAAAAATAACCTAAATATTTACACCATTTTCATTACCAGTACATCCCAGAAAATCTTTCCAATAAATTTAAAACTCTGAATTTAATACATAAAATAGGGTGGGTTAGAATTGCGACATATTACTTTTTGGTTTAATATCATTTACATTAAATTTAGCTCATATTTTCACTTTTTATTTTTTTTTCTATCATTCATCTCAGGTATGACTCTAAATGAGCTTATTCAGCTTATTTTTTTAAGAGTTTTATACTTAAATATGAACTTGAGATACTTTTATTAGATGATTTTAAATTTATATATGAATCTATCAGATTTTTTAAAAAAGGAGGGGAATGTCTTGCGAATTTTCTTTCATCTAATTATTCTTTTTTTTTAATCCTAGATAAATGTTAATTTAAGCTTGGCGTGATGTGCCATGGCTTGGGTATTGCGTGGGAACAAGGCAGCCAACCGTATGCCGTAGACATACAATTACAATAACCAGTTTTACCCCCACCCCAAGTCACGATCTTATTCCCGTCTCCTCAGTGAAAATATCTCATGAATGTACATGTTCTTTCTAAAAGAAGTAGCAATCAGAATTAGTTTCGTTTCAAATTATATTTAATTTATAATCTTGGTAAGCTATTTTTTTATATTATTTATTACAAAAAAAAAATTCGTCATTAAACAAAGTTACTTTTTAAAATAGGGTCTTCATCATTTTCATTTCTCAACATCTATTTTAAATTAAAGACAATACACTGAAGTGTCTCAAATTACATTAAATTAAGTCATTTAATTGGATAACCAGTTTTGAAATAAAACGGTGAGAAAACATCTTTTGGAACTCGTTCGTTTGTGGAAGTTCAGACCTCCACTTAACTTCCGAGGGCCACAGCTTGCGATGAAAAAAAAAATCTGGTTCTATAAATGACACTGCAGTTGTAGCTTTCTAAGAGATAAAAAAACATCCAATAAATATTGTATAACATCATGTATGAGTAATTTGCTAGTTCTGAGAACCCTAGTACAAGTTTTCTTCACAATAGATTTTAGGTTGTTTTTTTTTTAAATCATATTGATTTTACTGATCATATAACTATATAAATCAATTGGTAAAGAAGCTTAAATAATATAAATATTTTAAAACGTCTCTACCCGATACGTAAATTCCAGGCTTTTGTTTGTTTTGCAAATTATAGTTTGACGCTATCTAATGCAG